ATTAGAACTAAAAAAAAACCCTTAACAAGAATTAAAATCTATATAATTTCTTATCTAAAATCTTTAATACATTTTTTTATAAAAGTAAGCCTACAAAAGTTCAAATACAACAAAAAGCAAAAAAAGTACAACATCCCCAACTGCGAGGACTTAAAATCATAATTAAAGTAAATAACTTAATAACATAAATCATCTTAAGAGCTATTATTTTGACCTGACCTGTATATGCTTATGGCTGTGTTGAGCACTTTTGAGTAGACCGCAAGACATTTGTGAAAGAGCAAACAACAGACGACAAACAAAGTCCATTCCAGATCCCACACCTTGCTGGGCTTTAGACATATGCAAATTTTGTGCGCGAACAAATTGTGCAATTGTTGCTGCGAGGAAGCTTGAACAAGGCATTTAGCACGTGTGGCACGTATTTCATTTCAGAACCCAGCGAAAACACACCTCTATCCCAGGCCAGCGGAAAAGCGATGAACCAGCACAAAGGTCAGCTAGGGAAGGCTCAAAAGATGCGGGAAAACAACGCCCACAAAGCAAGAATGTAGAACAAATGCACTTTACGTTGGGTCTTTGAAACTCCCTTTTTACTGACTCACTGGATTAAAGCCTCGTCTGTCTTTAATTCATTGCCGGCCGGGTTTTTCGTAGCATGTTTTCTATAAATTATTCCATTCCTTTAGGGTTCGGCTTTCACGCTCGCCGATTTAAAATCCGGAGCCAAGTGTGTGTGGAAAATAAAAAATAAATCGCTTGTTCTCGTAATCTCCGGCAACATTTTTATCGCCCTCTCCAGCGATTTGACGCTGGCCAACCCGCATAATCCCTGGTTAACAGATACATCCGGCTGGCGGTGAAAGTAATGTCCCTTTGCGGGCCCTTTCGCCGGTTCCCGGTGCCTGTTGAGCTATTCCGTATTTACACTTTATATTTATTTGAAATATGAGCTTCTTTCCACGCTGCCGAGTGCAGCGCTAAATAAATCAGCCAGAACGCTCTCAAAACGTACCCATCGCAGCTGTCAGTTGGCATTATCATCATGACAATAGGCCCTTGCTGGTGATACATTCTCCGGACATTACAGCTGGTGGGGCTTACAAGCTGACAAAATGCGATTTAAATGGGCAACTTAAGCAGAATGTGTCTGTCAGTAAGAGGACAAGATGATTTCAATTCCTTTTTTAGTAAATTCCTCTCTCGGTTGAGACGAATGTCTGACATTATTGGGTTGTTAAAAGGGAAATATATTGGGGAATTCCTTTTAAAAGCGAAATAAGTAAAGATAATTAAATAGCTCTTAAATCCTTGTAACATAAAATAATTCTGAATCTACTTTAAAAAGAAATTTTAATGTAAAGTAATTGTATAATTGCCTACAGTAATTAACTTTGCATTTTGAGTCAATCAATAAACATTATGTCTTTGTATATGGCCATTAAATAATATGTTGGTTTTTAATTTAAGCTTTAAGTCGTTTTTCAGGCTCAATTGGCGACGGTGAAGAGAAAATAAAATTTCTCTTCAATAAAAAAGGATTCTACTTATAATCCCCGGCTGAAATCCACAGGAGCGTTCGAAATTGGAAACTCATAAATTGCCTTTATGCTCTGTCATTCCATTTGCAACAAAAGTGGTGGAAAATGGAAAACGATTCAGTGCATCAATACCAATCCGGGGAAATCCAAATGGAATGCCACTGTGCGGGCCAAGGCTAAATCGTTTCGGCCACTGTTGTCGCAGCAGCAGCAGAAATGTTGTTTTAGGCAAAATGCTATTAAACAGTTGAAAGCCCGTTCGACACACACTCCCCCTCAGAAAATACTCAATAAAGTATAAAATTCTATTGAAATGGCTGGCTTTTAACACAATCTCTTAAAGCACTACAAATTTGATTTATGCCGCATTCAATGCTTTTCTTTCATGCAACAATTCAGGGAGGTATTAATTGCCTCTCACCACCACATCCATTGATAATTGATGCTGTTGTTTGCTTAAAAAGCGAACGAAATTTAAGGGAAAACCTATCATAAATCATGCAATGATCTTGCCATGTGGGCGATATAAAGCTGGTGCAGACAATGCGTTATGATTTATGCTCCTAATAAATTTCAGCAGCGAAAACTAAAAGATGGTTTTAGCTGAGCGAGGAGATGGAGATACACCAGCCGTGGAATAGTTGCGTTACGTCCCACTGAACGCGGCTCGATTCACAATTGACAGCCAGCGAATTGGAAATCGGCAAACAAACATTTTCATTACTCATACGTCAGGGAGGCCAGACCATGCACAAACGGGAAAACCGAAACCAAACCAGCCATTGAAAACATTTTGACAGATGCAGACGGCACAATTTCGCTTGGCTACGTTTTTTAATACACAACAGTTTTGCCAACATTTCGCGAACAAAGTTTTTCACTCTTGCTGTTTTTCCAAGGGGCCGCGAAGGGGGCGTGGCCAGGGTCGACACTTTACGGCAGAGTGCTAAAATAGATGCCCTACACATGTAACGCACACATAGAAAGTGAAATACATTCGCCAGTTTTATGCTTTTTCATCCGCTCCACCTCGCCATTTCCCATTTCCCCGCTCTGCCGTTTTTATTGAAGTTTCCCCGCGTTCGCTTTCACCAAATGCAATTTACGGATCCCTGACATTGGGCATTAGCGCAGGGCTGCCAAAGTCAAGTCAAGTCAAGTTTGTTTAACGCATCGCAGCTTGCCTTTCCCGTCCCCCACATTTTCCTCCCCATAGACCAACTTTTTTCCCGGCTACTTTTCGCCTATGGCACTTTTCCACACGCTTTTATTGCTAATTTCTGTTATTGCCAACGTTTTGCGTGAGTTTCGCGCGTTGTCGTAAAAATATTTTTATTAGCTGATCGAGGGGGTGTATATTGGGGCAATGTGTGGTGATGGGGCGTCAAGGGCCTTACCGACACCCCCTCATGTAGGGCCATTAAAAGCAACTCGAGCTCATGCATTTGAGCAAAGAGACACGCTAGAAAGTATGCTAGGCGAAGTAAGCCAACATTTTGTTCTGATTTACACGTTCAGCTTGATTTCTCTGACTTTTGCTATATCTTTCATCACTGTTGAAAAAAACTTGAAAACTTTCTGCTATATTTGTTTAAGCCTTGTACAGTAATAGTACGATAAGCACAAATTACAAATTTTACCACAAAATATTATAAATCAAATGTGATAGATAGTGCTTATACTAAGAAATTCGTGTAATATGATTTTTCCACAATAAGAACTATTCAATTGTTACTTCTGATGTTTTATAGTTCATAAAATTTATTGATAAAATATCGCTTATGGTAAACATAAAACATTTAAGCATAAGCTATTTGATATAAAATCTTTTCCCCTACATACCCAAAATTCACCCTGGAGCATCTCGAATAAATTGTTTTGGCGTTCACAATCTGCATGATTTATTCGAATTCTATCTATCACCTAACTATATTCCAACCCACTTGAATACCGAATCGCTTATTTATTCAATGACTGATGCTCAGGTTCAGTGTCGGGGATTTATGGGCAAGTTTTTACCGAGAAGTCGTTAAATTTAAGTGGCCCCCGCTCCTCAAATCAGCTTTATGGCTACGGCCAGTTAATAACCAAATTTGTCTGCTCAGCTTGAGCATTAAACGCAACTGCTTTGAGATGAGCTTAACAAAATTTCGAGGGCAAGACCAGCGAGTTGTAAGAGCAGCTCTGAGTGATGTTACCCGATGTCGTGTAATTTGTGTAATAAATATAAAACTTGTATTATTATTACAACAGGAGACGGGGAGCAACGGAGCCCGTGCAAACATGGCAGAGAGTTGTCATTAAACGCCACTCGTTCACAAGTGTTGTGCACACAAAATGCATTCAGTTTCCCATTACCCAACCCTCGGGGAATTCCCCCATTTTGTGCACAACCAATTTGCAATCCTATTTTTATGATGTTCGCTTTCGGAACAGAGTTTTCTGCATTCCTGGCTGTATTTGTGAGTTTTGCTCTTGTCAGATAGCAATTTAAGTGCATGCAGCAATTTGCCTAAACGATAAGATTACAAAATGGAAAGGGAAAAAGCACCTGAATTGTTATGTTTGCAACATGGCAGCAATATGCCAAAATTCGGCATCCAAAGTGGAGAGTCTTCTATTTGACACTGGACATTGATAGTTTCAGGCACAGGAGCAGCACCATGTGCTACAACAACATCTGGGCACAAATATTTGCCTGTGCTGGCCAAGTGAATATTTGCACACACCTTATTGCTGTTTTCTGTTTGCTGTGCAAGGAAAAGATCGCCAGCTTATGATGGCGATTTCCATTGCAGTTGACAGAAATATGCACTCGGAAACATGTAAATATTTATTTAATTTTAAAGAAATACGCAAATACACAGACAATTTATCAAAAGAAGGTATTAATAAAATTTAAATCGAATTCAATGTTTTTTAGGCTGCCATTGCTACAACTAGAATTCAACTACAACTACAATTCAAAACTGCATATCGTTGCAAATACTTTTAAAAATGCAATTTAGCGATAAAAGTCAAGAAATTTAATTCTAATTTAAAATATGTTTAATAAATTAGTTAAAGATTTTTCCCAATTTCCCCTTCAAGAACTTAAATGTAATTGGAATTTAAAGCCTTAATTCGCTGATTGGCCAAGTTCTTGTTAGTACTATTTTATTTATTGAACAATAAGCTGATGAAAATATTTAAGTTCAATTAAGTTAGTCACGCAACGCCAACCTCCTGCGTATAATTTCAATGGGTGCAACCATAAATAATGAACTGGAAATCACTGAATCAGTAAGGTCCTGGAACCCTAACGGCAGCAAGCTGTTGAAAACCCAATTAAGATTTTCATGCATGTGGACCGTGCATCGCAAAATACTTACGGGGAGGCGGCGCACATTCGCCCACACATTTATGAATTTTCCCGAAAACAATTTGATTGACTAACGAAACTTATTTGCCACATTTCAGCGGACGCAGTGCAGCATTGGCAGGCAGCCATGAGCGAGCAGATTGGCAACAGTAACACCAACGCATCTTTCAGTGGAAGTGGCAGCAATGCCGCCTCCATCGCCGAAAGTGCGGCGGAGAGCGGTCCGGACTTCGATGCTCTACGGACCGCCTGCGAAACGCGACTTAATGGCAGCGGCCAACTGGCGGGTGAGTCCTGCACTGGGAGAAATTATCAAGCAAATAGGACATTAAATATGTTATTGATTATACATTTTTAAAACATTCTTGTAAACATTTCCAAACTAATCTTGTATTTTAAAAATTCGATATTTACAATTCTTTAGCTTTAAAAAAAAACTTTTTTCTTAAAAAATCTGAAGAACTTGAATTATGTTTATTTTTTTTTTAATTACATCAATTAGTCAAGTGATTTTAATAGCAAATTTTTTAACTTTGGATACTGAAAATGTTCCCCGGAACTATTCAACATTGTAACATACTAGTTTTTAGTCGCAAAATATTTTGTAAACTAGATTCGGTGAGTACTTTCAGAATCCAAAGTGAATACTGTGAATACACAAAACACTAAAGTCGTTTTCCAGTGCAATATAAAATTTAATATTTTAGTTTAAAACTAATAGATAGAAAACATAACAACTTTAAATGGCTGTCCGAATAATAATATAATGCTCTTTTTTCTCCGTGGTCCTGGCCCTGACCAACTGCAATTTGGGTGTCCATTATGCACGAGTAACTTTAAATTGCTGCCCTTTTCTCTATCCACGACCAACAGGCACTGGAACCCACTGCGCCGGCACCTTTGATGGCTGGCTTTGTTGGCCGGATACGGCCCCAGGCTCTTCCGCCTACGAACTCTGCCCGGACTTCATCACGGGATTCGATCCAGCAAGTAAGTACGGCTGGCAGGAGCTGAATTGTTTATTAAATTCCACAAAGCTACATCCGTTTTGGGGTCAGCTGGGGATCTGCATATGACACGAAAAAGTACACATGCATATATGTATGTAAGTGTGTACTTATCCAAAGGGAAATATGTTTGCACGAGGCAATACGGTTGAGCGGGTCGATGGGTAGATGTAGACTACCTACCCTCTAATTGGCCTCAACCCAAAGCCCATCGTTATATACACAAAAATAAGACAGAAAATACGCTCGAAGCCAGGCCAAATCAATTGGAAACTTGTTATGTTTATGCTTTGATTTCGTGTCGTATGGAAACATAACATAACATATTCACAAAACCACACGGGCTGAGGGAGCCGGCTCCACGAAGCTCCTTGGGCCACTAAATTATCCAAAGAGCTTGACAAAATGCTAAAATGTTTTCGCCTGATTTGCCACAATTTGCCGAAATCTCGCTGAAAATCAAATGTAACGTAGAAACAAGGCCATATTGATTGTTAGTGCTGGGTGAAGTTAAGGTCATGTATACAACAGTGCGAAATTTAAATTTAAAGAAACGCAAAGCTCAATAAAAGTAATATAAATGAGAAGAATTTGCATGAATAGATAACTATCTCTTTTTTAGAGAAATATTAAAAGAGAACCCCCTTTAGAACCATTAATCAGTTTTATGGAAAAGGTGTTGATGACGGGCACAATAATTTAATCAATGAAAACTCATTTCTATAGTTTTTCAAAGTCATTGTTGAATCATTAATGCTGATGTGAGATATCACGTCATATTTTTGACCCACAATAATGCATTTAATTCATAATTAGTAGATGAGTGCTATTTAAATTAATAATTTGAATAACTGTACACACAACGAAACCTAATTAGTTATGCTTGGCGAATGTTGATTAGCTCGGGCATTAAAGCAAATATTAAAAAACGCAGGCACGCTCTAGAAAATCAGCATAAATATGTATAAATATTTGAAGCAGTTTATGAAATAAACCATGCGCTGCATGTCAATTTGCATTAATGGGGAGCGCTTAGAAATGTGGAGCGAGTCAACTTAAACACTAACCTCGTTTTGGCCATGACCAGGGCAACGAAAATAACCAAAGTTGAATGACTTTTTTTGTTATGGCTAAGAGAGAGAGAAAAACAAGACGAGGGCCAAGAAAGTGCTACTTTCGCTACATTTAGCTTGGGGTTGGCTTGGCGCCTCCCCTTTTTTTCGTTTTGCCTTTCGGGGTCGCCGCCAGATTGTACAAGATTATGTGCTTTGGCACTGCGCCGCCATTAACTTTTATGGCACTTCCGGTCGCCGGATGTCGATGTGGTGAGTTGCGCCCACCAACTCCTTTCCCCGGCTACTTATCTGCCACACAGCGCGTATACGTGATTTTTTTCGTCTGCGTGCCAAACTGCGATAAATGGCTTTGGGGCAAAGATCATCGGTCGAAAAAAGCCGGAAAATGAAACGAACTGATAAAACTCACCTTCGAAATTCCTTAACGAATTTCGCTGCACTTTTCCGACAAGTGGCTCTCGGCAAGTTGCACCAAAAACTTGGTAATTCGCCATCGAACAGCACTCGACATGCTAGCAAGCAATGGAAAAGTTTTGTCACGAACTTTGACTCGAATAAATACATGATTTCAACAACAAACAAATGGTTATGCAATTTAATATTGATATTATTTTGTTTCGTATGCCAACCACAACGTGTTTGTGGTCAACTCGGTGGCAGTTGCAAATAATAATGGTTAATACGATTTAATGCTCTGGCCACCGCAAAATGAAAATATGAGCTACAATGTTTATCCAACAGTCAATCATAAAATCACACATCGTATCCGTTAATATTTGTGTTTTACGGATGACGAGCAGATTTTTTTTAATTTTTTGTTTAAATACTTACTGGGAAAAGAACGTTTAATTCAAGGAAATCTTTTATAAATATTTATGGATTAAGATGACTTAGTAAAGTAAGCACCACAGATTACAATTTTTTTTAACAAACTGTATTTAGTAAAAAATAATATTGTTTTAATTATAACATTCGAACAGGATACGCCCACAAGGAGTGTGGCCTTGATGGCGAGTGGTTTAAGCATCCGCTGACCAATAAAACATGGTCCAACTACACAACCTGCGTAAATCTCGACGACCTTGAGGTAAGCTGATCCTTGTCCCCGGCGCGATTAATTAAGAATAATATATCTATGTTTCTATATGGGTAGTGGAAGCACAATGTGAATCTGATCTACGAGGTTGGTTACGGCATCTCACTGCTAGCCATTCTGCTGTCGTTGGCCATATTGGGTTATTTCAAGTAAGTATGGCGAGGGACTTCCCTCATCTACATGCACAATCATTCGCCACTCCTTCATCTTGGTCACAAGCTGACAGCTTCTGCTGTCTGCGTTGGGAGCATGAAAAGCCACTCGTGGGTAATGAGGCTAGCTGGTCGTTATATTATGAGGACTGGCGCCAAAAATGAAATTTATTGATGGCAAACAAATGCGACAGTGGCTTAATCAACTGCCAACCTGGGTGCTGAACCAAATGCTCATTGCAATCACTTAATGCGGCACAATTGACGCCGGAAATGGCAAAATACTTTGTCCCATTCCCTCCCTTCACGAAGGATTGGGGGATTGAGGCAGGATATCGATTAATTTCCCAGTGCCTGCAGACCAATTAGTGCTCTCGGTTTGTTTATCGCTCTGACAGATAGAGATGGGGCTAAGGATAAAGTAGATACAGATGGAGAGGAATACAGACGGACAGACAGGACGAGCGACTGACAGAAGTGTTTTAAATTGTGTGCCAAAGGCAAATAAAACGAGGCCAGCGACGTGTGGGAATTTGGTCTGCCCTAAAAAAGTGGATAATTAAAAGTTTAATGACAAAGAAGCGTGACCAACTGAATGGGAAACCACTCCGAACGCACTACAAACAACGGAAATGAAAATACCAGGGAAATTCAATTTAAATGAAATTTAATTGGTTGAATAAAGAAATAAACAGCGGGGACATTCGCTAAATTAAATTTATAGATTACAGTGCTTGGTTTTCATTTTTAAACATGTTCAAAAAATCCAAGCTCAGCTAATAATACAAATATGTTAAGAGCTAACATAGTTTATTTAATAAAATTAATTATGTTTAAAATTAGATTTAGGTATATTTTTTCCATAGAATAAAACTACTGCCACATAGTGTTTTCCTTGGTTAAGATACATTTCCATTTTAAATCATTACAATATTCAAAAAATAGTGATTGTGATAAAGGAGTGCAGTCTAAGCCTTCAAATGGGTTTGCTAGGAAAAAAAAATTTAGTTTGGCCAGCAATCAATACAATTGAGCAAAAAAAAAAAAACCAAAATGGAAAATGAACTTTGAACTTTTGGTTGCTGGACTTTTTTAGCTCTTCCTGCCCCATTCAATCTGCTTCACTTGCCCCTGGCCAAATGTAAATTGGTCAACAAACAAACTTGAAGTTTCAGCAACAAAAAAAACAAGCTTACGACACATACCCGCCCAAAGTAATTCTCTTTGCATATTTGTCTTTCGATTGCCAAGATCCCTGAAGTGCGCCCGCATCACGCTGCACATGAATCTGTTCGCCTCGTTCGCGGCCAACAACTCGTTGTGGCTGGTCTGGTACCTGCTGGTCATGCCGAATACGGAGCTACTGCATCACAGTCCGGTAAGTGGAGCCACCTGGCGAATGCGTGATGGTGAATCAACTTTGGTTTCCGATTTCCCGATTTCCCAATTTCCATGGGAATTAACAGATGCGCTGCGTGGCTCTGCACATCAACCTGCACTACTTCCTCCTCTCGAACTACTCGTGGATGCTCTGCGAGGGATTCTACCTGCACACCGTCCTGGTGGCCGCATTCATTTCCGAGAAACGGCTGGTCAAATGGCTGATCGCCTTCGGCTGGGGCTCTCCAGCCATCGTCATATTCGTCTATAGCATGGCCCGTGGTCTGGGCGGCACGCCCGAGGACCATTTGCAGTAAGTGAATAATTAAGAGGAGTAAACTACACAGATACTGTGCTAGGAATTTCATGAATATTTGAACACATTTAATACAAAATAGTTCCTGTCTATGCGATACAGACGAATGCATAAAATAATAGAAGCAGATATACTAGACGTGTAAAATTAAGTCCCAACCAAGTTGGCTATGCCCCACCATTTCATGCATTTGTTCTTAATTCATAGTAAACTTCCGTGTGTAGGGAAATACATGAAATTGTGTTTATACAAACGTATTTCAAGATATAGTTGCATAAAATGGTTATTGCATAAACACAGAAACAGTAAGAGAAACTAAATCACCACACATTTGCATTAGCTCAAAAGACATTTCTAGCTAGTTTAACGAAAATATCATGTTTTGGACTAAATAAAGTAAATCCGATTTAAAATAAAATCATTTTCAAAATCTTTAAAGCTTATGTTAATAAATTCTGAATAAAGAAAATAAATTTTTTAAAAAATGCTTAAATTTCTGACAAAAACTCTGAGGAATATGTTGAATTTATTAAGTTAAGTTTTTTTTCTATACATGAGATTTTAATAACTATTACAGTCCTCCCTCGTCCTTAAATGTTTAATACTATTTGATAAAGGAATAAGATAAAGAGAACTTTAAAAATTTCAAATCGTACACTGTTTTTGTCTCTGTGTGGGAGAGATATTTGCTCTTGGTGATGCTTTGCCAAAATCCAAATCAAATCAATCAGCAACTTACCCATTGAGTCAAAGACATTCCTCTTACTTGCAGCTGCTGGATGAGCCCAACCGACTACGATAACATTCTTGTGGTGCCTGTGTGCATCTCCATGTTCCTCAATCTGCTGTTCCTGTGCAACATTGTGCGCGTTGTTCTCCTCAAACTGAACGCTCCGGCCAGTATTCAGGGCAGTTGTGGTCCATCACGAACTGTTTTACAGGCATTTCGGTATGTTTTCCCCTTTTCCGGTACGGAACAACTCCCAGCGGCAAAACAAAAAAAAAAAAACTGTGGAGACTGAAGCGTTTAAAACCGAAAAGAAAAACTCTTAGCTGGCCCACGGGGCGAATGCGTAATTATATTTTGTTTCCCTTGTATTTATCGTTGGGCGTTTCTTTTTAGAAACCTCCCCATATACGACAGCTCTTTAATTCTTTATTCGCCCTGCACTTGGAAGTTTGGTTCATTTTACATTTTAAATTACGCATACGCCGCGTTGACTTGCATGTTAATAAACAGCCGAAGAAAAACAAGGCATTATAATTCACCTTCTCATCCTGTTAGGGCCACACTGCTGTTGGTGCCTCTGCTCGGCCTCCAGTACATCGTAACGCCGTTTCGTCCTGCACCCGGACATCCCTGGGAGAATACTTACGAAATCATCTCGGCGTTTACGGCCTCATTTCAAGTAAGTAAAATGTTTTCGTTCCTGTTCTCGTTTTTTTCTGGCTTTTGTTTTGTGCGCTTTCATAAAATCACTTTACGACTCTGAGCTGGCTAAAAAGTTATGATGTTAGTTCGCCTCATGGATCCGCATCCGAGAATGCAAATAAGCCAGAATATCTGAAATTCCAAGTACGGACCTCATTAGATTCCGGGGATTCCGAATCAATAATGAAAATACACGCCATGTGAAATTCTCGCCATTGGCATTTGGCTCGCTCTCAGTATATTAAATTGCTGACCGAGATTGAAGCAAAGTTACCCCAGAAAAAAATGTAGCAAGTTGAGCATGAAATGCACTCCCGCACGCACAACCTCGTAAAAGCAACTCGAGCTTGTCCCCCGGCCAAGTCAGTCTCGATAGACCAGCATTTACAGTCAGTTAACATATTTTTCTTGGTCACAACTTAAGGACAACGCAGGAAAACTTTCAACTAGCAGATACCTTTGTATCTTGTAGGTTAAATCCCCAAAGGATACTGTCAAACGATTGCTCTAGTATATGTTTTGCCGTCGCGTTTACATGATTTCTAAGCCTGCAAACCTTGTTTTTTGCAAGAATTGAAAAACCATACTAAATAACATACGTTTAAAAAAACAAAATAATACATATAAATATAAAAACTAAATTTTTTATATTTTTCAGTATAAAATAAAAAGTTTCAAAGGAGGATTGTTAAATTATAAAGCTTCTTCTCCCAAACTTTTTTTAAATAGATTTGCATTTGCACAAAAGTTAGACTTGCTAGACATCCAACACAATATAAAAGCCCCATGAAACAAAAAGAAAATCCATTATCTGGCAAATAAACATAAAATCTTCTTGGGTGTGGCTAAGCTGCAGTTGAGCTCTTGTCAGCTTTATATATCACGGCAACGGAACAGTGTCACCACTGCCTGAATCGTTTTCGTCAATGTCAATCGATTGATAAAATCTTTTATTTGGGAGCTCGGATTTTAAAGTCAGTCGCCAGGAAATTTCCTTTTGCATTTTCCTGTTTTTTAATTTATTTATTTTTTGTATTGCCTTGTTTTCCGTAGCCGCATTTGCTGCGAAGATGAAAAACTTTTCTCGCTTAACTCTGCGGTTACATATAATTTGGATTTATTGTGGCAGCCGCAATGATGATGTCGACAGTCGTAAAGATTCACCGCAAGTTTTAAGCTCCGGAAAGAAAACCAAAAAATTTTTGAGATGCAAACGGGAGATTTTCCGTCGAGGGAAATGTAAAAGCCCAAAACTACTTAGCTAGAGATGAGAACTTATATGCATGTAAATGTGTTTATTCGGTTGTTTTTGTGCCAAAAGAAGAAACTTGCTGCAATTGGCATTTGGCAGCTGGCTTGTTTTTCCACACAAATTTTCATTTGCTTCTTCCCAAAGAGCTTAGGGACATTTGTATTTAACAAATGTGCAAACAAAACACGTTCTACATAAATTGAATTAAAAACTTCCGCTTGGCAGAAAGTTAAAGTGAAAAACAAACGTCAGATGTCAACAGAATCGCAATATTAAATGGCTTACAAAGTTTTCAAGGCAGGTCTTCTCTTCTTGACAAAAATATTTTAAATTTACTAATTGGTTTTTCAAAACAGTGAAGTGGCTTTGTGAAAATTAAAATATGTGCATTTCCATGCTGAAAGGAGAAACTCAAACTCCTGACCAATCGAGTTCAGCAAAGTTTAAATCTATATTTAAACCAAAAAACTCACGAAAGTGCCATAAAAAACTTAAAAGCCCGAAAAAATCCACCACACCATTTTCTATAGAGCACTTTTAGCAAATGGATAAAGCTGCAAGGTAGAGGACGTAGTTAAAGCGGAAACTTAATAAATAGTACAAGAGTAAAAACGAGGAAAATATGCAAAAATTGAATTCAGCAAGGTCCTGTTCGTATATTGGGTGCGCATCGTGCCCTGCATGGAGTACAACTTTGGTTATCCGTTTTATGGTCAAGCATATTCCGGATGCACTATGCCAACCATATCAACTTAATAACTACAAACAATGGAGAAAAGGAAGGCTGTGCAAAAAGAAAAATAATAAGAATAAAGTTTTAAAGAAATAACCCTATTATAATTGAAACTTACTGTCAAAACTAAAAGAAAGGGAAAAATTTGAATACTAACTAAAAATTAAATAGATAAAAAATGCTATAATCACAATGTAAATTTAATAAGTTTTTATTTTTCCTTGTTTCTCTTTGAATATCATTGCCGAAAGCTGTATTGAATTACTCACAACATTCTAAGAAATATTTATGAATATAAAACTTTCATGCTTGAAAAAAAATACTCAAACTAAAATTTGTATATTTCAACAAAAAGAAAATCAAGCAGTTCAGGTGGAGACAATCACTCCGTACCAAGGAATAATTCTTAATTTGCAATCAAATAACAAATGTCTTACTTGCAATATGCTGGGAGGCAATAAGCCCCGGAAAAGCCTGCAAAAATGGAGGAGTAAATAGATGGCAACTGTGGCTGATTGAGTCCACGATGGGCCTCCGTGAGTAGTGGCAATCAAAGGAAGCCCCTCTCCGAAGTGGTAACCAGAAATCCTGGTGGCAGTCAATGCACGTACCCGGCCATACATTAAATATTTACATATATATATGGCCCACACAAATGCCGCTTGCGACAATCAGGCAGAAAGTGGCAAGACAAATGGTAAACAGAGGAATGGGATAGGTATGGGCGGTCGGACGGACGGACGAAGGACTCACAGGACTCGTTGAAGTGGCCGTCTGACAGGCGAAATGAATACTGAGCCTTCTCGGTGGCAGGATGGTGGAATAGCCAAAGAAACAAGCAAAATTGTATTATGTATTGTATTAGGACCAACTGACAGGCAACAAGAAAAAAAGAAGGAATTGCCGCGGCTACCGGAAATCGGTATACCCTGGGAAACAATTTAATCGTATAGACCCTTATAAGAACATTTTTTAGCCATGACTGAATTTATTGTCACTCATTTGGGAGTCAAAAAATATGCAATACATCTACGATTTAAAAATCTTAAGAGCCTACTTAAAATAAAATGAGTAGGAATTAAAAATATGTTTTATTTAAATAAATAACCTTTAATTGCCTTTGTTTTTTCATAAGTGGTTATATAACATTGATCAAATTTAAAATAGTAATAGTCTGGTTACCGAGTTTTAGCTCTAGAAAAATACCCCGAATACTTATTAAGTGAATCTTGGATCTTACTAAATGAAATAAGTTATAGTTATAATTCAGCTATTCCAATCATTGTTCCAAAGATACAAAGTGAGAGTTGGAAACATATTGAATTACAATACCCATTTGCAGGGTACAAAAGGGACAAAAGTAATAGACATTGTAATAAGGACAACTGCGATAAGCCCCGGCGATAATTTATACTGCTCGCTCACTCTAGCCATATTCTATTTTTGCAATTGCAGGGTCTGTGCGTGGCCACTTTGTTCTGCTTCTTCAACGGCGAGGTGATTGCCCAAATGAAGCGCAAGTGGCGGATGATGTGCTTCAGCAACCGACCGCGGACCAATTCCTACACAGCCACTCAGGTCTCGGTAAGATTTGTACTAAAAGCTTCACATGCTTTTCTTCCATCCTTTCTTTCAACTAACTTTGTACCACGGGTTACGGCGCGTATGAGTAATGCAGCAGCACTAGCACAATTTTGCACTCACAGTATATTGGCCTATAGATACGCATTAATCGCATGCAACCAAAAAAAAAAAAACCCAAAAAATTAAATAAAACAAAACAAAATATAAAGAATATTTAAGACAGTTACTGAGACCGACGCACCGTTGCCAACTGGCCAACCACCATGATAGCAAATTCTCAGTTCTTTTGATTGTAGTTCGTGCGCTGCGGACCGCCACTGCCAGGAGAGGAGAAGGTATGACTAAAGGACATGTCGGCCAAGCGCCGGGCTTCCGCGGGTCACCAACAGCAACACCACCACCAGCAGAGCCAGCAGGTATCGTCGGAGCAGCAGAGGGCTCGCAGCCAGAGCCTGACGGGTTCGTCCACCTTTCTCGACGGCTGGCGCAGCCGGATGCCGTTCCTGAAACGCCGCCAAACCATCGACAATTCCCGCCAGTGCCAGCCACTCATGGAGGAGGGCGATCTGGCCGGCGGAGGTCCAGCTCCACTGACACAAGCCGCCGGACCATTGATGACGACCATTGCGGAGGATGTCGCCGAGGCAGGCACTGCAGCAACATCAGACGCATCCGGAGCAACTGGAGCGGCCGAGAATCATCCCAACGGAATGGGCACTGTTATCGTTCGCATGGAGAGAGCTGGCCAACAACACATGGCCGATGAGGCGCTTTAGGTTAATCCCCTCGAGTCACACACAACATCTCATAGTTTAAGCCACTGCAATACCAAAACCAAAACAGGTCAAGAAAACCCAAAACCCCACCAAAAACAACAGCCCATTGAACCCAGTTACTATCACGTAGGGATGTTCCTAAAATAGCTAGAGATTTTTAAACAATAAATCGGGTGTCTAAAAGTAGGCAATATAGTTAATTTTAATTTTAATTCTATGAAACTAATTGTAGGTACTCTCAGAAATCGCGTAAGTTTTGAAACTAGTTACAAAGTTGGATGAAAGTATATACAATATTTAAAATTTGTTTGGTGCATACTTTTGGAAACCGTTTGCATTGATTTAAAAACCTTTGTGATTGCTTTGGCCACCCTTTGTATTAAATACAGCAGTTTAAGTTGTTTCTGGCACCTTCACGATTTTAAAACGATAGTTGTACCACCAAAATGTATTATTTGTTTAGCAGGTTTGCTTCAAAGTATTGAATAATTCATGGCTTACGTTTAGACATCCGGAATTATTGTTAGAAAACTTCTGGACTACTTCCAAGACACACAAAATCAATTCCTTAGCCAGCAAGGCTGAATTTTATATCACTACATCCTGCACAGAGCTAAGTGTTAAGTTTTCAAAGTATATTCCTCAGTTTTTCTTGGTTTCCTCTGCATGCAGAATGCGACATAAATTTCAGCCTTTGGCCGGCAACGGACCAACTTGAATGAGAACATATTTATTGTACCTATGATATAAGAATTTATGTGGATATTAAATATCATTGTTGTCTTAAGTGTTAAGTGTACTCTAGGACTAGTACCACCCCCTTAACCCCTTCCACCACACATATATCTCTCTCTCTCTCTCTGTGGTAAGCTGAGCTTTCTGGCAATCGCTTTTATTGTGTCTATGAATGTACGCAAACGTAATAAAATTTTAATTAAATGTATGTATGCTGAACATTTGCAAGTTCTTTTGGTTTGGCCCTGCTCTTGCTAATTAGTCAACTTTCAGTTTGTTTAATGAATCTAAGATACGTCTGTCAACAACAGCAACAACCACCTTGCATCCCGAACCTAATGTTCATTTAATGAATGCCATTTGAAGTTAGCTCTCAGCAATTTGTTCCCCATGGACGTTGCCCAAGTTAGCCAGCCTGGTGATGAGGGCACAACAGGTGCTTCCGAATTCCATTTAACGAAAAATTGCTTGTGCGACAAACTGAAACCTAGTTTGTATTGGTTCCCAATGGAAATTGCTAGGTTTCAGTAGAAACAATACCAAAAATTTTTAAATGGTCTAAGTTGTTTGTAGAATCTATAGAATAGTGAACTTAAAGCTGATAATTACGGGTAAGTAGTGAGTTTGGCTATTGAAATCGATGAAACTGTGAATAATAATGTTGTTATTTGGGAGTCACTTGATTCACATGATAAGATTTCATTATAGGTAAGTAATAGAGATAATATACTTACTGATCAACTTTAAGTCCTTTGTTTAAATAAATTTAAATCAGCAGTTGTCATAAAAAGGAATTTTAACTGCAGTGAAACATATATTAGCATATACTTTTTTTTTACAAAATGCGTAAATAAAAACAATTTAAATTTTTTTTAATATGTAGATTGCTGGTTGGCATAAGAGCAAAAAAGTTGTATTTGTATAACCTTTTTTTAGTTTTCCAACTAAAAATAAAACTTAGAAAGCCAGAGAGTGTATGTTTTTCTCACGTCAACTAAGCAACAACCTGAATGAAAATTTATTCTGGCTCATCAGGACATACAACTGCAAGAACCTTCATTAGAAAGCTGTCAACATACGTTGACACTTATTGAGGACTATCCGTTGAGGTCTGTCTCTGGTTTGGCCATTTTCCGTTGCGGGCTTTTTAATGACGTCCCTGCAGGTGGCAGTGGGTGGCTGTGCATCCGACTGCGACTTTGTTGTTTGTGTGGCAGACACGTGTCCTCGCAGTTGCCGTTGCCCCATTGTGTGGCACAATGTTTTATGAATGTAAAGTGTGTGCGATAAGTGGCAGTTTCACATTGTGCCCTATCCGTGTGCCCCCACACTTGTGCGCTCAGACACTCATAATTCTAGGGATTATTCGCGCCTGAAAGCAGGTAGAACATGATGCTGTTTTCAGCCCTGGTTGATATGGCTCATACGCCACGTACGCCCGTCGAAATAAACTTTTCTCATCAGGCAGCAGGCAAATGAGCTGTTTAATTCCAGAGCTCGTTGCTTATGTGGCTGCCATCGAAAGTAAAAATATTTATGACAGACAAATAAGGATCATGATGCACTTACCGACTTAATGGTGCATGCTTTTGTAATCAACTCTCTTGAAGTTTTGAGAGCCAAGTAGAGGAAAGGAAACTTTTTATTTAAGAATTTAAAAAAAAAACAACCAAAGTTTACTTTATTTCAATACACATGTTGAAAGATATTAGTTAAATTAAACGACTCATTAAAAAACTTAATTTAATCTATCACTAAATGATTTATACAACTCAACAAAATGTCATTGATTAAGCTCTTTTTATTACATCCATTCTAGATACTACTAAGAACTTCAAAAGTAAGCAATGACCTACCTAGAAAATTGCATCCACTAATGGATTTTTTTCAAAGAAAAATTTCGGCATTGATTATTAAATGTAGAGCTTTTTTTTCAAAACAATTTTGATGTTAATTCAATTGATATTAAAGTGTTTAATTGATTAATGAGCAAAATAACATTTTCTCAAATAGAAATTTAAAGAAATTGTAAGATTTAGTGTGATAAACCTCGCTTAGCTGATCTCGTAGTGATACTTTCCGTTGCAAGAGTAAAAAGCCCTAAAAACAGGGGTAAAAACGAAGAAAATTTTTCCGACATCGTCATCGCCCGTTGTCGTATCCTGCGTGACTCGCACGTCCTGTTGTCGGAGGGATAAGTGCATTGCGTTGGCCTTCAACTGGAATTTATGGTGTGGTGCGGTAGGTCACAAATAATGCATAAACCTGGCCAAGTGGCAAGTGGAAAATGGCAGTTGGAGAGCTGGAACTGAGTTTGGTTTTGTCTCGATTTTGACTCTGGTTGCGTTTGACTTGGCTGTGATTTTTTGGCATACGGGAGAGTGCATTTTAATTAAAAATTTTACCCGGGTAAAAGGGTGGGTGTGGTGTGAAGTGTGTTTGAATAGAGTTTTGTATACGCCCTGGTGTGCGGCTTTTAATTGAAGTGCTGCCTGGAGTTGAGGCTGCTCTTGTCGCCTATGTATTTGCATAATGAACTCAATTAAAAGTTGGCCACTTCTAGCACACCCTTCGTTGTCGGTTTGTCCCCCTCAGAGGTTAGACTTAAGCTAATGGCAGGAACTGTTTAACGTGGGTTCGACTCCTTCCTCCCCCCGCTGGTTCACTCGCTTTTGTCCTTGAGCAGCAGTTGCATTCGCTGTCCCACCAATCCCAGCGGCTTCCGCGCCACCAAATGGCACGTCGATTGCCTGGAGTACATTGGGGTTAAATTGGGATACCAGTGTGTACTGATTCACCACTCACTTGTAAATAATTTTCTCACGGTCCGCCCAGGGCCAAGATCGCTCCAGCTTATCCAGCCTAAAAAGCAACTGAAAAGAAAAAAGGAATTATGAGAGCTTTGCTGTTTTTTATGCCCTCAGCAGTAAATGTGTTTTACTTTTATACGAATAAAATGCTTAATCAACACCTGCCTATTTAAAAATTAATGTATTAGTTTAAAAATCATTATTAAAATTAAGATTAACATAATATGTTGCCAAAAAGCTTCAAACTAACAAATCAGTTTGTTTGTTTGAAAAAAATGGATGACAACATTCTTCTTATTTAAAAAACAAATTCTTTTTCCGTATAAAAATGGTTATAAAATGGTACCATGCAAGACTTAAAGAGTCATGATTTTTATTACAAAAAATTAGTACCAATTTTTAATAACAATTTTTTTTTTATTTTTTTGATTCGATATTGGCTTGTAAAATACAGACCATTGCGGATAACTTAATGTTCCGATTGTATTGTGCTGCGCCATTACCTTTTGTGTCTGTCCCTCGGCGGAATCTTGAGGCGGTGCCTGCGGTGTGGGCGTGGCTGGGCGCACCTTTGTTGGCTCCGCCTCCAAGAATGCATCCTTCTTCATCGGCTGCTGCCCCTGAGGCGCCTCCTTCGCTTGGTTTCCCACAGTCAGTTCGCCCTCGGCCTCGGCATCGTTAACGCGCAACTTTGGCACATTGCGGAGATTCCAGGTGTAGGTGGTGTTCAAGAAGTCGCTGTCATCTTCGTCCTCCGACGAGGAACTGGTATCCTCGGCTGGTGCCGCTGGCAATTTCATAAAATACACAGCGCTGCCCGACTCATCCTCACCTTCGGATTCCGTGTCATCACTCGCCTCATTTGCCGGATAATTGGCTTCCGATGCATAATCCGATTCCGGCGTGACATCCTTCAGCTGCTTTGATTGCTTGCCACCTTTGGGGGCATCTCCCACCTCCAGTTCATCATCATCCACCTGAACCTGCACCAAATCATCTTCGTCACTTTCAGTGTCACCTGCCAGATCTCCATCCCTCAGCTCGAAGTCAAGGGCATCCTCGTCATAGGAAAACTTTCGCTGCACATAGGCCTCCTCGTCCTCGTCCTCGCCCTCATCGACCTCCGACTCACTCATTCGGCCAAAGCTTTGCGAAACGGTGGCCAGCGTGGAGCACAGGATCTTGGGTATTTCGGCTATGGCCGACAGCTTTCGCTGCATCTCCAGCAAGCGCATCTCGATGGAGCTGGCTCGAATGCGTCCTAAACAAAATTTATCAAGGGGCAGTTGGAATTGGGGGGTTTTCAGGGGATTTGTTTTTTTTTTTTTTATTAAAGCAACGAACACTGACACAAAATATCCAAAGTTATGTACACAAAAGTGAGATTAAAGTAGTCTATGCACTGAGAAAAAATGCACTCTAAATCATGAATATTATTGTTCAAAAATTTAAAATGTTACCAATTTTTTGTTGAATAAGAAAATACATTTATTAAGCCATTATTTTAAAATAAAGACCATTCGGTTGGTGTTGAATAATTTTCTTCTTAAAGAGAGCAAATCCATTATTTTTAATATTAAATATTTAAACGAAATCGAGACTCTTTTATTAGGATTTTTGATTTAAGTTACCCGTTAACCTTCGAATATGCTACATTTTCTGTCTTCAAAAATAAAGAACAAATATTTACGAATTTAAATTTTGCATTGTAATTTTACACTCGCATCTAGCTCAATGCTTTTCCCTAATAATTTCGATTTCAAGCTAACAGTTTTTCTCAGTGCAGGGTTAAGGGACGGCCAAGGGTCAAGCCGGTTTAGTTGGGAATTCGGCTCCTCACTTGGCCTTGGAGGCGCTGGGCAGAGCCATCAGCATGTTCTCGATGGTGTTGTTGCGCAGCTCGTGGTTGTCGCCCACCTCGGCGAAGAAGCGCCTGATGTTCTTGATGATCCGATGGTGGGGCAGCTCCTGGATCACGAGGACATGGCGCGGGGGGGCGGATAACACAGCGGAAAATGGAAAACGGAAAACGGAATGGGTTAATCTCGATGGCAGAGTTGTTGGCATGCAATCGTGTGGTTGGTTCACCTGCTCCTCCTCGTCGGACGACTCGTCCTCGCTGAGCTCAATGACCACCTCGTTGCCCTCGTCGTCCAGCTCGGTTTTGGTTTTCTTTTTCTTGGGCTTCGGCGGCTCCGGGGGGTCTTGCCACATTATCGGATGCCAACAACGCGAGCCAAGCAGGGGGGTTGGGTGGAAGTCTACAAAAAGATACAAAGCCAAGTGAGTACGCAACTGCACAGGAATAAACTGCAATCAAAACTTAACAAGCCTGTATTTCAATAAAAAAAAAACAATGTTTTTCTAAACTAAAAAAAATGTCAATAATGCAAGCAAAAGGAACAGCTTAAGATTATATATACTATTTTTTATTTAAACAAACACAGCTACAAATTTTTTTAAATTTCCTTCGTACAGTAAACACATTGAATAGCGTGTGAACGCCTTCGGTTTTCCTTAGTTCTTATTATCTTGGGAGTCAAAAGTATTTACACAAATCAAATGAAAAGATGCCATAAAATTGTGTAAATACTTTTAACCACCCCTGTTTATTTGATATTTTAAGCCAACAAAAACAAACTTTTAACATATATGTATTTTAATATCAAAAGCAATAATATAATTTCATCTTATGTCACTTATTTTTTTATATTATATTTTTGAAACGGTTTAGAAAGGTTAACCGGACTTTGAAAATATTTACTTTATTATTATTCCTCTTTCTTTTAGTATTTTCAAACTTTTAATGTCGCTATCGTTATAGCTTTAGTTTTTAGAAGTAGAGCAATCTCATTTTAATTAAACTACTAGAAATATGAAAAAAAAATTTAACTAAATACGGAATAAAAAAATTTTATTATATTACAGATAAGAGATGCATAACTTTTTCCTGTGTAGTCAAGGGAGGAGGCTGGATGGGAATGAAGTGTTCAGGGGCTCATGCAATTAGAGTTAACACGAGGCGGCATTAAGTACTCACCACTGGGCGGCGGCAGAGGCTTTGGCACCCGCATCACAATCGACTTCTCCTCTCCGGCCTCGAACTGGCCCATGGGATCGTCCTCGTCCATGCTGCACGAATGGGAATGGACGGAAGTGAGTAGTTTGCTCATTGCATAAGTTAAACGGCCTAAAAGCACAAAGGCCTTAAAGCCACCCAGACGCACTGAGAGCCAAGTGCATCTAGGGCAACCTACTTGCGCAGCAGGAAATGTATCTTCTTGGGCGTCGAGTTGATTTTCTCGTGGGCCTGGGAAAGTGTCAGCTGCGTGGCGTCCTCCTCGTTAATCTCGAGTATGATGTCGCCCAGGCGAATGCCCGCTTTGTCGGCCAAACCGTTGGGGGTCACCTGCAAGGACCGAAGGATGTCGATTTAAATCTAGAGCGATGCTATGCGATGCGATGCCGAAACGCCGTCGTTTCCTTTCACTTTTTTCCAACGATCAAAAAGCCACAAAAACCGCACCGTGCGAGTCTCGAGGCGCAATTGAATGGATATCTGCGTACTTTGAGTTTAGGTTCAGAAAATATACGCGATGCGCAAACGACAGATACAGATGACATGTATACGAGATGAGCTAACTGAACGTCTGCTCCCAAAAGAAAAGTCTCGACAAATAACGAATACAATAAAAACTGAAAGCTAAACAGAAATAATGCGGGATTTTATATATGAATATTTCAACTTGGTGTATACCCTCGACAAATTCTTTTAAAATTACATAGATTTTATCAACAAATAGATATTTAAGGTAAAAATTAATTTATATTTCTAATTCTTTCGAATCAACAATTCCCTTGACTCAAAAGTACGTTTTTTTTTATTTTTTAAGAATCAAGTGTAAATAGAAAAAAAAAGTTAATTATATTTAAATAAATACTTACTCTAAAACCAATTTAATTGGTTACTTGTTTTATAAATTATTATGTTTTTTGGTAACAACCTAAGCAGTCAGTTTATAAAACTCTTCAGTTTTAAAAATAAAATAAACAAAACAAATACTGATATTTTTCGTTTGCACAAAACGCGAACGTCAAAAGTAAAGTGTTGCACAAAAGTCAAAAACAATACTAATAGTTTTGCCTTATGCCATAAAGCACTTTGAATACATATACGCTACAGTCCGATTCATTTTTGTATGTTATTGTTCAAACAAAATAAAATATTGTGTTCTGTTTTAAAATAGAGTTCGCATAACTGCTTTGTAAAAAAAAAGTCATATAATAAAAATTATAGTTATTTTTATTCATATGTCTTTTATGGCACCAACTGTCTGCATGTTTAAATAAAGAAGAAGTGGAACTCAGCTAACCCAAATATTGTACATTCACTCGAGACTCTAGTGAGCCGAAAAGAGCCGCGTAGGGAGGAAAACCACGACAACTAAAAGACTAGAAAAGACTTAAAGGCTGAAGACTAAAAACAAAAGACGGGGCGCGGCAGGTGCAGATGCCAGAAACAATAAAATGTTCCTTTCTATTTGACGGCAGCCAATTTGCATTCGATGTGACTTCGTCATAGCATAATTGGAATTCAAATTTGACGTGGGTTGGGCGTTTGTTGTTCTGGCCCGCAACCAAAAATTGGAAACAATGACGAAACCGCAACTGCAGCGGAGGAGGTGCTACAGTACAACTTCTTTAACCGAAACCTTTTTTGTTTTACATTTTTGGATTTTCTAAGAAACAATTTGTTTTTTAAGTTGTTCTATTTTTGTGATCAAAGTGCAATATTGTTTCTGCTTTGTGTTGAATGCTTGTTTAATTTATTTTTTCAAGTTCTTTTTCTTTAATTTATATTTAACACAACCTCTTTTGATTTGCGTTGGAAAATGTTGATTCTAATTTTATAGTTCAAGTTAGTTCAATAAAATTTTTAAATTTTTTTCTTGTATCTATCACACTGTTTAACACCGCAATATATTTAATTACTATTACAATTAATTAGTAAACAATTTAATCAGGGTATTAATAAATGTTTGAAATAATTTCTTTTTTAATTTGTAATGCTGAAAAAATATGTTCCTTTATTTTTAACCAAAAAACGAGAATAATATGTCGTTACTGAAAAGGGCAATTGGAAAAGAAGTTAAACTGTATTGATAATATTGTTTGGTTGGAGTCAGATGGTTGCGTTCTCAAGCACCAACCACCACAATTTCAATCATAATCCCAATACAAGTCCCAGCCCAATGGCAACCTTAAAGGTAAGCCCAAAGGAAACCCCAACTCACCTGGAAAACTGTCAGCGGCATGTGGAACTCGGCTCCGCCGGTGATTAGAAATCCCCATTTGCTGTCGTCCTTGGTGGCATATGCATCGGAGTCGACGTCGAAGGCGGGATAGCCATCGGTGTCGCCGATGCCGCAGGACATCTTAATCACCGGCGCCTTCGCCTTTGTCTCCGGCATCGAAAAGACCAGTCCCCGTGGCTCCGGCATCGCGTTGTTTACCCGTACTCTTCCGAAGAGACTCCGGATCTCTTGCTACCCACTGGTTTTATTTATAAATTCGCACTTTGCCGGCGGCACTCTTGATTTTCTATTTTATCTCTTCAATAGCTCTTTTGCTGCGAAACTTTTTGTTGCTCTTTTCGTTAAAGTAGTTGTTGTTTTTTCGCCTGTCAAAATTCCGCTAGTGCAAAAATATTTTTCGAATTTTGCCGGCTTTTTGACGCAGCCTGAATTTCGCTGTCTTTTCAACTTTATTTGCAACAAAAAGACCTTCTTGAATACTTAAACTATGTCCAATTGTACGAGTTATATAATAATCAGTTACGCATTGCACAATCCGAATCTCATTAAATTTTCATCTGCAAAGTGCTGAAAACTACGGAAACTCCAAAAAAATGTAGAATAACCACGACCTCGACTGAAACAGTTAATATTGGGAAGTGTATTTAACACTTTCTGTTGCCGTAGATGGCTCCTTCTGTTTTTTTGGCTTCTCTTTCACTTCCACACAACTGCACTCGACTTGGGCAACTAAAATAATTTTCGAGAAGTTTTCCTTTGTGGCTGCATCTTTTCCATTTTCCTCGTTCTCTCTCTCACTTTTCCTCTCCTCCTTTTGGTTAGTTTTTCCTTTTTTTAGATAATGTGCCGCCGCAGAATAGTTGCTTTTGGCTCGTTTTTTTGCATTTTCTCCAAGTTGAACACACTTTGTTAATCATTGAATACATATTTTAACATAAAGGACTTAATGTACAAATATCTACTATATTAGAGATAGAAATGGTAGGGTTGTAATTATTTAGGTTTTTTTCTTTGCACCACTAGCAGTAAAACCATTGGTAAGTTATAGGAATTGTATAGAAAAACAACAGATGTTAGGTATACCAATTTTATAACATCGATAGATAAATCAATAAATAATAAAAATAAACCATGCAAGTAAATCAATCATTATGATAAATAAACTGAGCAAAATTCCCTTAACAAGGAAATTTGTTTGTACTTTATTTTTCTTGGAGACTAAATTTATTTATTAAAGCCTATGGGCACTCAACTATATATATGTGAGTACATGTCAAATACCAAGTATTAAAGCCAAGTAAACAACTTGAACGTGCCAAGCTCACAAGAAAAGTATTCCGCTTGTCAAATAAATAACAATGGAAAATCAAAATTCCATATGAAAGAAATTTGAAAAGAAAAGCCCAAAGAAAAGTCCCACACACACAAACACCTGATACAAAAAATTCGATTAGCCCAGGGAATACTGCATACATATGTACGTATGTAGTGAGTTCAAGGAAACACACAAAATGTGTTGAATCTGGCCGTAAAAGAGTGAGCAAAACGTGTCTTATCAGCCAAAGTAACAAAAACAACCAACGGTGACAGCCACAAGACAGACAAAGGGATATAGCCTGCAGCATAATTTGAGAGCAAACTTTTCAATACCCCAAAACCTCGAAACGAGCGCAAAATGCAGATGACACGAATCACAAAAAAAATTATGTTAAAAAAAAGGCAAATAGATACTGCGAGTATGCGTTGCTTTTCTAAAAAACAAATATTTTGTTTCAAAATTGGCACGTAAGCAACATACAAAACTAAAAAGCTTAAATTAAAAAGCTTAAAAATCGTTTAGAAATTTTTAAGAATTTGAAATATAATATATAAACTCTATATATGCTTTAAGTCAAGCTTTTAAGTAAGGTACCCATAACAAAAAAACAAGCACTTCAAATTCTAATCTTTAGAAAGCGGAACATTTTTTATTAGCCTTGTTTTGCCATTTTAACTCAAATTAAAATAATTAGACAATTAGATAAAATCCTTTATTTACAGCCGCGCTTCGAATGCAAATGTTTAAATTTCTATACCAAAATTGTTAGACTAAAATCCCCCAAATTAATCATGAGTTCTAAGGCACACGCATTGACATCAAACTGACACATCTTTGGTCTGAGCTCCGACGACATTGACGCCGCTGTCTTGATAAGGATGGTAAAACTGATAACGCGGCAGATGACTAATGGGTCAGGGTTAAAGTGACTGATATTTGATATTTTATTTCAACTTTATTTTCACTTTTCAGGTAAAGATGAGCAAATTGTGTAAATGTCTGCTATTTCGATGTGACTGTTTAAGGAATTGCCCTTCTCCAAATTTGTTGTATCACGCTTTGGGCAAATAAGGGCAAGGTTGTATAGGTTCCTATACCTTTCCTCTTCAGCTGATCTGCTCCTTCTGGCATGGGTCTCCAAGGCTCGATGTTTGTTAAAATGGGCTCTCTTCTCCTCCTCCGATGCAGCTTCCTGGGAGCTGTCGATCTTTTCCTTAACTTCGTTCTTGGCACCGTCATTGAGCTCCTCGGAAGAGCTGCTGGCGACCTTGGCGGCACCTCTTTGAATAGTGTCTTCGATACTGCTGTCTGGATCCTGCTGCCCCAGTTCGGCGTCCTGACTGGAAGCCACCTCCTCAGACTCCTCCTGATTTAGCGGCAGAGCAATTGCAGCATTCAGCACGAATGCTGCGATTAAAAGCAGCAACGCAGACCAGCGCATTGCTTTAATTCTTGTTGTATCCTTTTAAACTATATTTCAATATCCTTCCTTGGGTCTAACTCTCACTGAGAGTGACTTTTTCGAACTGTTTTAGAACAGTTGCACAGGTTCGCCAAGAAACCTCATCAAATTTACTATCGCCTCCACGGCGATTATGTGATTATTTACTCAAATATTATTGAGTCAGGCAGATAACAAACAAACAACGTTCTCTGTATATAGCATATGGCTGGAACCTAACAGACGCTTTTAGTTCCCTCAACATGGCACGTAATGCCTCGTTGTAAATTATACTTAAGCCATTATATATTTATTTAATTTCCTATTAAGAAATAAATATTTAGTAAAATAAAAAGCGTTATTCTGAATTAATACACCATATATTTGTGTAATATTTTCATTATCTCCACAAGAACTATATTGTCGTGTGATTTAAATCAAATTACTATATCTTAACACCGAAGTTATATTTTTTTTTTCGATTGTCTCTCTGCTAGCTATATGACTTAGTAGGCAGGCCCGGCCCGCTCCGATTTATAAAGAATATATAACATATATATAATGTATACTACCTGCAACAGAAAAAGTCTTCTTACAAAGTTTAATCAAAATAACTTGAAAACCAAGGGACTAGTTAGCGTGGAAACAGACGGACGGACGGAGAGACGGTTATTTCTAAATAAAAACGTGTGGCGATGCTGATCAAGAGTATATATACTTTCTACTTTACTTTACTTTTCACTGAAATTATGCCCTCTGCAAGGGTATAACAAAGTGAACTCAATTCCACGATAGCAGTTTCTTTATAAATCGCAATTGTAGAGCAGTTATTTACCAAGCGGTAAGTAACCCGAAATAAAAAATGAGATTTCTTCCAAAATTGTGTTTGTTAATTTGAAGGTTTAATCAGTTTATTGCAATTATTTTAGACTAACAATCCTTTACTTAAAATCTCGCAATATTCCTTTAAATCTTGACTATTATTATGCCGACTAAGCATAACTGAGCACAACAAGTTCATATCAGCAAAGCTTTTCGTCGAGCCCTTAATGTTGTTCCCAGGTTCCTTTAGATCCAGTGGCAGTGCAACTGCCGCACTCAGCACGAGGACTAAGATTAGAAGTAAAAACGTTGATTGTTGCATTTAATTACTTTTAATTTGTGAAAGAACCTTGCTTTACGACGGAATTATTCGAACTGATTTTTAAGACGGAGCCACAATAACTAATAATCTCCCGTCGACAAATATTTTCGGTCCAGATAATGGAAAAAACACATGAACATCGTACATGTTTTTAAAATCTCTATATATTATATACCCTTGCAGAGGGTATTAAAAAATTGGTCAAAATTTTGTAACGCAGTGAGGGAGATTTAATTTATAAAGTACCCTATTAAGTATATATGTTCTTAATCTTTACTGTTTTTGAGCTCAGCTTAAAATCTAGAGACTTTTAACCTTCGCAGACATATGCTTTTATGAACGAAATGTCTTTGTATTATAGCTGCCATAGATACAATCAGGTCAAAATGTTAGATGGCGTTTTTAGTTATTTTTTTGCCTTATATAATGGGTATATATAGTTTCAGATCCATCCCTAGACTGCAAGGGTATTTAAACATTGTTTTGCCAAAGCTAGCTTCCGTTCTCGTTTTAATCTTGTTTTTATTAAATGGAGTGTTTGTATTTTGTAGTTTTAATTGAATATATTAAAAACAAGAAAGAAAGCAAACTTCGGCAAGCCGAAGTTCATATACCCTTGCAGCTATTGCAAGAATTAAACATTTTTGAAAACATTAAAATTATGATTTACTTTCGTATATGTTTAAAAACATTGAAGCTATGATGATTTGCAGCCCAATTACTTGATAGTTATTTTATACATTTTTATTATTTCTAAAGGAGCTATATGATATAGACGTCCGATTTTGATAAAATTTAAACCATAATTCTGAAATATTTAACCATTGCTATATGTCGAAGAACTAAACAAAAAATTAAAAAACAGAAAAGTTATAATTTTTTTTCATTTATTTTTCCGATTGTTCCTATGGGAGCTATATGATATAGTCGTCCGATTTTGATGAAATTTAAACCGTAAATCGGAAATATGTAACCATTACTAAATGTCGAAGAACTAAACAAAAAATTAAAAAACAGCAAAGTTATAATTATACCCTTGCAGAGGGTATTATAATTTCAGTCAGAAGTTTGCAACGCAGTAAAGGAGACATCTCCGACCCTATAAAGTATATATATTCTTGATCAGCATCACTAGGCGAGTCGATCTAGCCATGTCCGTCTGTCCGTCTGTCCGTCTGTCCGTCTGTCCGTCCGTTTATATGCAAACTAGTCTCTCAGTTTTAAAGCTATCTGCATGAAACTTTCCCAAAAGTTGTCTTTCTATTGCAGGTAGTATATAAGTCGGAACGAGCCGGATCGGACGACTATAGCATATAGCTCCCATAGGAACAATCGGAAAAATAAATGAAAAAAAATTATAACTTTGCTGTTTTTTAATTTTTTGTTTAGTTCTTCGACATTTAGTAATGGTTAAATATTTCCGATTTACGGTTTAAATTTCATCAAAATCGGACGACTATAGCATATAGCTCCCATTAGAACAATCGGAAAAATAAATGAAAAAAAATTATAATTTTGCTGTTTTTTAATTTTTTGTTTAGTTCTTCGAGATATAGTAATGGTTAAGTATTTCAGAATTATGTTTTAATTTTCATCAAAATCGGACGACTATAGCATATAGCTCCCATAGGAACAATCGGAAAAATAAATGAAAAAAAATTATAACTTTTCTGTTTTTTAATTTTTTGTTTAGTTCTTCGACATATAGCAATGTTTAATTATTTCAGAATTATGGTTTAAATTTTATCAAAATCGGACGTCTATATCATATAGCTCCCATAGAAATAATAAAAATATATAAAATAACTATCTTATAATTGAGCTGCAAATCATCATAGTTTCAATGTTTTTCAGCATATACTCAAGTAAATCATAATTTAAATATTTTCAAAAGTATTTAATTCATGCAATAGCTGCAAGGGTATATGAACTTCGGCTTGCCGAAGTTTGCTTTCTTTCTTGTTTTTTTCATTTATTTTTCCGATTGTTCCTTTGGGAGCTATATGCTATAGTCGTCCGATTTTGATGAAATTTAAACCGTAAATCGGAAATATTTAACCATTACTAAATGTCGAAGAACTAAACAAAAAATTAAAAAACAGCAAAGTTATAATTTTTATACCCTTGCAGAGGGTATTATAATTTCAGTCAGAAGTTTGCAACGCAGTAAAGGAGACATCTCCGACCCTATAAAGTATATATATTCTTGATCAGCATCACTAGGCGAGTCGATCTAGCCATGTCCGTCTGTCCGTCTGTCCGTCTGTCCGTCTGTCCGTCCGTTTATATGCAAACTAGTCTCTCAGTTTTAAAGCTATCTGCATGAAACTTTCCCAAAAGTTGTCTTTCTATTGCAGGTAGTATATAAGTCGGAACGAGCCGGATCGGACGACTATAGCATATAGCTCCCATAGGAACAATCGGAAAAATAAATGAAAAAAAATTATAACTTTGCTGTTTTTTAATTTTTTGTTTAGTTCTTCGACATTTAGTAATGGTTAAATATTTCCGATTTACGGTTTAAATTTCATCAAAATCGGACGACTATAGCATATAGCTCCCATTAGAACAATCGGAAAAATAAATGAAAAAAAATTATAATTTTGCTGTTTTTTAATTTTTTGTTTAGTTCTTCGAGATATAGTAATGGTTAAGTATTTCAGAATTATGTTTTAATTTTCATCAAAATCGGACGACTATAGCATATAGCTCCCATAGGAACAATCGGAAAAATAAATGAAAAAAAATTATAACTTTTCTGTTTTTTAATTTTTTGTTTAGTTCTTCGACATATAGCAATGTTTAATTATTTCAGAATTATGGTTTAAATTTTATCAAAATCGGACGTCTATATCATATAGCTCCCATAGAAATAATAAAAATATATAAAATAACTATCTTATAATTCAGCTGCAAATCATCATAGTTTCAATGTTTTTCAGCATATACTCAAGTAAATCATAATTTAAATATTTTCAAAAGTATTTAATTCATGCAATAGCTGCAAGGGTATATGAACTTCGGCTTGCCGAAGTTTGCTTTCTTTCTTGTTTTTTTCATTTATTTTTCCGATTGTTCCTTTGGGAGCTATATGCTATAGTCGTCCGATTTTGATGAAATTTAAACCGTAAATCGGAAATATTTAACCATTACTAAATGTCGAAGAACTAAACAAAAAATTAAAAAACAGCAAAGTTATAATTTTTATACCCTTGCAGAGGGTATTATAATTTCAGTCAGAAGTTTGCAACGCAGTAAAGGAGACATCTCCGACCCTATAAAGTATATATATTCTTGATCAGCATCACTAGGCGAGTCGATCTAGCCATGTCCGTCTGTCCGTCTGTCCGTCTGTCCGTCTGTCCGTCTGTCCGTCCGTTTATATGCAAACTAGTCTCTCAGTTTTAAAGCTATCTGCATGAAACTTTCCCAAAAGTTGTCTTTCTATTGCAGGTAGTATATAAGTCGGAACGAGCCGGATCGGACGACTATAGCATATAGCTCCCATAGGAACAATCGGAAAAATAAATGAAAAAAAATTATAACTTTTCTGTTTTTTAATTTTTTGTTTAGTTCTTCGACATATAGCAATGTTTAATTATTTCAGAATTATGGTTTAAATTTTATCAAAATCGGACGTCTATATCATATAGCTCCCATAGAAATAATAAAAATATATAAAATAACTATCTTATAATTGAGCTGCAAATCATCATAGTTTCAATGTTTTTCAGCATATACTCAAGTAAATCATAATTTAAATATTTTCAAAAGTATTTAATTCATGCAATAGCTGCAAGGGTATATGAACTTCGGCTTGCCGAAGTTTGCTTTCTTTCTTGTTTTTCATTTATTTTTCCGATTGTTCCTATGGGATCTATATGCTATAGTCGTCCGATCCGGCTCGTTCCGACTTATATACTACCTGCAATAGAAAGACAACTTTTGGGAAAGTTTCATGCAGATAGCTTTAAAACTGAGAGACTAGTTTGCATATAAACGGACGGACAGACGGACAGACGGACAGACGGACATGGCTAGATCGACTCGCCTAGTGATGCTGATCAAGAATATATATACTTTATAGGGTCGGAGATGTCTCCTTCACTGCGTTGCAAACTTCTGACTGAAATTATAATACCCTCTGCAAGGGTATAAAAAGAGAGAACGCTTTAGTCAATTTTACCGACTATTAGATACCCGTTTCTCAATGCGACTTGACAGACGTGATAAGTGTGGCTCCGTATTAAAATAAACTTGCATTGCATAGGATACTTTATATACTTTATATGATATATATATAGCTTTCTACTCCACGAGTAACGGATATAATAAGCGTCTTTCCCGGATTGACGTATTTGGGTATCCGAGTTGTTTAACCGCAACCCTAAAAGACTTGTTACTTACAAGGTGAATGATGAAATCGAGAAACCTGTAAGCCCTCTTACTGATTCCACCACGATACTAAGAAATTTAGAGGGGCAGATTTAAAACTTAAGAATTTTTCAATATGGGAAAAGTCAGAGTTATTATGTAGTTTCTTATTTTGTTTATTAAAAATCATTAGGTGTTAAGGAAGTCATTCGGCGTAGGTGGCCTCATTGGCCTCTTTAGAGCTGACTTCCATGACCTCACAGCCCTGGGCGTAATCCTCGATGCTGGTGTTATCCTTGCCATTCAAAAGCTCAGATGCAGCTCGGGCCATTTCCTCGTCCAGCTCCTTCTCTGCCTGGGCGTCCAGCTCTGGTTCATCGTTGGCTTTTTTATCCGTCGACTCCTCTGGGGCTATCTCGCGCCTTCTTCTATATTCCACCAAATCGCAAATAAATTTTCTCGCATCAGCATCAATCATTTCAGGCGTAATAATTTGCATACACCTTCTTATCTTGGCTAGATCGTTATATTCCATCTCACTATCTCGTCGTTTTCGGGCGGGGGTATTTTCAGTTGTCGTCTTCTCCTCGGAAGAGGAGTCCCCGGAGATGTTTGCCTTGTCCTTCGCCTTGTCCTTGTGCTCCTCGGAGGAGCTGCTGGAATCTTTGACCGATCGCTTATTGATGTTGTTACCGGCGCTGAGGTCCAGGTCCTGCAACTCCTCAATGTCCGGGCTTTCCGCCAGGATCTGTTCCAGCCAGTCTTCCTCGGACTGCTCCAGACTCACGGGCAGCGCCACTGCCGCACATAGCAGAAGGGCTGAGACTAGCAGGAGCAACAACGGTCGCTGCATTGCTCTTATATCCTTATTGTATCCTTGTAAACTGTTAATCCTCGAGGCACACCTTGCGCCAAGACTGACTTTTCCAAACTGAATTCGAGCGGCGGCAAAGATTTCCCACGAAACCTTTAAAATTCATTTTCGCGTGGACTGCGATCTTGTGATTATGGGAGCAAATGTAATTAAAGCTTCAATCAAACGCAGTAAAAAGTACGTTTGGCATATAGATTGCACATAACACTATCTCTCTGTTTCCGCGGCACTGCGCAATTTCCGAGTTTGTGCCAATTGCGAGTTCAGAATACCAGAATACCAGACTCGCCTTGCATAATTCATCACAATAAATTGAGAGGCTGTGGGACGCGATGCACTACTGAGCTGCCAAAGCAAAGCAGACTGATAAGCCCACGGATCACAAAAGATCAGCCCGACGCGCAATTTGTAATTATTGATGCTTTCCAAAAACAAACATAAAAATACGTACAACACGAGCACACAGTAAACAAATATGTTGGAAAATATCTGATCAGTGTGCTTGGTCCAAGTGTAATCAATAAATAAGTAAATGAAATAAATAAGTATTCATTTTTTGACATTATTTATATAAACTGAACTTTCTTTAAATAGTTGTTTTAATAAATATTATTAATTATTACGAAATATGTTTACAAATGACCAACGATTTTAGTGACCCCCATTTTTTTTGGCTTTACGCCTTAATTAGAACCTATATATGCAAGAATGATTTTGATACGTAAACACTTAGTCATCTTGTTATTTAAAATTATACTTTGTTATCAAAACAACTATTAATAATTGCTATATTTATTTAGAATTAAAGATTAAAAGGTTAAATACCTATTTAGGTAAACAAAGGCTATAAATATAGGTTAAAATCATCAAACTACGTAATTCAATTTAGGATACACAGATATGTCAGTTTTTTATCTTGCTGTGTAGAGTAAAAATCGTAAATTACAATTTCGCCGGGCGGAACGCGCCAGCGTAATTGAAGCGCAGTTGGAGGGGAAAGTCAAGTTCAAGGGTTCTCTTAAGTATCCGTCAGATACTGTAGCCGCCTGAGCCGAAAATGCCACTTAATGCAGACAAGCAGAGGCGTGGAAAAGGATTCATGAAAATGTTTCCGACGGAATGATAAATAGGAAAAGGATTCCCCCGGTTTCGGTCAGGACGTGAGCCGACTGGGAAGTAGGCCCACTTAGAAGACCACATGTGCCCGCTGACGGATGTCCAGGGACAATTATTGTGTCGCCAGTGTTTACCCAGCTATTAAACGTCCATCAGAACCTTGGCCAACACTCACCTGAAGGCGTGGCAATGGCTTAAGCGGCTTCGGAAACAAATTTATTTAACTGCCATCAAAGGGGATTGGCACATTGCGTCTGTCATAAAAAAGTTATTTGGCCTCCGTGCCGGATCCGGCTTATTGAATATGATTCCCAGATGTCCTCCGAACATCAAAGGCGGCCGGCGGGTTTGAGGAGTAAAGTCGCAGGCTCATGCATAATTTAAAACAATTTGGCATTTTGCTGAATCAATTTCGCAGCCAAGAAGACAATCAAAAGGAAAGTATTAAGACCTGTAATCCATTCCAAGTGCTGCAGTGCTTCTCATGCAAATTACAATCTCCAGCACTGCAGCACTTTTATGTAAATCGCCCGGCACCTGGTGCTGCCCGAAAAGCGCGGCTGGATGAACTGAATTAAAGCACCAACATTTTGTCATATTTATTAAAAATTTATCAATGTCATAAAGTTTACCGCGCTGGTACAAAATAAAAAAGCACTCGCACACAATGGGCAACGATCAATCAAATTTAAAGCCGTCGCAGGATTTACTTAGGACCTTCAATTGGACTCCAGATGGTGCTTAAAATCGCAGCAGTTTCCCATTAAATTCATGCAAAGTTTTATTTTGGTCAAAACAAAAAGTTTTACCAAAAATACTCAAAAATATTTATTATTGATTATACACTTAAGTTTGCTAAATAAAACTTAAGCAATTTAAAGTTTAGCAATGAGTATTTGCAAGTTATTCATGTAAAACTTTAAAACAGAATTAGTATATGAATACAATTATTTTAATTATAATTCATGGCTTTGTTTAAAATCTTTTCTTTTGAAAAACCAAAACAAATATATTTGTACTTATCATTTAAGCCTAAAAGTATGCAACTATATTTAACTTGCTTTAACCTTTAGTATAAATAGATAATAATAATAGATAATAATTGGTAATAATTAGTAATTGTATATTATTTTTTTTTAAAATAAATTAATTGAAGCAAACCTTTATTATTTACTTTTTGCATATTCGAATTTTTGAGTTATATGTCACAACTAAAAGGAACCTGAAACACACAAAAAAAACTCTTACCCCACAAACAACACACAAAACACACAGAAAACAACACAAAAAAACACAAAAAAAACATATAAATATAAAATAAAGAATAAAAACTAATAAAACCAAAAAGACAACAATATCCGCCATGGAACAAAACCCCGAATCCGCGGCGGAAGTCGTGCCAGTAGTTGAGACCATCGAGGAATCAGCAGATCACGGGAAAGTTGAGATTCCCAATGTGGTCTTGCCCCCTGAGTCCGCTGCCGAGTCGCAAGAGATTCCCAAGCCGGAGGAAATCATCCAACCAAAAGCCAGTGGAACCAATGTCCAGGAGCAGACTCCCCTTGCAACCGAATTGGAGCCGGAGTCGGATGAGGGCCAGGAAACAGGAAGCTCCGAGCACTTGGCTTCCGAGTCAACCGACCTGGAAGGCGAGATGGTGGAAGCCACAGATGATCTTTCGCCTGAGGCTTCTAGGGAGAAAATGAAAAGGGAGCGAAAGGAGCGCTTGAAGAATTTCACCACCACACGATTTACACTCTCGAAAACCCAAGTACAAGATGAGGTCGAGGAGATTAAGGAGAAAGTGGAGAAAGTGGAGGAAGAGTATGAGAATGAGGTTGAGAATGAGAAACAAGAGGAACCGATGGACGATGTTGGTGTTGGCTTTGATACAGCCTCCAACGACGACGTGGAGATTGAGTCGTCGGATGTGTCAGAGCAGCAGGAAGTGTACGTTAAATTCCAGTCCCACAAAATGGTGGACCTATTTCCGCCCGACGGTTTCTCCAGCCCAACAGATGATGCAGATATATTCTACAAGGATCCAAAGTATGACGATTGGGACGATTCGGCGAGCATGGCTGCCATGAGCATCATATCGACGAGACCGTTGAGTCCGGCAGACCCCGATTCCGTCCAGTTAAAGACAAACTTTCTGCGGAATTTCGATGTGCCCAGTCTGTCGGACATATCGGAGGAGCACGAACTGACCGCGCAGCTATCGCGAATTAAATCCACCTGCAGCTTGAAGGATCACGGCTTCTTTGTGGATCCTACCTCTAATTACAGCTCCAGTGCCAGCTCGGTACAAGAATCGCATGCCGAATTGGACAACGAGCAGCAGGACGAAGAGGTGGCTGCCGACGATCAGATTTCCGTCATGTCCATCATGTCCGACATACCTGAATACGCGGATCCCCCGCCCAAGGCTGTGCCGCAAAAAAAAGTCGTCACTTTGGATGATTTCGATGGCCTAACACATGTGGGATTTGATACAATGGAAACAGTAGATTCAGCCATTAGGCTTGCTCACGAGACCCAGATGGCTGTCCACGAATTGCTGTACGATCTGATCGAGGAGACGGCCAAATGGTCGGATAACCTGAATGTGGATAATGTGTATCGCGCCAAATTCGACAAGGAGAAGCTGATAAAAGAGCTCTTGAAAGTCACCGACCAATATATGTACGAGAAGTTCACCAACGAAATGGTGGGCAATCGGCTCATTGATTACTTCAAACGGAACCGCAACAACCGCGTTTTCCAGGCCCTCTCGCCGGAAAACGAAAAGCGCTACTCCGCCCGCTACATGAATGCCCTGAGCCAGCTGGACAGCCTTAAGGAACGGCTGGATGTGGCCAAGCACAAGCACGCCCTCGGCATGAACAGCGTGATCCTGGATCTCCACTCAGCCCAGAGCGTCGCCTCGTTCACGGAGCAGCACTTGGAGGACACTTTCCGGAGGCACCTGGTCCGGCCGGACTCGGAAGTCTTGCGACGCCTGGTCGATCGCGAGCTGAGGCTCATGGCCGGCAAGCGGAACGAGATCAGTGACACGAGGCTGTTCCTAATCACCAGAAAACACACCTTGGGTCACATACTGGGCGTGAGTAGACTACAAATAGACAAGGGTTAAGAGTAGATTTGATTTTTCTAGAGAAAGCTGATTTTAAACTAACAATGTCGGCACTGTTTTTTTATAGACAATTTTTAAAGAACAAAAAAACAGCTTTTGAACCGGTTTCATAATTGTTATTTTTTACCAATATAACTAAAATTTTAGTGATTTAACCGTAACCGATTAAATTATATTTTATGGTAAATAACAATTATTAATCATAACGTAATCTGCTTTAGAATATGAGTATATATTTAACCGCAAACTGAAACATTAAATCGATTCGATTTTAAAACCTGTTAAATAACAATTTATAGCAAAAACGTATAAATTTTGCAAATTTTGTACCGAAATTTTCTTCAAAAGCCATTAAAAACAAAATATTAGTGACCATTAGTGACCGCATATTCTTTATTAACTTAAAGTTTCATTTATTATGTTTTTGTCCTCTCTAGAAAATCACTGAATTGGAAACGTTGAGCGACACCTTGAGCATAAATGACTTCATAGCGGTGCAACATGAAGTGTTTGCTCTAGAGAAGAAAATCGAAGGTAGGCTTCTGTTAACCACCAGCTGAAACCAACCAAACAAACCCTGTTTCGAACCCAGAACGCAGCCTCGATCTGAAGAAGATGCGGACGCAGTACCTCATGGACGTGCATCTCATTCGGCACAAACGGGAGAAGGCGCTAGCCCTGGCCGAGAAGTTTGACATCCAGAAGACCGTGCTGAAGAAGGCCGTGGATAGGCAGCGCATGCTGCGAAAAAAACTCTACGATGTGAAACTGGAGCGCAACAAGTTGCGCCAGCAGTCCAGGGATCTGACCTACCAGGGCGGCATCCTGGCGATGCCATCGCTGATGTACGACTTCGACCAAACCATGGAGCGTCTGAAGGAGAAGGAGGACACCGTGTCCAAGCTCAGGGAGACCATGAAGGCACTGACACGTCGGATCAGCCTAGTAGAAGGAAGAAGTGTGTAGAAACTGCTTGCATCTGAAGAATCCATTAAACATTACAATTCATTTTAACAAATCTATGACTTTATTTTCTAGAGGAGTAACAGCTTTTAAATAGAGAAATCTTTGGTTAAATAAAAATAGTTTTACTCAAGAAAAAACAAAATTTTAACAAAGCTTGAAAAAATATATTCGTAGTTAAAAAATGTAATTTTCACATTTTAAAACTTATTCATACTTAAAATGATTTTTTGGTGCTCCTTGAAAATGATGTCAATCAAAGCGGTTAGACTTCACTCACAAAACAAATACACACGAGTACACACACAACTCAATACTATAAACGAAAAATAAACACTAAAAAATATATATGAATGTATAAAAAAAAGCAAAAGTTGTTTTAAAAATATCCTAAAAATATAAAATAAGAAAGATAATATAAGTATTATAAAAACTAATTCAAATATACCTCACCAATGGAAACTGAGACTAATACAGAGCTTCAGCTAGAAGATGTCATTGACGAAACTATCGTAGAAGAAGCATCCATTCACGAAAATGTGTCCACACAATCCACGCCGTCCAGTGAGGATATGGTGAAAAGCGCTGAGAAGGAGGAAAAGTTGCTGATGCTGAGGGAAGTCAAGAGGCGGCTAAGGGAGCGCGAGAAGGAGGAGGAGAAGATCCTGGAAGTCCAGTCCATATCGGAAAAGGAGGAAGAGGAGGAGCATTTGTTGTGGTCCAAGCTCGAAGATGATGTCGAAAGTAAAGTCAGAAGAACAACTCGGTTCTCCGACGTGGCCGCCTTCACAAAGACTTTGGAAACAGCTCAAGATGAAGGCGAAGATTCACCCGCTCCCTTCGAATCCTCCTCAGAATCGGAGCCAGAAGTCCCTGAGACCGGACGCAAAGACAGCATCGACCCCATGAAGTTGGCGGTCAAAACGCTAATGCTGGTTCCTAGTCTTTCGGATATTTCGCTGCCCACGGAGCCGGAACCAGACACAAAATCCATAAGATCTCAGTCGGTAAAATCTCAACGATTAACCATCGCCGATAATGATTACGATTCGGTTGAGGGGGAGTCTGGCGAATCACACAGCGATTCACAGACATCCATGGGAAATCAAATCAGCTCAAGGTCACTAAGAGAATCCTCATCGGACGAGATTTTAGAGGAGGTTCCATTTTCTGACCACACGATAATAGATTCCCAAAAGGACATGGACTTCGAGAGCTACTTTGCTAACCAGCGGGAAAAAAGCGCAGTGTCAGAAGCCGACGTTAGTGCAGAACTTCGGGCTAAGGAGACGCAACAAGTTGTTCTCGATTTTCTTAACGACATGATTAAAAGTGTTGTAGTAGAAGAGCGCAAGGATACGGACGAGTATATCCGAAAGAGTCTGGACAAGGAGAAGCTGCTGGTCTTCCTGCAGAGGGACGTGAATGACCACATCGTGGTGAACGATAGTCACAGGCTGCTCCAGGAACGGGTGATAGACTACTACCGTCGCTCCAAGAACCAGCGACCCTTTGCCGACTTGCCCCTGAACGAGGAGATGGCATACGCATCCCGTTACGACCAAGCTCTGGCCTATTTGTCCTACGCCCAAGAGCGCCTGGACAAGGTCAAGGAGAAATACAGCATTTTGATGACCAAGGCTTCGTTGGACCTCGACCATGCCATGCACATCGTCTCCGGCACGGAGGCGCATCTGGAGCAGACCGTGCGACGACTCCTGATCCGACCGGATGCCGAGAGCGACTTCCTCAAGCGTCTGGTTGCCCGCGAGCTGCGGCTGATGGCCGAACTGCGAAACAGGATCAGCGACACCCGCCTGTTGGTCATCTCACAGAAACACACAATGGGTCTCATAACGAAAGTAGGTATATCTCAGTGAAGCTGTCATTATATGACTATTTTTTATGTTGATTAGGTAGTTTTTATATAATTATTATTAATTTATTATACACAAAAAAAAACCCAAAACATTCTCCCCTTAGAAAATAAAAGAGCTAGAAATGGTTTGCGAAGGTGTAAGCATGCAAGACTTCATAATGGTACAAACAAAGACGTTAGGATTAGAGAAAAAGATTGATGGTAAAACTTTTCACATACTCCTGTCTTCAATCATCATAGATATTTTATTTTTAAAACTCAACCAGATCGAAATCTTGATTTAAATAAGCAGCGCAGCCACTATTACACGGAATTGCATCTTATCAAGCATAATCGTGAGAAGACGCTTGCGCTCAAGAACAGAATAGTTCAACTGAAGATCAAACTTATGGAAAAGAACATTATTAAAAACGACGTAAAGACCAAGCTGTATCGGGCGAAACTGGAACGCAAAAAGATTAAAGGTCGAATAAATGAGTTGACCTACCAGGGTGGTATACTGGCGATGCCCGCTTTGATGTACGACTATGATCGCACGGTGGCCTATATTCGAGAAAAGCAGGAACGGGTCGCCAGCTTAAAGCAAACCCTGAGATCCCTTAACAGTCACCTCCGAACTGTGTTGCCAGGTACAACGAAAAGTCTATTTCATTTGGATTCCTAACAGTTTTAAGCTAAATACATTTTTTCACAAAAATATATTTTAATGTGTGTCATTTCTTAATACTATAAACAACAGACTTAATTGGGTAAGCGGAAAATACATGACTTCCTACTCATAAGTTCATGCATCAATTATAACCCTGAATCGGCACAGAAAATCTTTTAATGGACCATTATAAAAAAATATATATCCCAAATATTTTCACTGTCAAGTTTGTTATTTATATGCCTGCGTTTATTTATTCCTACTATATGTTGAACAAAAAGAAACCAAGTGAAAATACCGTTTGGTTGTTCTCATTAATATTTTGAGCAATTGTTGGAAAATTCGAAATTCTAAAAATATAAATTCGGAATTTGGCACGCTTTGCTCTTAATCATCTTTCTTGAGCACTGTTTGAGTTTCAAGAACACACGAACTTATTACGTTTCAATTAGCCAAAACTAATATTTCACTTAAGGACTGCATAAATCACTAAATGAAAATGCAAAATGGCTGCTAAATCTCTATAAGTTTGGGTTTTGAATTTTGTTCAATAATATATTGTATATCTTCGGAACAGAAAAAATTAATTTCAAGACTTTTTTTGCGGAATAACAAGCTATAACCAATCAATAGATGCAAGGGGCAGGCTATAATAAATTAAGAAATTAGAAAAAAGTCTGGTGAGGGCGAGAAACATAATCTCAAAAGCTGTCTTGCTTTTCTAATTTTTGGCACCATCATAGTTGCACCTGCGATACACAGTTGCCTGTGTGTTTTTTTTAGAGTGAACAATTTCACGCCTCGCACAGGTGAGTTTAGGCATTTGTTTCGGGCAAATTCCTTTCCTTAGATATAGACGTGTATAGATGCCCAACCTGATGTTAACTCTGGCCATCGGTGATGCTGTGACCTCGACACGCTTTAGCGGAATTTTTCACATCGCACACACTCATCGGAGTGTGTTTATGTTTGGTTAATAACGTTGATACGATGATATATATATATATCTATACGTATAAAATTCATTTTTAGAACGCACCATAGGCAGATAAATAAAGTGTCTACACCCACACAAAAAACAACAGCAAGATCGTAGAGAACTCAAGGTTATAGAGGTGATCGGAAAGTCGAAAACTGGGATTTTTGAATTACTTTATTTTACTCATAAATAGATTAACTTAGGCGTATACTTAATTAAAGGCGAAAAGCCTTTGCGTTGCTTTAATGTGTTGTTTGTGTGAGTGTTTTGGTGTTTGGAGTTTTGCTTTGGTGAGGAATTTTTTTTGTGTTCATGTTTCATCATAAAAAATAGATATGGGTGTGTTCACTTAGAATACGTGTGTAGAAAAGTGGGTGTGTGTGTGTGTGTTTGGACCTCCTGGCGCTTACTTGCCGAGCAGGATCTTGCGGCCAGCGCCGATGTTCTGGCCAGCCTGGGTGGCTCCCTTGTTGGAGCCGGCCTGCAGACCCACGATGGTCTGGCCGGCCTTCAGCTGCTCTTCGGTGAAGTCGCGCTTGCACTCATCGGCGGGCTTGGGGCCCAGGAAGGGACCCTTGAAGTCGGCGTGCTTGTAGGTCTGTATAGGTCCAAAATCCACCGGTTAGAAAAGCCCTTACCAATACATTCAATAAGATTCAAAACTTACAGCACGGCCGAGGGCGAAGATGGTGTTGGTCACGTTGGCAATGTCCTTCTTCTCGTACAGATCGACGGTCTGGAAGACATCAATGTCGGGCACACCGTACTCCTTGAGGGCCTTCTGGAAGTTGTTGATGTTCTCCATGAACTTGAACTGGCCGCCCGAGGAGTTGACCTTGGGCACCGAGTTGGGGGCCAGGATGTTGATCAGCTTGCACAGCACCTGACCGTCCTTGAGCACATCCTCGTAGGACTGGCCGGCGGGGAACTTCTCGTTGATGATGGCCTCAATCCACTCCTGGGCCTCCTTGTCCATCTCGGGATTGCGCTTGCCGGCAATCTAGGTGGATTGAAGAAACAAAACAAAACTTTAGTCACGAAAATTGTCGACCAATTGTCGTCCATGTTCACTTTTATTTCACTTCTTTTTTTGACATTTTTTTGTAAGGATCTTTTCATTTCGCACTGCTTAAGTATTCACCTTGGCACGAACGGCACGCTCAAGAGACATGTTTGATTTTTGGCTTTGGGTTCGGTTTCTGTGGGATCTTCACTAAAGCTCTGACAAGCTAACACTGATGCCAGCCAACGGGGCGTATGCGGCTTTTAAAGCGCGAGAGAGCGTTCTCCGACAGATTTGTTCAAGAATTTTCCAAAAATATATCCGAATTTCGGAGTCGAGTGTGTGAAATTGTGAGGCGTGGGCGTTCTATATGTTCAGAACGCCGACTTTGCCCGTCTCCCTCGCATGAGTCGTGCGTTATAATTTTAGATCATCATCGGCCGAGCAAAAGGAAAAATCCAAAGCACCGGCCACAACGAATGCCTAATTATTTTTCACACATTACCAATCGATGGAAATGAGTCTGTGTGCACACGATGCTCTTCAAAATGCGCTGCTCATTTGCATTTTAACCGAATTTTTTCGGACTTGACCAGGCCAGCAAGCTGCTGTCCTGCCGCTGTCATTTCTTGCGCGTGCATTCGTTGCTCGTAATTTCCAATGGCATGCATTGGGTCATAATTAAAAATGGCAGCAAATTGGTTCTTATCGAGCGACACATCCTCCAGATGTCAATCTACAAAATCAGGGGGATAAAGGTTGCCCCAAAAGTTTTAATCATCGTTTTCTTATTAAACAGAAAATTCATTTCCTTTTCTGAAAGCACAACTATAAGAGTAATAAAAAAAATATTTCCTAAAATACAAAAAAATGCAGCCCAAAATAACTGGATAATTGAGCACTGCCATGTTTCTATTTTATTTGTTTTAAAGCAGACCATTTTGTGCTTAACTTTAAGGTACTGTGGCACAAATAGTGACAAATCGATTTATTAAAGTTTTATAAATTTGGTTGGGTTTTTTTAGTACCAACATTCGAAGATAATACAAATAGGGAAAGATAAAAACTAATTAAAATCAAAACAACTTATATTTTATTCAGAATAATAATAGTTTTACAAATTATTTCTTACTTTTTGGGCCTGGCACTCAAATTTTTCACTTATTGCATTGTTTGCTGGGGCGACATAATAGAAAAAATAACGGTTTTTTAATGAGACTTCTTATATGCTATTTTTATTGCTTTAGTCACTTTTTTTTGTTTGTTTTCGATCAACACAGAAAGAAAATTGTTTAATTAAATAATCATGAAAGCTATGAAAAAACAAACTGATTAATCCGAGCTCACTCTCATAATTCTTTTGTAAACATAAACAATTTTCCCCTATACACTTAATCCATAAAATTAGCAATAAATCGCAATTATAATCTGTTAATGCGTATAAATTCAGATTTCCAAGCATCGCAGCAAGACTGAGTGCCATTTACAAGCATTCAAAAACACAAGGCCAGCGATTATTTTATGAGCAGACAATTAACTTGAATTATGCGCCTTGTGTTATTGAAAAGCACTTTGTTAGAGGACAGACATCAGCGCCAAAAGGCACCCAAACATTCCCTCAAAATCACAACAAGAGGGCAATAAAGTGAAGAGGACAAGTCAAGGCGACTTGGAACTGTCAAAGTTCGTGGCCCCCCGCCCAACAAAAATGAATATTTTATTAAAGTGAATCGGAGGGAAGAAAGCCTAACAAACAAATCGGCAAGCGACATCTATTTCGGTCGGGGAAAATTCTTCTGCTAGAGCGGATACAGTTTCGATAACACTCGGAAAATCCCCGGAACACACGTAAAAGGCGCGACGGATTTGTGCTCTGGGTAACACAACTATTTCTTCATACATATATTCTCAGTCCCGAACAGGTGGAACCAAAATAGTTGAGATTTTCCAGGCTTTTCTTGGTTTTTCTCGCGCCCCGAAAACAGATGGCGTGTTCGTTTATTTTTACCGCCTCCTTGGCCCGCGGCACTTCGACGGACCGCTGTCTTACGTTTTTCTTTTTTTAATTACCAAATACTCGGCGGATTGGAGAAAGCCGCAATTGCGGCCATTAAAGTGAATTAAATTTGCCGGAGGCTGGGCTTCGACTATTGTCTTCACGAAAAATTTAATTAATGCCCTGCAGATGTGCGGCCATTTTTCACGGCAATTAAATTATTGTAATTGCATGAGCTAGAGATGAGGACAGAAAAGCCAGCTGTAAGTGAAAGAATCAAATTCAATTACGATACGGGGCTCTCGAGAACTGCGAGAGCACAGTCCCCAGTTGAATTGCAATTCAAACACACGCCTGATTAAATGTTTATCCGGTCCCTTGGGTCCCCATCCCCGTCCCCTGCCCCATGCATCCTCATCAGCCAGCATCGTTTTGGCCAAATTGCACATAGGGCACACACATACGTCTTGGGTCTGTTTGTGTCCCGGAGAATTCGATTCGAGTGTGCAAACATCCTGGCGGGAAACCATTTTGCAGGCGCTAAGTTAGCCGGGATTATATTCCCATAAATCAGCATAAAAACTCCACAAAGGCCAAGGCCTACCTCCTAAATGGCCAACCTACAATGGCCAGCCTACAATGGCCCAAAAATGGCAGCGCATATCCGAGATGAAGTCAAGCGAAAATTAGGTCGTTGGGGAAAGGATCCCGCCCTTGGGGCAGCAACCACTTGCTGGCATTTGTGTCGCTTCCGCTGGCTTACAGTGAAACTGGGCGGAAACGGAAATTGAGTCAAGCGGCCGAGTTTGCAGACTGCAATTTCATTTATAAACAAAGCCCAGACAACAAACAGCATCGATTCGAACAGATACTGACTGAATTCGTGCCCCATTGCCAGTGAGCTGGCCGGCTATGAATAGACATATTATTTATTTAAGCTCAACATTTAATTGGAAAATCATGCCCAATGTCGTCATTTTGTTAACGAAAATAAACACTCGATTCGCCGCGGTCATGGCATAGAATAGTTATTTATAAGTTTCCCATAATTTCTGTAGACATTTTCCCGTTCCTTGCGACAAAAGCAATTAAATAAATTTCCCATTTTCACATTGTCGTCGAAAAAACATGCTTCACACAATGTTGGCAGAAAATATTCTCTGGTATATATAGTTTTTACCTTTTGCCAATATTGTAGTCTTCACAATATGTCGGAAAAAAATCAAAACACAAGCTGTAAAGAGCTTTTGGTGGGACTTTTGGCTAACCTTTGCATTCAATTTACATTTATTTATCGACCAAATTATTGCCATACACTTTTTGCAAGAGGATCAATTTGCTTGAATGAAATATAAGCTGAGTTATACTCCAAAAATTTAAAAATCATTTGATTTAACTTTGTCTTTTTCACTTGTGTATTAAACTAATACCTGTAAGACCAGTCCAACAAATTCTATAAATTCTAAGGCACAATAATCAGTTGTATAAAACTTAATTTCTTGAATTTTAAGCTCAACTAAAGCAATCACTTAAAGTAAACAAGTCAGTGCTAGATGTTGTTTTGTTTAATTTGTTTTATTTAAATTTCAGATGAAACCCTTTCTAATAACTCTCTTAATACTGCTTATAAATATTTTATTAAACTCTCAAGAGTATTTCTAATTCCATTTCCAATAAAGTTTTTCATTTGTTCCAAACTTGCTTCAGCAATTATTGCGATACGGAATCTTTTGAACTTTTTTGTTTATTGGTTGTCAGTTGTTTGCTTGGTCGGTTCTCTTGCTTTTTATTTGGCTTTCGCCCAATATCTTGAGACGAGTGCCTCAGATAAATGATACTGTGGGTGTGGGTGTTTTTGCCCCGCAAAAACCAGAAAAAGGTTAATTAGAAATTCAGCAGGACCGCAAGCAGGATGCCGAGCACTTAACCGCAACAAAAAGGTTTGCCTCACCAGCTGGTCGAGAATAGGGAAGGTGAAAATAATATAATAGAAATTTATATGTGCAAAGATGGTTTGCTTTGGGCGCCAAAAGTAAAAGCTCGAAATGGCGAGTGAGCAGCCAGCGTTTTAATCAATAATTCAACTGTGACTACTCTTCAGTTTATGGCCAAGTCAGCAGTGGCCAAAGGGCGAGATGTCTGACCCGAAATAAAATCAGCAAATATTGCCCCAAGTAATAATCGAAGAGCTAAAACCGAAATCGCTTGTCCCAATGGTCGAATGCGAAAACTTTGTCAATATTTCAGCATCACGCACCGCTGACTCCTGGACTCTGAATGCCCCGAATGGGAAATCGGTACGGGACCATAGAATGGCCTGGCCTAATTGAATTTCCTGGCTAACACTTTAAAGCTGGCTGCTAGGCTACTTACAAGGAGCGTGTAATGAGGTTTAGGCCACTCCCCCGCATCGCAGAACTTTCCATTTCGACAAATTGACTGGCAGGCGGTGGGGGATGACTTCAAAGCAGCATTCTCACTAAATCAATTTGCACAAAGTGTTCGCCAGCCGTAGGCTCAAGGAGTTCTGGACCCTCCTACCGTCATTCCAAAGAAAAGTTTCGAACAAAAGTTGTCGTTTGTCATCCATAACTCGATTTGTAACTGGCAATGTGTGTCGCATTCTCAAATTCTCTCATGACTGGGCTCCAATTTTTAACAGCTATGCTAATTTGAAGCGATTATGCGCCTAATTATGGGGACTCCTCTTTCCGGAAAGTGTTTAAACATATGCATGTTGTTTACTGCTCGACTGCCGAATGTTTAAAAAGCAAAAGCCGAAACGATCTGATATTTTTACCTAAGAATTCAGCTACTGACATTTTGCAATTCAAAAATTAACAATTTGAATACTTCAATCCCATATTTTACCTTACCTTAGGTAACTACCTAACAGCTAATTCTTAAGATAAAAAAAATCTTTACCTAGGTAAAGATTTACATAAATATGTACTGAAATATTGTTAGTTAATTTTGTTTTCAAATTTGGTTAATGCTACTAAATTCATTTTTGTATTATTTTCGCCAATTTGCTAATAAAAATATTATAATTTCACTGCAACTTGAAGATAAGTTAATTCCCAAGCATATGCAAAATATAAGATATTTATTTTCACATTATTCTACAACCAGACTTAATTGCCAGAGCGTATACACAATATCACAATTTAACTGGAATTTCGAGAAGAGCAATTTGACCTAAAGATATTAAAAAATGTTTATTTTACCTTTTGTATAAATTTTACCTTAATTAGATACTTGATAAGCTGTCTGCCTTTTTCAAAAAAAACCTAACAAAAAATTCGTACCTTCTCAACATTGTATATAATTACATGTTTTTTCTATTTTAAGATAAAATTGCCTAATTGCCCTTATTTTCCCTATAATACATAATTATTCTCCTACTCTTGCCTACGGAGTTCTTATTTATTAATTGTTTTTTTTTGTTTGTTTTTCCTATAATAATTTTGTTGAAAAACACAATTGATTGCGTGTTTATATGCAAAAAGTTAACCCATTTCTTATTGCTTTTTCAACTGTGTTTTCTGTGCCTAATTTATGCAGGTTGTCTGTTCACATTTAATTATTTATTTAGTATCATTACAATAATAATAATGATTTAAATTAAATTGGGTTTCCGAGCGATATCTACAAAAAATTTGCTTTTAAATATCAATTTGATTCCGCTGGTCTGGGACATTTCCCAGTGGGTGGCATTGCATCACCATCGTCCGTCGCTGGAAATGCCCATAAATAAAGTCGCATGAATGGGGCAACGTGGCCTTTAATCGAATTCATAGCAACAAATACAGAAAAAAAAATGGGTAGAAAAAATGATAAATATTCAGTGCCGACGCAGTAAATGCTCTTAGAATGGACAACATATTTTCTTTGTTCAGATAAAATTTGTAGACTCGAGTTTATTTGAATTTTTTCTTAGGACTTTTCAAAATATGCAGTAACAGATTTTTATTCCAAAACCTTGTATGAATAAGAGCCTTCTAAATTACATAAATGGTATATTTAAATTTCAACACTGTCAGTAAAACTTCCCTAATAAAATAAATACAAAAAGGAAAGTAATTTTAGACGACGAAATACAGGCATTAAAATCTGTTTAGGTTTTGTCTTTTGGGAAACTCCAGCTTATACATAATTTTGTTGGCGACTTGCTGACCGACTTAAAGTTGCAAATTGAAGCACATTCCACGACAAAGTGGCTTATCCCTCCAGCAGAAGAGTGTACCATGAAACTTAAGTAAAATTATTCTGTTTTGTGTATCTGGGACCCTGGATCCGCTGTTGGATGACCGTTGACAGAAAACTAAAACAACCCGGACACCATGGCAAAAAAATCTCGGTACAAGAACTGACAGCTCGAAGGGCAGATAAATGTTGAGACAACGCCGGGCAAAATTGAAAAACTTGCAGAGCGCAAAGTTTGCCGCGTGCCTCGGGAAGATGTTGATGCTCTGGCAGACGGCACCCACAAAAACCAATAGCAAATGGCTGCATTTTCTCCGACAGTTGGCAGTTGCAAAGTCAGGCCAAGGGAGCAGAGATCCGATGAAAGGACCAGGTGCACGTAGTCCCCAAGTTGAAAAGATGGAAGCAAAATCGGATGTGGTGCATGATGCGTGCGTTAAACTTTGTTCAAGTTGGCATCGAGTTACACACTGGCTCCTCGAGGATGGGCCGGAGCAATTAGCGACCGGGACTCAAAAAGGATTACCCCGCTCAACTGGAGGGCACTCGATACGGCTATTAGGCCTGACAAGCTGTCATTAGGAGACAAACGTCCACAGCAGGCAAATATTTGCAAACATTTTGGGAGCAAACAGTGGTCAAATGCGTTTATGTTAATGAGCTGGTCAAAGGTCGCGGTCGACCGCTAAATTGCCTTCACCAAAGCAAACATAATTTTCCAGCCAAAAAATACCTTTCTGCACCCATAAACATGCCAAATTCGAGGAATTACAGTAGGGTGCTTATTTACATGCTCAGGGTTTGTCCCTTTTGAAAATATGAAAATTTGTCCATATATAAACGTATAATAAAAAATAGATTTTAGCTCACTTTTAATGCTATAAACTTATTTTTCAAGGTAATACTGTCAATGAAAAAAATTGGCTTATAGATTTTGGTGGGCAGCGTTGAAAAATGTAGAGTTTGTTATTTTTAAAACTTAAGAAAGAACAAACGGATTCCTGTTTTTTGAATTCTTTAACATAATGTCGAAATGCAACTCGTTGGCTTTTGAATATTTCCTTGCAAACAAATTTAAACATTTCAGGAGTAACATAGTGTATTAATTAAGTTATTTCTTACTAATACAAAATTGGTAATTTTGCAATTTTGTAAATGTTGAAAGGCTAAGATTTAGCCTTCAATACACTTTTATTTGTTTATTTTAATACATAGCAATAATGATTTCCACCAAAAGTCCCACATCTGGCTTTATGTATGTAGTTTATAGCTAAAAATCAATTTGATTCGCGTTTTAATAGATTCAATAAATGCACTTTGTATGTCAAACATATATTTTTACAATGTTTTAAGACATATTTTGTTGTACTTATTAAAAAATATATATTTAGTTATTATTTAATGTGTTTGGCAACAAAAAGCAATAGTTTGATAACCAATTTACCTATAAAAATATATGTAATTACTGAAAAGTTTATATATTATATAAAATAAAATAAACTTTCTTATCTCTTTACCAAAAAGTTTTTATAGAGATCCCGCTGTATACCCTTCACCTAAAGAGCAAACTTTTAATTACACCCCAGGCTTAAGCCAAATTAAACACACCATTTATTAACCATCTAGAACTATTTCACATCATCGGCGGAGGAGGCGGAGGAGGATGAGGATGGGAACTGGAAGCTCCCGACACTCTCCATCGTGCGGCGCAGCTTCTCCAATCCGCTGCAGTTGGCCTCGTAGGCATCCAGCTGCTGCATCGCGGTGAACCAGCGTCGCAGACGTGGGAACTGCGTCAGGGGAAACATGAGATTGACGGTGCTCAATGTGGTCACGATGGAAAAGTCGGCGAGCGTCAGCTGAAACCGCAGCAACAAAGGTGCAATTCTAAACTTAATTGAAACGCCACAACGACAGGGAATCGCAATCAAATGAGGTGGTTTGTTACCTGTCGCCCGGCCATATAATCGCCACATTCCAGGTAGCGCTCCATGATGATATACGCTTCGGTCAGCTTGCGTTCGTGGTGCGCCACGTCGACCTGGGCAAATCCCTGGCGGACAATCGCCGACTGAGAAACATATAGAAAAAAATCAAAACTATGTAGTGTTAATCGGTTTAAAAACTCACCATAAAATCACTGTCACGCCGGAACAGAAAGGAGCATTCGAAGAGCAGAAGGTTCAGGACTTTCATTCGTTGCCCGTGCTCCTGGGGCCACAGGTTTCCGCTTTCGTCAAACTTTTCCGCCAGGTGAATAAGTATAGCATGGCTATCGGTCAGGACCAGATCACCATGCACCAAAGTGGGAACACTGTGCTGAGGATTTAACTGAAAAATTGGGATATATAAATTGATCACAAACTTAGATTTCGATAAATTAAGATCACTTTGCTAAGACACAATCATACACATAAACACAATCTTGACATTAAATTGCTTCTGAAATTTAACTATTTATAATTGTTTTAATGTTTTTGATTTAAAAAATATCATTTTGATAATAATTATTTTTTTTTGTACTAAGAAATATATTTTACATTTTTTGAAAAAGAAAACAATATTTCTTTATGAAAAAAACTTCACCTACCGCTAAAAAGTCTTTTTGGAACTGCTCGCCCTTGAAGAGGTCCACGAACCGTAGCTCCACATCAATATCCAGCAGCTTAATTAGCATAAGACAACTGCGCACCGGCGGACTGCGATCGTCGTAGTACAAGATCGGCTTAGTTGGGGACATATCCGAAATACCAGGTAGAAAAACAGACAAACGAACGCCTTGAAAGCCGATCATCAACTAAATCGGATTGCAGTCGTTGTCTTGACTCAGATGAAGGTGCGCCTACCTATACAAAATAAAAACAATTACTTGATATTCACCATTTACTTTTAATAAATAAATATTAATTATTTTATGTATTTGAACACAAAAAATGTAAATGAAGTTGAATAGAAATTTTGAATTTAACGCCTATTTTTGAAATTGCAGCAGCCCTGAACCAGTGTTGCAAAACAACATGTGGAATCAGCTGTTCGGGCACACTTTCTGAGCAAGAAGAAGCACCTGCATTTCGGCCACCCAAAACCGGAGAAACATTTAATTTGTTTTGGTTTTATAACTGAAAACCAAGTTACTTTGGGGCAAAACCTGCTTTACCATGTACCTTTCGCGCCAGTTGAGATTGCTGCCCAGGGCGAACATTGCTCGCAGCTTGAGTTCCAGCGGAGCACATTACACAACAGCGCCGGCAGAAGATTCACGTTCCCCCATTGAGATTCCCAACCGGATCGAGCGCTCGCCCACCGATCTTCTCCAGGCTCTGGCCGGCACCGTGGGCAGGGACCACACCGCACCGCACTACAAATACCATGATGACCCATTCCTGATACCCATGTCCAATGCGGCGAAGCGAACATATGCCATGTCGAAGGAGTCCGGACGCAAGGCGGCAAAGTGGATCAAGGAGGAGCACCGAGAGCTGTTTATGGTGAGTGGCCAGGAGGAATATTACCTCGGTCTAACGATTTCCCATCCGCCAGCACCAAGAAGCTCAGCCAGCCGTGGAGAAATTCGCACCCAGCATGGTCTACACCGAGGACTCCCACGTGGAGGAGAGCTCGCTTCGCCAACTGATTGTCCAGGGTGAACTCAAGGATGCCGTCCTGGTCTACAACCTGCTTGAACAGAAGGGAACGGTAATCAGCCCCGATCTTAAGCAAAGCCTTCTGGAGCTGGTGTGCTTCCACAACAACCAGGAACCGCTGCCAGAGGAGTATATCGAGGAGCGCTGGTTCATGCAGAACAACCGACGCCGTGAGCGGAGTGGCAAGACCTGGAAGGATGGCGATCTGGCAGAGAAACTATACTCGGAAATCGAACCAAAGACGCCGCAATCGTACGCCTCTCTCATTCGAGGAATGGCCAAGTATTTGCAGTGCGAACGAGCTTATGCCCTGCTCCAGGAGGCCGGCGAAAAGCGGATCCAACTGGACACAAACACCTTCAATTCAATTATCCAGATAGTGAGCTTTCTGAAGGACACGGCCGAGCAGCGTTGGCAGCTCTGCACGGAGCTGCTGCAGGAAATGTCACAGCAGAAGCTAAGACCAAATTTGGGCACTTTGAATGCAGTGCTTCAGTGCATCAGCACTTTTGGCAACTTTAAACTAGCACGCTCTGCTGCCCTCCAGGTGCTGCCGGAATTCAAACAGCTAGGTGTGAGTCCCAGCCTGGGCACCTACTATTACCTGCTGATCATCTTCTGCCGGGAAAGGGGACCAGTGTCACACGTTATTGTCGATATTCTTAATGACATCGCCGGCAAGGAATTCAAGATTGAGCATCCCAAGGATACGTACTTCTTTGCCACCGCCATGGATGTGTGCCGCAACCACTTGCACGACAAAGCGCTGGCCAAAAAGGTGGATGAGCTGTTGCATACCGGCAAGAATTACGATCTGATAGGCGATTCCTTCAAAGAGTCCATCTACTATCGTAATTACTTGGCACTGCTTTGCCAAACCGAGTCGCTGGATGACTTCATGCTTACGTACGACCTGCTGGTACCCAACATATACATCCCCGAGCCGGGCATCATGGAAGAGATCCTAAGAGCCATTGAAATCAATGGCGGAGTGGAGTATGTGCCGCGCATCTGGTCGGACATGGTGGTGTTCGATCACACGCACCGTGAAAGCCTACTACTGTATGTACTTCGCATTTTGGTGGATAATAAGCCGAGTGGAGAATCCCCCGCCCAGCAACAACTACCGGAGCAGGGTGCCAAAGTGGCCCTAGATATGTACGAGAGGATAGAAGAGGCCATTAGGCGCCTCCGAAAGGTCTCATTCACTGGTCAAATGCTGGGCGATATCCTAACGCTGCTCGTTCGCGGTGGTAACTACGAAAAGGCTTGCGAAGTGTTCGCCCACATCGACAAGAACCAGCACAGGATTCCCGGAACGCCAGCGGAAAGTGCCCTGCAAGAGTTTGTGGAAGCCAGTGTTCTGGAGAAGTCACCCAGCCAGGCGCTGGTCGTCTTGCAGTATGCCGTGGAGAACAATATGAACTCCAGTGCATTGGCCAAACGCATCCATGAGGGATTTACGCTCAACGAAGTACACCTGTCCAAGCTTAAATCGCTGGTGGGCGAAAGTTTCCTTGACAAGTAGTAAAGTAATATACTTGTGAAATTGATATAAACAAGATTGTTAAATAAATTACTATACAAATTAAGACAATTTTTTGCTTGATAAGTTAGTAAAGCTTTATGTTAATGAAATCTATTTGTACTTGATATAAAATTTGTTGTGTAAAAATGTGTCATTATTATTGACCCAGCTAATATGTATATCTTGGTCAAAATATTGCAGAATAATACAAGTCATTGAGAAGTAACGACCTAAGTCTCGGCAAGCCCATCTTATATAAACAGGAGATAATGATAATATAGAGGTGGAACGATATAGATACAGATTAAGATTCAGGTATTGACTAGTTTCCTTCCGTATAACCATTACCATATACTCCATATTTGAATACTACAAATTTAACGCGTAAGTAAATGCCACTTATACTCATATTAATGCCAACGCTGGATAATACACTATTATAAACTAGTCCTCCTTCGGCGAGAATGCAGCTATTGGTTCCCAGTTCACCCCATCGTGCGGCAAATCACTACGTAAAAAAGGTGACAGCCAAGTCAGGTGCATCCGATTGCCCAGCACCATCTCCAGATTGCCTCGCAAGCCTCGGTCGTACTTCCTTGAGCCGCGCTCCCTTGTCACCGAACCGCTCTTGACTATCGGCCAGTGGAAGACCAGGAGAAGCGATGATATGGCGAAGCCCAGCAGGGTGAGATCGTATATGACTATGTAAAAGGTCTCCCAGCTGGGATACAGCGTAAGGCTGACGACGGGACCGAGGACGGTGAACAGCGTCGACCACCGCCAGTAGATGTCCGGATGGAGGTGCCACAGATAGATGCTCTCCATGATGGCGGCCGCCAAGGATCCGATGATCATGTACACCAGGTAGAAGAAGAAGTATCGATAGTTATGGTGCCCGATGCAGCAGCAGGTGAATCGGCAGTGGTGATCCCGCTTCAGGACGCATACGTTGCACACCTCGCAGTGCCAGGAGCGAGGTGGCACCAGTGTCTGGCAGTCTTGGCACATGTGCCACCGCGCCAATTGCCCCGGATCCACTGGTGGCTTCAGCAGCTCCACTATGAGAGAGAATCTTAGTACAGATACTTCGGTAAGTTCGTAAGGTACCCACTCCGGATACTGGTGTCCACCAGCATGCAGGCCAGCATGTTCGATGTGAGGTTGAAGACGAGGAACAGGCTGGCCAGCCAGAGGGCCGTGTAGCAAACCCCTCCAATGGCAAACAGCTCCGGCATCACAATTGTCACCTGGAAGATGTACGTCACGGGCACGAAGATGGCCACCAGAAGGAAGCAGGCCAAATCCGACATGGATCGGGGCTTAACCCGATCCCACGGGCGCAAAATCATTTTACTCCCGTTATTTTTACACCCCCTACTGCGACTCCTTTTGACAGTGCTGGAAATTGCTTTTCGGCAGTGCTGCTAACGGTAAAATTGGTGTCCGTTTGAAAATAAATTTACAAAATGAACCAGTTAAATTAGAGCAAGTGTGACAGAAGTTGTATTTTATAAATTGAATTAAAATAATTTTAAAAAGCAGATCAATTACGTATATAATAATAATAATCTGTTTTTCTGTAACGTTTGAAAAATAAAAACTTTCAATTCGGTTTGAAACATATGCGCATAAAATGTAAATGCTGATTTTCGCAACATATTTGAAACCAAATAAGTATCCCAAAAACAAAGTTTGTCTGTTTTAACTTGGATTTAGTTTTGAATTCCTAAACTCCTTAATAACATCGTAGCGAATTACACAGAAAAGCACTTCAATAAGGGTTTTTTCCATAATAAATACATCTTACATATAGAAAACTGATAAGAAAAAGTTACTGCAGGTCAATAAGCTTCTCTTTTTTTCTTAGTAAGGGGGTATGCCCATTAATGCAAGGGCATTGAAATTTACTTTTGTTGTACATACAATAAATCTATAAGTTTTTTATTGGAATTTAACAATGATACTACATTTTTTTGTACTGCTTATTTCTTTGTAAAAAAACGAATAATTTTCTTTGAAGTTTCTGTAATTGTAAGAAATGTGTATTGTTTCGTTTTATTTAGCCGTAGCTAAAACTAAAGCGTCCAAGTTTCTTTTTAGTTTAAAAGTTCGTTAGTTCTCAATAATTGCAGTAAGAACGAACTAGTTCTCAATGATAAAAACTCTTTCAGAGTTAGAGATGGACTTGTGCTCTTTAATTTAACAATGCTAACTAAATTTATTAATTTAGACATTGATAATAATAATTTTTAATAAAACAATTTAAATATTTGGTTATTACATCCGCCACAAGTGACTATCGGCAGTCGTGCCGTGCGTGACAAATTAGTCACGAGCCCATCTCCAGAAAGAGTGCAGCAGTTAATCAAACCAATTGCGACCGACCGTAAAACATTCCAAATGCTTCGCTGAAGTTGAATCTTATCGCATCAGTCGAGTTCCACATAGCATTCCGTACGAATCGCAACCGCTCGCGCAAATCCGGAATATCCCAACAATGTCGGCTGTGTGTTTGGTGATTCTCTTTATTGGCCTGCTGTTGGATTCCACTTCCGCGGGCGTTCCCCTGCCGCGGTACGAGGCGCTCCTCAAGCAGCAGTCCGCTCCCGAGGACCCCTCACTGGGTCTCTACGACGACGGGGACAAGGTGGTCCGCCTGACCGTGGACAACTTCAATGCCACAGTGGTGGACCAGAATCGTGGAGCACTCGTCGAGTTCTACAACACGTACTGCGGCCACTGCCGCAGGTTTGCACCCACCTACAAGACGGTGGCGGAGCACCTGTTGCCCTGGTCCGAGGTGCTCATCGTGGCCGCCATCGATTGTGCCGCCGAGGAGAACAACGCCGTCTGCCGGAACTACGAGGTGATGGGCTATCCCACGCTGCGTTACCTTGGTCCCGGATTCCAGCCGAGTGCCCAGCACTATGGACAGAACCTGATGACGCAGGACGTGAACGAGATCCGCGAACTGCTGGCCGGAATGGTGGCCGCTGAGAACCTCACCAGCAGCCACAACAACTCCTACTGGCCAAACGTCCACTATGTCACGGAAAACGATTCCGCTAGCAGCTTGTTCGAAGGTCTCAGCAGCGTCACCCAGTACGTGGCCGTGGTCCACGAACCGGAAAACACCACTCTGGGCATTGAGGTGGCTCTGTTCATGACACAGTGGCCAGCGGTGGCGGTGCGCCGAGTCATCGACCCCGCGGTGGCAGCCAAGTTCAAGATCGATCCCGCCAATCTGCCAATGAGTCTGGTGGATCGCAAGGGAGAGATTACGGCGTATGCGCCGGAATTTGCCAACGGTGAATCGTACGCCAAAAAACTGGAGGAAGTGCTGGGCAAGAAGAACATCACGCCCAGGCCGGTGAAGGTGCATCAACAGGTAACCACACCGTCGCCCAATGAAGCCGGGAAAAACGAACTGATCAAGGAAGTGCACCGGAACAAGCATTTCGTCTACCAGGCGGACCTCGAGCAGGCCATTCGCACGGTGCTGCACAACGAGGTGCCCAAGAAGAGCGAGATCAGCGGCGAGAAGCTGCTGGCCCTCCAGCGCTTCCTGGCTGTGCTGCAGCGCTACAATCCGCTGGGAGCTAATGGTCGTCAGTTGGTGTCCAAGCTGAAGGACTTCGTGGTGCAGTTCAACGAGGAGCTGTCTGGCAAGCACTTCGAGGACGAGGTGAAGCGCCTGGAACAGCAGCTGTCGCCTGTCTACTCCTCCACCCATTTTGTGGGATGCGCTGGCTCCAACCCTCGACTACGCGGCTTCAGCTGCTCCCTATGGACGCTGTTCCACTTTATGACCGTCCAGGCGGCCGGCAACGAGGACTCGCAGGATCCACTGGAAGTCCTGCAGGCCATGCACGGCTACATCAAGAACTTCTTCGGCTGCAGCGAGTGCTCCGAGCACTTTCAGGTGAGTCAGCAGACGGCTACGGCTACGTGCCAATGACCACAATAGTGCTGATTAGGAGGGCGATCATTAAGGCGAGAGGATAGTTGATTACCAAACAAAAGACTTGAGTGCTGACTGCCGGAATTTTCCATGCATGCAAATTCGATTTTTTCCCCACAAAACTAAATTACCAACCAAAATAGACCATTAAATCGGCTACACCTGTATATATTTTAATGCTGTGTTCATAAAAAAATGTAGTCTTCGGATCAGCAGCTCTGAAAACTGGGCTTTACGGGTATTCTTTGGTGCTTACCTCCCATTTATTGATTAAGCTACACGTAATTTGCTTGTATAAGCACTGATTGAATAACCACGATAGTCGTAGTCACACTGTTTGTTGTTGTGAGTCTAGCGACCCAAGCTCTAAAGTAAGATTTTATTTGTTATTTAAAAACCGTGAGTCATAAACCTACTTTCTCCAAAGGCAAATTACTTTTACAAACTATTCATAGGCCACAAGGGCGTTTGGTATTCGTGTAACTGTAAGTTACTTGCTGTTAGTTTCAGAAATAATTAACTATATATTCTTGATCACGACTACATTATAAAAACTACTAAGAAAATTTTATCTCTCAGTTCCAAGCAGATAATGTTTATTTAAATTTTTGTCCATGTAAATTAACAATCACTGAACCGCCACAGTGTTGATGTTACTGTAATTTAACAATTTAGAAAAATTATTTTAGAAGTTGATTCTAGCTAAACAACGCGTGTTAGGTAAACAATATTTTTTTCAAAGTGATAAAGGCGGATATACATTCCCTTTTTTTGTATTAATTTCGGGGTTCCCCAAACGAGGTACCACTGTTATTAAGTAGGTTTCCATTCGGCAGCTGTGCCAACAGTTCTTTTTTGTGACGCTCACATATTGGGTAATTTACTTTGTTTACGCTCCGCAGGCAATGGCATCGAGGCGAAAAATCTGGAGTGTACCGAACAAGGAAGAGGCGGTCCTCTGGCTGTGGGCGGCCCACAATGAGGTGAACCAGCGACTGTCCGGCGACGCCACCGAGGATCCCGAGTTTCCAAAGAAGCAGTTCCCAACGCCTGATAGCTGCAGCGAATGCTATCGAACGCCTGTCTCCAAATCGGAGAGCCTGGAGATCGAGTGGAACAAGGACGCTGTGCTGGGCTTCCTGAAAAACATACACAATCCGCAGTTCGTAAGCCGGTATGGAGTGCAGCGGGAGGAACTGCTGCATCCCACCGAGGATAAGATGCGGCAAAAGCGACAGATCTCAAGTGTCTTCACCGACACCGACATGCAAATGGGCATGCTACTGTACGCCTTTTGCATTGTGATGATGATTCTGGCCTTCAAGCTGTTCGCCTTCAAGGGCTACCGCAAGAAGCCCTACGGTCACGACCTTTTGGGCAAGGTTTAGGGCAATCCCCGGAAGAGCTTCCACTCCCACTTATTCTAAAGAAAAGACACCGAACACCGAGAAACGGAATTTACTATGACCACCTCTTGAATGTTTTGTATTCGTGGCCCCTAGAGTTATGTTTAAGAACAAAGTGTGTGTGTGTATATATGAACAGTCTTCTTCCAGTTGTAGTCCCTAAACATAATCGCTTTTTTACAACGACAATGCACCTGATTGCTTAATTTTTTTAGGTATGCAAATGTGATTTATCCCTCCAGAAGTATGTAACTCCCGAGTCCGTTTGAATAAAAACGATCAATGCTACAGCGTTGTTTTTAATGTCGAACACTTGTTTGGCCGGTAGCACTTAAGATAAGGTAACGATCACTAGCACTACAATAGTGTAGATGTAGATAAGGAATTGATGACCTGCAGTAGATAACAACGAATTGGCGGTTGGGGCTTTATTTCACGAAACTGTGGAAGTCTGGATGCCACCAGGGCAGCACTTTGTACTTTTCGATGCGAGAGTATTTGACGGTAACTGAAACATTTCGGCAGCCATCTTCGGCAAAGTCCAGCTCGAGGTTCTTGGCCCTCATGTCCGTGCAGAGGAGTTCGCGGGTGGCCCGAAGACGGTAGCGTGCCTGCTGATGGCTGTAGGACAGCTGATTGGGTGTGGGCACAAAGTGACGGCACAGCACAATAAGGAGAACGACCCCTTCATTGGGATTTCCCAAGGTGGGAGGGCGGCACTGTTCCACAGCATCCTCTGCCAGGGATTCCCAATCATTAGCCACTTGGCTGGTGTCCATTTCGGATTCATTCTGGACATGCTGCAGTCGGTTCCAGAACTTGTAGCACATTATCCACAGGCACTGGTACTGCTTTTGCCAGCAGGACACGAAGGTGCGCTGCACCAGCCAGTCCAGGTTGTAGGCCAGCTCCAAGCGAATCTTTAGCGGACGGTGGCAACGGAAGAGCGCCTCGATGACGAGGGATCTGTGGGCACGGGTATCACAGTTGCGGATCTGCTCCGGCTGCAGCCGAGCGGGCAGATCCAGATTCCAGCCCGAGGTGGCTCCGGAGCAATAGCGTCGGTACAAACTGCGCCAGAAGGCCCGCGAAGCCACCAATCCGGCGGTTTGTTTACATATCAAGGCGAAGGTCTGCACGTCCTCCGGATCTATGTGCATGGATATGTGGAACCAGATGTCATATCGCATGTTGACCACATTGTTGTTGTTGCTCTGCGCCATGGCCAAAGTGGGGGCAGTGGGTCGAAAAGTGGACTTGCACTTCACCGCGACACACACATCCGATTGGCGCGCATATATTGCTGTGGGTTATGACGGATGTAAAATTGGCATATTCTAGTTAATATATACTTACCACATTTCCCTCTGGTGCGAAATAGTTTGTTTTGAATAAACTCATTGCAATCGGCATCAAAACTCATATCGCGTCAAACTGGTTCCACAGCTGGTGTTTAGTTCATAAATGAACTGGTAAACACCGCCAGGGCTGACACTGTTAACTCTTTATGGTAAATAAAGTGAATATCGTTTTGCCTTCTATGTCGTGGGTTTTAGTTAAATACTTTTTAATTTAAGGACCATTTTTTTGATTTATACTTCAAAATTGTATATGCGCTCTTAAGTCTCGTCGTTTTGTGTCAGTAGTTAAAACCTGATGGGTTGCATACAATTTCCTGAATCTTGACGAACTTGTAAGACCTTTGAAATTTAAAATAGTGGTTTTGGTTTTCGAAGGTTTGTAATAATAAATTCTGGTTATAGAAAAGTATTTAATTACTATTATTGCTATTATAACAATATAGTTACCACAATCATTTCTTTAATTTTTAATTTACTTTCACTGTGACCACCTCTAGTTGTCAATTAATAGCTAAATGACAGTTACATTCAGCTGAAATCACCGAACGGTCACACTTGTGAAGTCCCATCTCTTGTTTTAAATTTTTAGCTAAATTCCCGCTAAACCTTTCTGGAAATAGATAAAACGGTACAACTGCTGAAATTGATTAATTATTAATACGAAAATCGGCCCGATATCGTTGATAAACATCCGCTGGAGTTTAGAGGCAACCAGAGCGAGCGGATCCGTACCGCCCGCCCACTAGATTAAGCCAGAATCGCAGCTGATACAGTACAAAAGCAACTGCCGTGCCGTGGGGTAAAGTTCACAGCACTTTTCCTTTTGTCCGGAGTCAGTCGGAATCCGTCGCCATGGTCGACAACAACAATCTGCGCAGTGCGGTGATCAACGAGGCGCCCCTGCTGCCGCCCTCGAGCAGCATCGGAGTGGGCGTGTCCAGCGGCATATCTCCGCCGGAGGCAGTGCTGCGCACACCGTACGGCAATGTTAGGGCGCTCCCCGGTCCGGCGCAGCCTCCTCCTCTACCTCAGTCGCCGTTCCAGCAGAGCCAACAGTACGGTGGATTCGGCGGCGGCTACGGCGGCAACAGCTACGGTCTCGGCGGATTCGGTGGCTTTAACAACGGCGCCTTTGGATACGGCGGAATGGGCGGCTTTGGAAGTGGCTACGGATACGGTGGCGGCTACGGCGGAGGCTATGGCGGTGGATACAACAGATACGGGGCCGCCGGCGCCAATGATCCCGAACAGCGATTCATTCAGATGGCCGAGGCCAGCTCACGTCCGGCCTTTCAGAGCATCGAATCGCTGGTCTCGGCCATTGGCAACATCGCCTCCATGCTGGACTCCACATTCTTCGCGCTGACCAGCTCGTTCCGGGCCATTCTCGGTGTGGCGGCGAACTTTGGTCGGCTGCGCAGTGTATTCGCCCAGTTCTGGACGACATTTGCCATATTTCGGGGTCTGAACTGGATCTACAGGAAGTAAGTGCGGAGTGCAGAGTGTGAAATACCATATGCTAACAACTGTGCCATTTTAAGGATTCTCTTCTGGCTGCGACTCTCGAATCTGGACCCTTCTTCGGCGGCCTTCAAGAAGGCCTTTGCAGAGGCCCTCAACGAGAACCAACCGCAGGCGGGCGGAGCGCCCCAAGCTCCGCGTAAGGGCAACTCCCCCTGGCCAGTGCTGGCCTTCATTAGCTTCATCTTCACAGCTCCCTATTTGATCATGAAGCTGCTGGGCACCGTGACGAACACCGCCCAGGAGGAAGGTAAGCCGTGCACATTGCACAGCTCGGTTTATCTAATCGAGAGCACTTTGCTCCGTCCATGTGCTATAATCTGACCGATAAGGCCCGTTAAGATAAGACTGCGAATAACGCTTATGTTTTCATCCCAACCAGCGCGCAATCCAGCAAAGTGGACGGCACCGATTCAGACCCAGGCCGTTTACGACTTCGTGGGGCGCAGCCAGAGCGAGCTTTCGCTGCGTGCCGGCCAAACGCTTCATGTGGCCCCGCGCGACATCCAGCAGACTCTCAATCTGCTCAACACCGGCTGGGCCCTGGCCACCACGAACGGCCAGACGTCCGGCATCATTCCAATTAGCTATGTAAAATCGCCGCAGCAGATGCGGCAGGAGGTCCAGGATCAGATGAAGCCCGCCCAGCCACAGCCCGAACTGATGGACTTGTCGGCGGGAGCCTTCGCTTCTCCGCCGTTGGAGCAGCAAATGAACTACGACTTCAACCTGGCCGCCCAGCAGCAGGAGCCTCTGGGTCCGCCCTCAACGACGACAGCTGTCCTGGGCGAGGGATTCGCCTGAGCTGAGCTGTATATGCTCTGGGTATTAGCTTTAGTTTTAGTTATGTTTTGGTTCAGCTTCTGTAAACGTACGTCCTTGTATTTTAAGTTAGCTTCCGCCTTTTGTATATTTCCATTTAGTTGTAAATGTTAATTATTCAGCGATCCCAATGAAAGTAAACATAAACCATATGCCGTGACTCATTTTTGTTGGGTAATTTGCGTAAAGTTCACGTAGAACTTGGCCTTCTCGGGTTGTTTTTGCAGGCTAAACGCACCCTGAAACTTGTGCAAATAAATTGAGGGAAAGACGATGCGTTTCTTGATTTATCATATTTTACAATATGCAAATTACTTTATTAACTCGTCACTCGGTTCGATTTCGTCTTACTTGTTTGTTATTTCCTTTTGCAATCATGCAATTAATTATTTCGATTTATTACACAACTACATGATCGACACTTAATTGGTAACGCCTTATTCTTGACTTTCTACTAATTTGTATTTGTATTTGTATGCTTTTGTATTCACTTGAAGAAGGTTCAATAATATAAATACAAATTCTGAAAATGTATATCTCGTTTTAATTTTATTATTACTAATTAGGTAGGTTGATTATTTCGCAATTAACTCTCCGTTGTCAACTTAAAATGTGGGTTTTGAGAAACTAAAACATGATTGTTTTTATCGAAAGGTGTAAGCAAATTAAACATATTTCATATGTTCGTTCTTGTCTGCAGTTCAAACTGCTTGTCTGGCATCCTAAAAATAATTGCATTTCATTGCTGTTATGTGTACAATTTTGGTATGTTATATTATTAAGAGACAATTACCCATAACATAATCGTTTTCACTTATGCCTACCCAAACAAGAAGGAGCAAGTGGGGAAGAGGGAGACTCATAACAACTAAGAAGAGAGTGAACAGTATAGCTTGGGCCCTGTGCATTCGCGGGATTGCCAAATGTGGTTTGAAATGTGGTTTGCACTAAAATACGCGTTCTGCTTAACTAGACAAATTATTTTAAAAACGTTTGAGCTTAAACATAAATCTTCAATGATACACGTACAAACTGTGTACACGTACATACATGAACTACCGAATCTTCCTTTCTCGTCGCTGCGAGCTGTATAATTTAATAGAGTCTCATTGAGAATTAAACAAAACCAATTGTGTGGGTGGGTCGGATTGGGTGTGGAGTGGAGTGGTGTGGATTGGGTTGGAGAGCGGCCCCCGTCTAACCGGGGGGGCGTGGCAAACCTAACAAAGCGTTGATAAACGTAAGACTAAATGTATCCTCCGCATCCGCATCTGCATCTGCATCTGCTCCTTCATCCGCAACCGCGTCCGCATCGGCCATGGCTGGCACAATGTCGGCGGCACAGTCAGCTCAATCGATGTCGTCGTCCAGCTCGTCATCATCCATCTCCAGCTTGAACTCGGCATCGGTGGTATGTTGTGTCGAGTGTTGTGCAAAGTTCTGGGATTCATTGGTGGACTCCAGGTACCCGTTGAACTCGTTGTCCTCATCCTCCGATTCGTTCATGATTTCTCCAGTTTTTCCAGTGCCATAGGCTAATTAAAGTAAATGGTTTAATCAAGGCATAAGAAATTAATTACACAGCCATACCTTCCACGTATTTGGCGAGGTTTGGAGGCACCCACGACTTGACTCGTTCAATGTTCTCCGGCGTGCATTCGCCCTTATCCAGATCTTCATGTGGTAAATACATGTTTAGTTTTTATCCAATGGGGCGTCTGATTTAAAAAAAACTCACCCAACAGGAACCCCATGCGCTTGAGCACCTCAATGTCATCGTGCATTTCGAAGGTCTTGTCGAACTTGAATATGTATTCGGACCTGCAACAGAGATTAAGGATTAGAAACTAGGTCTGCATCATGAGTGAAAAGGGGGCTCACTTGTCGTTGGTCACACTGCAGTTGATTTTGGTGGACTTGTGCGTGTTTACGATGATGAACGGCAGCTGGATGGAGGCATTCGGGGAAGGCACCACGCCCTGGCTTTCGTTTCGCTTGTTCCGCTCTACCAATCCCTTAAACGCCACATGCTGCATGATCATTTCGCGCAGCATTTCGTTCTTCTGTTTGATGCGCTCGCGGCGCAGACTGTTTTCCTCCTCCAGGGCCAGAAATTGCTATGGAAACGTGGTAATATATTAGCACTATTATATACAGTTTGGAATCTTGCAAATCCTACCTCGGCCGAATTGGCGGGAAGCCCTATCCAGCGGATCTCCTTCTTGTCCTTGGAGATAACATTGATTGCCATCAGTACGTTAAGCGCATCGTAGACACGACGTCGGATATTCTTTTGATCACAGTTGTTGTCGTACGCATTGTTCTTCATCTCCTCGGCGACCAGTTCGTCGGCCACCTCGTTGTAGGTGGTTTTCCCCTTCTCCTGCACCTTTTCGCAGACCTTCATCGAGAAGTGGCGCAATCCCTTGCCGGCCTTGTCCGGCTTGCGCTTCCTTTGAACGGACGATGAGGAGGCGGACATGGAGTGCAAAGAGTTGCTCTGAATGGCATGGCTGCTTGGTAGGAAACAAATAAAGATTGCCCTCTACACTCTGACTTCTTTGCGAGTTGTTACTTACAGTTTTGATTTGATTTTCATGGGATTGTTTGGCGTAAACTTCACATAGCGATCTCCCTTTATCTGCAATTCAAGAGAGATTAAAGCAGGTGAGGAGTTTGGTACTCGCATACCAACTTACCACGTCGTACAGTCCACTGCCAGTTCCTGAAGTCTTCTGCGCCGAAACGGTTGTGTACGTAGTACCTGATTCAAAACAGTACCATGGTTTATTGATGATTTTTTTCTGGAGTTTTTTGGATTCTCGAGTCTTACCTTCTGTTTTTGGAATGACCAGACCGTTGTCCTGTAGCCGTATGAACTGTCCCTGGTTGCTGGATCCCTGCTTATACACCGGATCGTTAGGCAAAAGCTTCATTTTCATTTGCGGGGTCAGCGTTTTGAACTCACCATTTGACTAAAGGCGCCCATGCGTCCCACGTTGCCGATGCCGCTCGAACTTCCGCTGTTGCGCGCCGATGAGCCGGTGGCGTACACCACAGCCACGGGCTTTCCACCGGCCTCCATCTCCGATTTGGTTTGGGCTGGTTTCAGCATCTTGGCAATTTGTCCTGCGGGATTGGAAATACGGAGATACGGATGTTTCTTAGTTTCGGATATACACATAACACGCGACTGAATTGCCTTCTTTGATAACACAACTGCATGTATTTTCACAGATACACATGTGTGTCAGTGTGGGGGTAAGGGTAAGAGTGTGTGGTACTATCAACGATGCGTTGTTTTCGCCGCGCGGCGAATCAAGCGAGTGGAGCGAACGAAGCGCACTGGAGGCGGAATGCAACAACAAAAGGCAAGCGGTGAGATTGGGGTGCATACACACACACACACACACACACACACACACACACACACACACACAGGTAGCCACACTCGCACAGCGGTCTCCAGCGGTGCTGTGCGTGTGTATAAAGTGGTGTGGCAAGGATAAAGATGCAGAAGTACAAAAACAACCCGAAACCAGATCGCCTGGACATTAGAGATGGCCAGCACGTGACCGAAGGTGAACCTTTACCAACTAGAGATGGTGCGAAAGCACGAGCTCGTGACTCGGCTCGATTGTTGGCCAAAGACCGGTATTTTTTAATGACTGGATTATTTTAAATCGGTTATTACACGGGTCCTACTGCAATATGTTGTATTCAAAGTTTACTGTAAGTTTTGAAAACAGTATCCTTAACTAAATTAAATTATTTAGCAAAATTAAATAACAAATAGGTAATGATCGCGATACGATCAGACATAAATTGATCTATAAGCTTGAAACTCATAAAATTTGGTAACTCAGGCCAAGCCTACAAATGGAGGGTGCTTCAGAAATCAACATACAGACACATTAATACGTTCCGATTTTTAAGCTATGATGACTTTCCGATGAATTATTCGATGGTTTCTATGGCAGCTATATAATATCGTTAAGTTAATAAAATTAAAAACGTAATTCTGAAATAATAAACCATTACTATATTAATTCAGATTTTTCCTATGGGAGCTATATGATATAGTCGTCCGAATTTAATAAAATGAAAACCATATTTCTGAAATATCTATATCTGCGTTGCAAACTTTAGACTGAAATTATTAGACCCTTTGCATTGGTTTAAAAGGGTTTTCCTAAATTGGTAAGAACGAAGTTACATACATAAATACTTAATACATAAATCATTCATAAAAGAACATATGTAGTACAAGTTGTAATAGCGATATTTTAAAATAAATTTTGGCCTGCAGGACAAAAAAAAACGAAATCATATTTAGAACGATAAATCATTGATCCTTTGTAACAAGTTCGTAGTTTGCTAATTCGATGATCGCTTTTTAAACCAATCCACTCAAATAAGATTTGAAACGGAGCCCTGGTTCAAACCTACATATCTAACCGGCTTTACCAAACATTTCTAGTTTTGCATAGTCTTCATTCGATGTAATAATTATTCATTCACCTGTCGCTACTTGAGATTTGCATAATCATAACAACAAAGCAAGTGAGCGAAGAAGAATGGAGATGAAGGGCCCAAAACAAAAACAGCAAAGGGTCGAAACGCTAAAAATACCTGTCAACTCTCTCGCAGCTAAGAGCACACACACACACACACACACACCTGTATATGACTCAGCTCAGACCCACGGGGGCTCAAACGGCTTCCAATACGTCCAAATACCAGACTATCCAGCCAGATGGTTGGCCTGGGCAACTCGGAATTGGCGGGACTGATAAAACACAATGCCTTGGTAGTGTTTTGGGACAAGTAAACATATAATCCCAGAAATTGGAAGAGCAATTCCATAATTCACCCTCACCAGTTAACCACTAACCGGGTTCGTCGCTAATTTGAGTAGGCAGCAAACACTGATATACTCCGTTTATGCGTGTATCAAGTTTGCCATCAATTACATTTAATGAGAATGTTTCCTTTAAGGGGAAGATAAGGTCATTCTTCTCAACTAAATGTTTCTCAATTTCGAAAATTTCCCTATCCAATTAAATATTTTTTTATAATTTTTTAGGAAGTACTTTTAGTCAATAATAGTTTTATTTGCTTTACAAAATTAGTTCTCATGTGACCACAAACGGTAATCTAAGCCAACCGAAGGGTTTAAGAGGCTATAAAATAAATTCCTTGTGCAAGTGACAAAAATTTGATTTGATAATTTGCGGTTACACACATGTTGGTCACAAAATTCGTTTGTTTATACAGATGGTCAGGGAATTTATGATAAATTTTTAAAAAATATAAAACATATAAACATATTTTTAGCAATACTTGAAGGCACACACACAAGGCATGCCGGTGAGTTTTTTTCGATACAATCAAAGTGGTAAGTTATAGAACTTCAAGATAATCCAACCAACCATTGCCGCATAAACTGGACGACGGACAACCACACACGTGTACAGCGCTTACACCTATTTGCGCTCGCCTGTTTTGGGCCTCAGCTTCGTTGCTGCATGCAAACGTGTGTGTGTGTGCTGCAGAGTTTTTCTTGTTTTGGCTTTTCTTCACTCTCCTCTCCGCATGTCGCCCTGTTTGCCACCCTCCGACTAGCTGAGACATTGCAGAATGTCACACAGTTCAGATACATTCGATTGAAGTTGAATCTATTGTTTTCCCTTGGATTAATAACTGGCTGAAATTTGCGAGTTGGCTGGCCCAGTCAAAATCCTCAATACGAAGCGAATTCGCAGCAGCGGCGAAGTAATCAGCTGTTGGCCGCCCGATAAAAAAAAGTGGGAGAAAATGCGCGCGTGCATGTGTGTGAGTGAGCGCGCCAACTGGGCGGTGGGCGAATGGAAGGGAGCGGGGGCAGGGTTGGGTGGCTCACCCATTTTAGTTGTTATTTCGCGGTGGTCTCTCTGTCTTTTATTATTACTTTTTGCCAATTTCTAGCACTCTTCGGTTGGTCTTGCCTGCCCCCCAAAGCGTATCAAACGATGAATATGGTAGGCAAAAGAAACCCGAAAAAGCAAAGATGGCGTTTTACGCTGCCCATGCAACTTTGTAGTGTGTACGTGTGTGTGGGTGTGTGTGGAGGAGTGTGTGTGGGAGCGAGTGCACCCACTCCAACGCTTATCAAGTCCTGACGCAGGATGCCGCCCACTTACCGTGTTCGTCCCGAAAGAAGAAGTTCACTTCGTCGGCCTTCACAGTTCCGCCCGTCGAATGCGCCATTTTTTGATGGGGGAGCGCGGCAGCAGCCGGATAGCTGTTGTTGTTGTTGTTGTTACCGCTTACCGCTCACCTGGTGGACCGCCAAAAACAAAAAAAAAAACTGCTACGTGCCGTAGCCGCAACGTGTGCACGGGAAAACTGGAAGAGGCGGCGGTGGGGGAGGACTGGACGTACTGCAGCCACGGGCTGGGGCACGTGTGCAAATCCGGATGCGGTCCACGACCACGACGACGAAGCGCACTTGTACAAAAATTGTCGCCCGAGTCAAAATGGCGAGCGCATTTTTCACTTCCAGCGGCAGGGCATTTTTTTTTCTTCTGGTCACACACACTCACAGTGGCGGCCCTTTTTCGGTGGCCTTTTTCGCGGACTTCTCGCTTTTCGATTTTCACTAGAAAGGTGGCAAAAGATTCGCCGGATTCGTGGCTTTCGATCGGTATATGACGACGCGAATTTGAACGATTTCTAAGCGCAGCACGATGGTCACAAAATTTCCACCAAGTGGCTGCTTTTCGTTTTCATGTGGGAAAGGCAAAGCAGGCTGTGTGCGGGTGCGAATGAAATGGCAGACAGTGCGCGCCAATTTACGCATCAATTTACGCAGTGTTGCAAGCAGCTGGCTGCCGGCGTTGTTTTGCCACACTGGTCGTGAATGTAAACAAAGTGGCCACTTGGTCCGGCCACACGGTATTTCCGCAGTAGGCCTCGTACGGTCTTACTATAGAGTTGAATTGCGAATTTCTGAAGTTTTTTCGGGTTGGTGTGGAAAAATGTCAAACAACAGGCCCAGGGAAATCAGAGCAGCCATCTAACAAGTCCCCAGCAGAGGAGCAGCCGCACAATGGTCGACCCGGTGGCTGCGCTGTGCAACTACAATGTCCTGGAGGTGATCTTCTCCTACTTGGAGTTGGACGACCTGAGCCACTGCTCACAGGTGCGCCTTTGGCCCAATCTAACCAAGATATGATTTGACACCAACTGTTTCACTGTTCGCAGGTGTGCAAGAGTTGGTACCACTTCCTTAACGACGAAAACAGCGACGTTTGGCGTTGGCACTGCCTGAACAAGCTGCCCAAGGAGGCCCTCAAGTCCGACCTGCTGGCCTCCGTCTCCACGTACAAGACAAAGCTGCGGGCGTACTTCCATGCCTGGAGCCCAAACGACTGCTCCCGGAACGTATACATCAAGCCCAACGGATTCACCCTGCATCGGTAAGGTGGTCGAGTCACCAATTCACACCAATTGCACTCACATTTCTACTTCTCCTGCCCCAAGCAATCCCGTGGCGCAGAGCACAGACGCGGCTCGGGGCAAGATCGGGTTCCGCCACGGTCGGCACACCTGGGAAGTGATCTGGGAGGGTCCCCTGGGCACGGTGGCCGTCATCGGCATTTCCACCAAGGAGGCGGCGCTGCAGTGCCACGGCTATGTGGCCCTGCTTGGCTCCGACGACCAGAGCTGGGGCTGGAACCTGGTCGAGAACCACCTGCTGCACAACGGGGACATGCAGGGCAGCTATCCGCTTCTGAATAACGCGCCCAAGTACCAGGTGGGCGAGCGGATTCGCGTCATTCTCGACTGCGAGGACAACACCCTGTCGTTCGAGAAGAACTACGAGTTCCTGGGCGTAGCTTTCCGAGGTTAGGTGACAATGTCTTCCAGTGCTGCATCACTCATTTTCACATGTCCCTCGTGTTCTTTTGCAGGCCTGCCGGACAAGAAGCTCTATCCCACAGTATCGGCTGTCTACGGCAACACCGAGGTCTCAATGGTCTACCTGGGCACCCCGTTGGACGGATAGATTTGGCCCGGACATACAACTTGGTTAACACACTCAATGGATCCACTAGGTTATTGTGTACATTTGTATTTATCATGATTACGTTTGCTTCATTCCACCTGCAACTCAGTTCGATATCGTAAATTTTAGTTACTAGTTTCGTTTTCTGTACAAAATTATGCATTTTGTTGATTTTACGCCACGCCAAAGTTCAAATCCACCTCGGCACTATCTTCACATGGCAATTTACGTTAGTTATACGAACCAAATGAATATAATATTATAGCGATTAAACAATAGTTGAACCAATTTTTATACACCGATGATCGTGCAAGTAAAATTACAGACAGAAGAACTAATTGCAGATACTGATCTTTCAATTCGCTGATCACATTGTGGTCAATCCTGTGTGAGTCTACTGCTTGGATTCAGATTTAATCTTGGCCCAGTTGTCATCGTCGAATAGATCATCAAAATCATTGTAAAAGTCCGCGTGAACGTGTTTATCATTGGAGGGCAGGTGGTCCATCATCATTCCTGTGGCTCCGCCGGACTGAAAGAATACAATTTATGGCATTAATTAGAAAGAAAGTTTACTGAAAACCTTACGGGAATTTCCTAATAAAGTATGAGGAACACATTACAAAGATCTGACCAAAACTTTTTAACTCTATGCAAGGGTACACAAAGATGTCCTGGGCTTCGCTATGTATTTTGTTGTTTTTTTAACGGGGTAGCATTTTTATTAACTTACCTCGTCCATTTCCATGTAGCCGGGGCCTTCGGAGAACATTTCGTCAGCAGCCAAAGAAGGTTTCATGTTGAGATCCATATTTATAAGTGATTTAACGATTTATTTATGTTTATTACGCCTTTGCGCAGCCAAATATTCACTCTCATTGCCGGTGTTGCCACTGCGATGACATACCAAAAATATACAGCATCTGGCCACACTGCCGAACAGCTGATTTTGTCGAATCTAAAATATATTGTAAATATTGTCTTGTTAACGAAATGGTGCGCGTTGGCCTACAAATTTCCGCCACGCTGGAGAACGTGGACAAACTGGAGACCTGTCATCCAGACTACTCTTTCTTTTTGAAACTAAAGTGCAGCAACTGTGGCGAACAGTCGGACAAATGGCACGACATCACCGAATCGGAGCGCGTGCAGCAGGATTCTCGCAATGCGGCCGGCTTTAATTTCTTCATGAAATGCAAGATGTGCAGTCGGGAAAACAGCATAGACATTGTGGAGAAGTCCAATGGTGAGTCCTTGCCAGACCCTCAATCTAGTGCCTAATCCTAACCCACAACCTATTCACAGCTCCCTATACGGCAGACGACTCCGGCGGATTCAAGACCATTGTGGTTTTCGAGTGCCGCGGCGCAGAGCCTGTGGATTTCTCGCCCCGCACCGGATGGCGAGTCTCATCGGCGGAAAATGGCCAGGAGTTCGAGGACGTCGATCTTTCCGAGGACGATTGGGTGGAGTACGACCAGAAGCACAACAACTCCGTGGGCGTCTACGAGTTCGCCTCGAAGTTCATCAAACTGAAGAAGTAACGCTAACTGGAGCAGTTAAATCAATCAAACCAGTGATAAATCTGATATTTGTGAAGGCAATAATAGTTTTCCATTCAAAGACTTTCCACGCCAATTAAAAAACACTATGTCTTAAAATCTTGAAAAACATTTAAAGTCTTTTTTTATAACCACAGTGAAATTATAAACAGCAGACGTTTTTTTTTTTAATTTGAATATATTTTTTAATTTTATGGGTTATGTATGCATTTTTTTTAGCATTTATATTAAAACAAAAAGTTTTTATTCAAAATAGCATCCAATTAATGCATTTTAGCTAGTTTAATTGCAAAAATTATTGTTCTTGTCAATAGCTCATTAGATGGATGTTTGAAAAAAATGTGCATTAAATTTTTTTTTTGCCTAATTTTGTTAAATTTGTTAAAAATGAAGTTATACGTTTTTTACTCGTCTTTTATATAGATTTTAAATTGCTCACTTTTTTTCTAAAAGAATTTACGCAACAAAGAAGTTTAAAGTGTGGGTAATTTACAAATTATAGATGAAACGCTCCCTGAAAATGTTGAAATACTTGCGATCAGCAAGCGTTTCTCTTAGCAGTCAGCGCTGTAAGAGAAAGCAGCTGCCCAACTTTTTCTCCCGGCAGTTTTCTCTTGGTATTGATTTTAATGCCGGCTACTTTGATTTCAGATTGAGCACGAAGATAGCACTCTGGCCATTGTGTTTGCCGCTCTGTGTGCGTTTGCATGTTCTTTTTTCTCAAGACAATTCAGTATTTCGCCTGACATTGCGCGATTCGGATTGGAGACAAATCACGGAGCTAAATCCCGGACCCGGACATCCGCAGTGGAAGTGCGGGGTTTTTTTTTTATTCGGTGAATGGTGAACACAATAATTACTCCAAAGACACCTGTTTAGTAAGTGGGTCTTCGGTAATTATTCGGTCTAGTGAGCGAGTGCAAAACACAGAGTCACCAAGTGCATCATTAAAAACTCGCAGTGATTAGATAATGGGAGCAGTCTTATCTGGACACTTGGCCAACGTATTTCAGCAGCCTGCAGAAGTTCCCACCAAGTGGATGCAAATATAGAGTCCACCCCGACCCTGACCTTTGTAAACAACTTAGGGGTAAGGAAACCCATTACCCCCTCCGGATTACCTATTGGCAATTCCCACACAGCTCATCCATAATGCATTATTCTCGGCTGGCACGCATCAATCATGCTTCTCCTCCAGTTTGTCGGCTACTACACTATTGAAACTCATATTCCAATTACAACACTCTCCGTTTTTCAAGACAACCGGCATGCAACAATTTATCTCAATTGGCAAAGATTGGATTGCATGCATGCACGTACATTGCCGCAACTACATAGGGTCTATTAACAATTAATGTTGCTCCGTCTGAGTTAACAAGATCAAACAGTCAATTCATCGATCTGAAAACTTAAGGACAAAGAAAAACGCTTCGGCCTCCTCAGTTTCCGGTATTTTTAGTTAGATACAAATTCCGTAATTATAAATTTTCACATTTTATATTTTACGTTTTTAAAGCCCCAGGCAGGTTATAAATACAAATATACTTAGATTCTTTAGAAGTACAAATTTTGAACTGAGATAACGTCTTTCTAATTAGCTGAAATAATCATTAGATATCTCAACATGTTGTATTCTGTTTAACGCATTCCAAATTTATTGTGTGATAACACTTTAATTAATTTAGTTTTTCGACCTCCGGACTTTTTTAAGCTTTAAACGTATTTCTATTTTTGATATTGTATACTCCTCGTTGTATATATGTACATATATCGCCCAAATTAGAATGCCGTAATTAAAAACATCTTATTAATTGCAGCTCACGTGCTTTAAAAATCCGGAATACCTAGATTTCTTTTCCCTTTGCCCTATTGGGAGTTTCTTAAACCTTTGGCATGTCAGTTCCGGCGGCAGCTGCGGCGTCTGCCGTCCTGGACTTTGACGACATCCTCGCCCAGATCGGAGAATTCGGGCGCTTTCAGCGGCGGAACTACCTGCTCATATGCCTGCCGGTTCTGTTCGCAGCAGCCAACAGTTTGTCGTATGTCTTTACGGCCGGATCGCCCACGTATCGGTGCTTCGTGCCCGGCTGCGACAGCCCGGATGAGCAGGATTATGGAGCGGATTGGGTCTCTGTCGCGGTGCCCGGCAGCTGGAGCAAGCGGGGACACTTCACGCCGGAAACCTGTGACAGGTTCGTGGCGAATGAAAGCACCCTCGAAGTTGAGCCTTGGAGCCCATGGTCGTTGGGTCGGTGCTCCGCCGAGAACTTTACGGCGGAAACGGAGCGATGCCAGCAGTTCGTCTACGGCAGTGCGGAGCGGACCATTGTGCAGCAGTGGGGGATGCAGTGCAAGGAGAACCTCTGGAAGCTGGCCTTTGTCGGCACAATGCACTTTGCCGGTCTGGTGGTGGGAACAGCCCTCTCCGGTTATCTGGCCGATCGGTTAGTATACAATTTTAGTTACATACATTTAGGGAACATTCAAGGAGTACGGAAATGAAATTGTGGGGAATTCCGTAATAATTCCTTGGCGATTTAAAAAAAAACCGTTCCAGAACTTTTGAAAAAAAAAACCGTTGATATACCCGTTACTCTTAGATTAGATTTTTGTTGAAAAGTATGTAACAGTTAGAAGGAAGCGTTTCTGTTCCTATAAAATATATATATTTTCGATTAGGATCAATAGACGAGTTAACCTAGCTATGTCCGTCGTATGAACGTCGTGATCTCAGAAACTATAAAAGCTTCAGTTTTGGGGATTTGGCTTGCAGATTCCAGTAATTTCAAAACGAAGCCACGCCCATGTTAGATCGTACGTGTGTCGGCCACATCTATCAGTAGACACAACAATTTTCAAAATCGAGCTTTAATTTTAGAAGTTATTGGCAATTATGTATGTTTGGTTATGACGTCACTACATATTTGTTGTAAATTCCGTTCGGCAGATGGCGCCACCTAAAACACGATTGCTTTCTGGGGGGATAATTGTTTTTAAATTTGTTAGCTGTGTAACGGGTATTTAAAAATTCTCTCTCTCTAACTCAAAAATCAGTCGAAACCAAAAATCCTTATTATCTGAGTGTAATTAATAGTAATAAACATTATTTCTTGCCTTTTAAACTATAGATTTATGTGAACTATTTAGAGATGAATGTTTGTAACTCAAAGGAAACCCGTAATAATGATGGTTTATTTAGCTAAAAAACTTAAATTTGGAACCATATATTTTAAAGTGAAATCTTTCTATTTGAAGGACATTTTGTTATTAATTCGGTTTTCAAATTCAGTCCATTTCAATCCTTTCAGTTATGGGCGTAAGCACGTCTTTCTCATCTGCATTGTGTTCATGGCGTTGACGGGAGTGGCGCAGGCGTTGTCCTGGAACTACGGCAGTTTTCTGGTGTTCGCCCTGCTGAACGCGGTGGGCACTTCCGGCGTATATCCGCTGGCCTTCATCATTGGCGTGGAGATGGTGGGTCCACGGAAGCGCGAGATGTCCTCCATTGTGCTCAACTACTTTTACGCGGTGGGCGAGGCGCTGTTGGGTCTATCCATCTTCCTGGCGGACTGGCGTCAACTGCAGCTGGTGCTCTCGCTTCCGCCGCTCGTCTGTGTGGCCTATTTCTGGCTAGTTCCGGAGTCGGTGCGCTGGCTCCTGGCTCGAAACCGGCGGGAGCAGGCTGGCGCCATCATCCGACGGGCGGCGAAGGTGAACCGGCGGGACATCTCCGTCGAACTGATGGCCAGCTTCAAGCAGCAGGAGCTGGATGCGGAAACGGCCATGGAGGATGAGGCCGAGACTGGAGTACTGGCCGAACGGAAGGACGACCGGATCTGGCTGGCCATCAAAGAGGTTGCTGGATGCCACATTTTGATCGCCAGATACGCCATTCTGCTGCTCATTTGGGCCGTTAACGCCATCGTCTACTATGGCCTATCGCTGAATGCGACCAGCTTGAGTGGCAACAAGTACCTTAACTTCGCCCTGGTCTGCCTGGTCGAGATCCCCGGCTATAGCCTCGCCTGGGTAGGTTGACACCCCCTTCGACCGGAAGCCAGACTAACCACTTAACAACATCCCAATCCTCCACTAGTAGCTCTTCCTGCAAAGGCTTGGCCGACGTTTGGCCCTCTCCGGATCACTCCTGCTCTGCTCCATCACATGTGTTGCCAGCGGCTTCGTCACCCTGGGTAAGTATCAAGCCAGCTTTCGACCAACTAATTAGTTGTACCATTGAACGGTGGGATGGTCTTTAATTTAAATGAATCATCAGGCAATTATTTTAATCATTTCTTATTAAAAGTGTGTGCATATATTACTCATACGACATGTAAGCTATCTGTGCAATCATTTCGTATTTATTTTATTGCCCATACGACATGTAAACCTCTTATAAGTTGCTTTAAGAAAATCTGACACTACATAACTCTCGTCGATAGTTGTGTGTGCCAATATTTAATTAATAAAAAAATATTATTAAGCTTTTGCCCTTGAGTAAAGACCTATCAGTTTAACAAAGTATCACTCATACGACACATAAGACCCTTAAAAATGTATAGAATTTTCTGTTGCTTTTTAAAAATATATAATTAAAATAAATCTAACATGCCTGATGCTAAGGACGTGTACATTTTAATAGAAACTAAGCAAAAGTTTCAAAAAGAAATGTTTCAAAATATAATTTTTTTTGAAAATTGAAATTTGTTTAAGTAACATGTCAATGGTTGTACAATACGCAAATATCTTTTTACCTCACAAAAAAATCAAATTCATGCAAACACGCTAAGCGCAAGGAGATTGGATTCCCTGCAAGGCCGGAATTGAGAGTAGAAACTCGTGGAGTTGTAAGTTTAATAAATTTGTATTCCAGATCAGTTTATTTTAGTGCCCCTTATAAACACCACAACCGTTAAAACAAAACCCCTTTGATCTCGCAGGTGCCAACTGGCTCGTCGTAACCCTTTTCCTCATCGGGAAACTCGGAATCACCTCCTCCTTTGCCGTCATCTACACATTCACTGCGGAAATGATGCCCACGGTATGAGACATTCATTGTTGTTAGATTAGTTAGTTAAGTTGGATCTCATTCATTTTAGGTCATTCGGAGCGGAGGCGTCGGTGTCATGTCCACGTTTGCACGCTTTGGGGCGATGCTGGCTCCCTTTGTGCCGCTATTGGTAAGTCCCATACTTTTATTCCATTGGTCAATTCTCAAAAATATTAGTTTTAAGGAAAAAGTTGCTTATTTTAACTAAAACATTTTAATAAAAAAGAGTTATTGTATAAGCAAATGCATAAAGCAATTATAAATCCATAGAGTAAAACATATTTCATAACTCTAAAGATTCTAAAAGATTTAAACAGAAAACTGAAAGACTAATACAGAAACCCCATTTTTTCAGATAAAACCTGATAGCTTTATAACGTTTAGCTTAAATAAAGTACTTAATCAAATATATGGATTTTTTGCACGTAAGAAGGAAGGCTTTTAACCTTATTTTAAGATTTTATTTTATTTCAAAAATATAGAGAAACAAAAAAGTACTCACACTGCCAAAGATCGTTTTTTGGGGTAGAAAATTTTCTTTTAAATTTTGCCAAATGGATCATTTTCAATTAATCCAAAATTTCGTAGTTCATTTTAGATAGGACCCATTCAAGATCATTAAGTCTTAACTTAAAACCGCTTAATCAATTTAAAGTCGATCTATGAAGTCAGCTGTTTTCATAAATGTCCTTTCGGGAAAAATGGCCGATGGCATTGAAAAAAATATTTTAGATACGACCTTGCCGCTTTCACAGGATATTTTTGAAATTGTAAAGTATCGATTAGGCAAAAAAAATTTTTTTTGAATAAATAACATTGGTAACAGTCCTTTAAGAAAAGCTTTGAATGAAGCCAGTCTATTCACAAATCCAAAAAATATTTTAATTAAAGTACGTTCTTAACAGGCTACTTACTACGAACCGCTGCCTCTGCTGCTATTTGGGGCATTATCCCTGGTTGCTGGACTCCTTTCGTTGCTACTGCCGGAAACCTTTAATAAGAAGCTGCCGGATACGGTAAGTGCTACTAAGTGGTAAAGACAAATCTAAATCATTAATAAACTTATCAATCTCTTGCAGGTGGAAGAGGCCATTGCGTTGTGAAAATGATAATGGCTTTTTAGATGCCGATTTTGGGGACATTATAAGATTGGCGACCCAGATTTTTTTTATAAAATAATGTTGCAGAGCTTTACAAATCCTCGTAATAAAGTATTTTATACAAAATGGAAAAACTATCTTAGACCATTCGACTTTTTAAGTTGTCAAAAATATGGCACACATGAAATACCAACAAAGCAATAAGTGAAAAGATACATTCTACAAATACATGTTGACAGGGTTTTGTAATTCGGATATTAACAAATGGATTTTTTAGCTTCAACAACTATTTAAAGCAATGTTGCAGAGCATTGTAAATCCTCATAATAAAGAGCATAAATATTGCTCATCCACAAGGAAAAAGAAGCTTTAAATACATGATGCATGATAACATAATTTTGTAATTCAGATATAAACAAGTGGATTACTCCGGGTACAACAACTATGTAAAACTAACTTCAATCAGTTCCAAAGAGGCCCTCAAAGACGTGGGGATCGCTGACATGGCCAAAGCGACTCAGCAGCTTGTACCGCTGTTTAGGATCGCTGCGAAGGCAGATGGGCGAAACGAACCTCAGGCGGGACGGGCTGCCGCCCAGTTCCCAGCTGGGGAGCAGATCGTCGGTGTCCACCAGCGTCTCCTGTCGTCGTCCCCAGAAGTCCACGTAGGCCAGCTTCAGCAGATCCTGCTGCTCGTTGACGTAGATGAAGCCCACGAGGTTCTTGGCGGCAAAGCTGGCGAGTGTGAGGGTGACCAGACCACTGATTCCCACGGCGGCGTAAATGGCCAGGGCATCTGTGCTCAGCTGTCCGGCGTTTCCCAAAGCGAAGGCTATCGGCGTTCCGGCTGCCGTGATCACCGCCTGGTAGACCTTCAGTTTACTGAATGCGGCCACAATCCGTATGGAAGGCAGGCTATAGACTGTCCGCCACTCGGTGAATCCGGCGAGGTCATTTGCCGTACTTTTGCCGGTTGATTGTGTTGCGAGGGGGCGTCTCTGTACCGGTTGAATAGCCAGGGACATGCAGCTCCTCCATGGCAGCCTTGTCGGGCGAATCCTGCTCAGCAGCTCCAGCACTGGAAACAATTAAGCCCCAACTTAATAAATCGAATAACACTAGATTATCCAATGCAAACCATACTCACTTTCATTAATCTTGTGGTTTTGCAATTATTTAGTGCCGCTTACACTGGGCAACCTCTAAATGGTTTTTTTTTATCTCTTTTAAAACAGAATCCAAGTTTTGTTACATTTTAATTGGGATTTAGTTTAAATGTAAAAGACCTGTTACATATTAAAAACTTTTTTTTCTAAATTTAATTTACTAGCTTGAGATTTATCAGCTGGTACGACTTGACAATATTTAAAGAAATCAGCTGATTATCGATATAACAGATGACAATCGATAGCACTGCCGTCGCCAGTGCTGCCCATTCAGCCAGGCTGAAAGTGCGGTTAATTTGAAAATTGGCGCTCTTTTTGCCGTATGAGCTGTTACGTCAGGACCCAGCGTATAAATATAGAAGAGCCAGATGATTTCCCAGCGAGCGGAGAGTGATCATTAATAAATAAATCACTTATACCAGGTCTTTAGTCGACGGACAGTTCTCGCAGCCTCGTTACGCGGTCCTCCGCTGATTTTCTAATCCAGCTCGTCTTTTATAACTGCGAAGTATGTGCATGCGAATATCACAACATTTTATGGATTATGTGCTTCCGTGCAAAAAACACAATTTGTTTTCATACTGCCGTATTTATTTGGATTTATTGCGCGGTCAAGCCTCGTCCCAAACATTTATTTTTAGTGCTTTCGCTTGTGCTTTGAATTCAGAAATAGTTTTTCGCATCAACGTACACTAGTTTACATTGTTTTTTGAATTGCAAATTTTTCAAGGTTCACGAGATTAGGAGGCCTTGAAAAAAGGGTCCAACAATTTACCTTTTATTCGTGTTATCCGCAATTTTAACTAAAAAAACCCTACAAACACAACATATTCTGCTATCAAATGTTGTTAAAATCTTTTTCAATCAATTTTTATACAAAGTAAAATTTTTATGTTATTTTCTCATTTTTCTAAAAAAAACTATTAAACAGAGAGTTTAAGTAAGCTGTTTAAACTATTTTGAGTTTGGGTAAACCAAAAGAATTTCTTTATGTGGTTTTTATTTTTGCACATCATTTTGGCGACCTCGAACTTGCAAACAAGACACTAATGTACAAAAAAAAATGTTTAATAAAATTAAACTTGCCGAATTGTTTTCTCAATCCCATTTTATGAATATGTTACAAAAGGATAATGACTTACAAATTTTTCTAGTTCATCTATAATTTGGATACTGACTTCTGTTGATAAAAATTGCACTTTTTTTAATTAGTTTCTCAATATTATAATAGATTCCGAAATCTGTTAAGGTATCATCCTTCCTGTATGCTTGTTAACTAAGCGTACACTTTAGTTTGATATATTTGGGACTTCAGGGAACAGGCAGATGAGGAATAAAATAAGGTATTTATAATTTACGACTGATCATTTCCGTTTACACCCAAACCGCAGGACATGTCGACGACAGCGCTGGGCATTAGTGGCCTGTTCATGGTGGGCTGCTGTGCCCTGGCCCAAATCGCCCGGGTAATGAGTCGGCGAATGGTGACTCGTGAGGGCATTGTTCCCATCCTGATCAACGAGGCCATCGCCGCCGCCGAGCTGTGCGCCTGCTGCTTCGAGCTGATCATAGGTGAGTAGTAGTTTGGGTTTTTCATTTCATTATTAGGCTTATATTATTTTTTAGCACCACTTTGATTTTATCTTTATCGCACACTTGCATTCTCTAATAAAGAGAACTTTAGAATATCGGCACTTTAAAATAGGTTTTCGTTTTTTTTTAAGTTTTTTAAATATTCAACTTTGTTGATTACTTTTTTCAAGAGTTTTCAAAAATCAATTTTTATTTATTTTGTTTTTCCCAAGGAAAGGAAATCTTGAATTTAAGAGAGGTTACAACACAGGAAATAAGTTCAATCGTGCCTCAACATATTTTTACAACAGCTAAAAATGTTAAGCTTTCAAAACGATCTATTAAGTAGTTTTTGGAGGATATATAAACTTTATACATTCTTATAATAGTCACTAACTTTTTCATGCAAAACTGTCGTTTAAATAAAGCGTTTTTTAGTTGTTAAAAAGTTTATGAATAGACTTATAAATAGGTAAAAATGGTCTAAAAATAGGCACGAAGTCTATATTTTGATTTGTTGAGGTAACCCATTACCTTAAAATTGACGTTTAGTCTATCTGGCTTCTTTGGGTCATGCATTACCTTGGAATTAGTCTACCATTTTACTGTCCACTTTTACTTGTCAAATTATCTCCGATGGTTCTAAATCTAGATTTAAGTAGCCTCCAGGATAAAATCAAATGTCCTTTGAAATCTCCCTTTCAGTGGCCGACAACTTTGGGGTTTCCATGTACGCCATCTGCCTGTTCCTGCTGACCATCTGGTGGGGCCGGGTGTGGGGCGACGCCTCCGCCTGCCCGTACACCCACATGGAGGACGTGCTGGAGGGTCGCACCAGCTTCAAGGAGATGGCGCTGCGCAGTTGGGCGGAGCTGATGGGCGGATGCTGCGTCTACCGGGCGGTGCAGCTCTTCTGGTGGCTGGAGCTGGCCGAGACGCACCGTGGCCGCGCCTTCGAGGCCTGCAATGCCGACCTCCAGGTTAGTCCGTATTTGGGCGCGGTCATCGAGGGCGTGGCCACGCTCCTTTGCCGACTGGCCTCGAAGACGATCAGCGAAAAGGAGCCGCGATTCGGCAGCTACATCGACTCCTTCATCGGCACCAGCTTGGTGGTGGCAGGTGAGTGGCGTAGCGCTTGTCCAATCCGATCCGCCCGTCCAATGCTGGTCTCCCAAGTAGTTTACGCCTTTAACTATCTCCTGCTTGCAGCCTTCAACTTCTCCGGCGGCTACTTCAATCCGGTTCTGGCCACGGCCCTTAAGTGGGGCTGTCGCGGTCACAGCCACATGGAGCACATCATCGTCTACTGGATAGGTGCCTGTGCCGGCGCGGTGCTCTCCATTCCGGTCTTCAAGCTGCCCGCAGTGCGACGCATCCTACTCGGCGAGGAGGCGGGCTCAAAGTCGAAGCGGGAATAAGCTACCGTGCGAGTATTTCAAATATCTGTCAATATCCAGAAAGATATACAATTCTTGCGTGCTTGCTCTATAGCAAAGTGTGCTATATGAAAAATAAAATAACAATGTAGTTGAGGGCCCACTCATAACTCATTTTCCTGCTTTAAATTATGTTCCCTTGCCTTATGTTCCCTTGGCGTGCAAGGGAAATTTATGATCAAAATCAATCTTACATGGTAATTGATTTTATAAAAATCTTGAAAGGTTTAAAACAACAATTAATCAGACTGAAAGGAGTTTCACGTTTAAACTGACGCAATGACGGACATGAACAAATTGACTAGGCTCTTAATGGGTCACAAATAATACATATAATACTTTTTGAGGTCAGAAAAACTTCAATTCATGTGTTAATTTATTTTGATTGCAATATACATTTAATGTATTACATTAACCAACCCTGTTTAAAATTCTAAAATAATCGGGTATAAAAATAGCGTTTGTAAAAATATAGTTATGTTAGATAGGAAGTATATTGTAATAAAAGAATAAAAAATTAAAAAATGGAAATTATATGAATACTACTTTCCTTTTGCAGCACCGAACATCCCATTTAAAGCAGACCTTTTCCTACAGCATGGTTTCATCATCCATTTAGTAAGTACAAGAATATGTTCAATTTTTCCAGAAATTTCCCTAATTCCCAAATTAAAAGGGATGGAAATGATTTCTGATTCCACGACATGAAAATTGAGGTCAAAACTTCTATACATTTTAAGAGCATAATAATAATAACATTGAATTAAATGACTTCAGACTTAGGCTTAAAGTTCGTTTTGTAGAGTATCTTGGAATTGTTTATAGCTCCCATTCTGGTAAATTTTTGCAGTTCCACAGTTAGATAGCTATTATTTCCTAGTGGTCTTTGAATAACTTGACATCACATATTTTCTAAATTTCCATACAACTTAATATAAGTTACCCAATCGATAATCTTGTTACGCACCAACTATAAAACATCTTAGTAAAAATTGCAATTCCTTAAAATGGCTCCTGTCGAAAAATTTCTTGCTATCATGGATTTAAAGTCGGGCTTGTTAGTAACTGGCTTCGTGGACATAATCTTAAGCATTCTTTGCGGATGCTATTTACCATGTAAGTATGCTCGTTGAAAGAGCAGATCTGTAAGGACCGTCGACTAATTGGTTTTTTTTTTTTTGTCATCAAAGGGATGAGGCGCAAAGTGGAAGCTGATATTTCGGTTCTTACAGAAGCAACGTCACAATCCTATGTGGCATTTTATACTGGTCCCGACTTCTACTACAACAGGTTCGGCTATTCAATGTACATCTTTTGTCTGGTGGTCCTCATCCTCCACATTGGCGCCTGTATTCTTGTTATTACTTCCGTACTTTCAGTAAGTCATTGCAGGGACCAAAACTGACTGTTCTTTTTCCCTGAAACCCTTTACTATTTTAGGAGGATAAAATGCTGGCTGCTCCCTATTTAGCCACTGCCCTAATGCGATTCGTTGTCTTGCTTCTGATTTTGATTTGGATAGTTACCAAGTCGTTTGATGATACCACCAGTTTTTGGTTGATCGGTCTAAGTCTGTGTAAGTATAAACACCTTGCATTTGAGTGGGTAAAAATTAGAGATCTGCATGAATAGAGTCATGGGGACCTTTGGCTCACGTTTTAAAAAATAGGTTTCGAGTAAATCATGTCGAAAATATTTAAGGTTTGAATGGCTCAGCTCTTGTACAATTAAAATGATCTACTTTAACTGATCTAAAACGTAAAAGCTCATGACTCGTATGCCTTATGACTCCCATGGCTCATGTCTCCAATGGCTCAAAAAACAGATCAGTTAAAAAAAAATTAAATTTTTTTAAATCGAATTCCCTTGCGGATAGAGCCCAGAATATTCAGTTACGACTAGTCCTTTCCATTAATTTTCTTTTAGTTGCTGCTTATATTAAGATAAATAATATTTTGTGTTGGCCGTTCAATGGAGCTCAAAGTACGAAAGTATGTATATATATTCTTGATCAGCATAGATAGATCGAATGGCTTGTGAAATCAAAGGAAACTGCAATATGATTCCAATCATGCGGGGCTCTATCTAGAAATAGAGGTCTGCCTCATTCAATACTTTTTTCACTTTTTCTAACAGTTCCAGCCACTTACTTTTGGCTAACCGTCGTTTCGTGGTATAACCCGATCGAAGAATAAAATTTATCCGTTGAAATTTTAAACAACGTAGTCCGTGAAATTGTCTGTCAGTTCATTCTAGTACGTTTGTCAGACATTGTCATATAACGCACATGAAACACAGTCAACAAAATGGGCTGCCCTACTATGAAGAAGTGCTGCTGCCTCGAGCTGAAATGGGGAGCTTTTATTGTCGCTATTCTGGATGCGATCATGGCGGCTTCAGTTGCTTTCGACTGCCACTGTAAGTACTTTTATTGAATCTGGTTAAAGGACATGTGAAGCAACGAATTCCACAGCCTTGGGCCGTTGGGGGGGCAGTATGGAAATTATTTGGATTGTCATCATGATTGTCCACTTGGCTCACATAGTATGCTGCATTTTAGTTATTGTTTCTGTTTTTAAGGTATGTAGTGTCTGCTGTTTGTTTTAATTAAACTCTGCTTAAAGATGCATTTAAACTTTATTTCAGCCGAACAAGAATTTGGTTTTGCCTTACCTAATAACTGGGATAATTCGCATAATTTTCGACATAATAGTATTTATATACTATTGCATTGAAATTGAATTTGAGTTTCCTGTAACCATGTGCCTTATACTAGTTGGAATATGTAAGCGTCCTCACTAAGTGAATTTTGTTTTTAAAAAATACGTTTCATTTCACTTTTCACCAACACAAAATAGTAAAAGTGTATATAACGTATGTATTTGTTTTGTCCCACAGGTCTTGCGGCTTTCTTTTGGTATGTTATATACTCGTGGTTCAAGAAGCTCGGAGGCTCTACTCCACTGGATTAAAAGTCCTTACAACCAATTTAAAAATCGAACAGTCGTAAATCTAGATATCATTGACAATAACTCACTCGTAAAGCTAGAACAGAAATTATTACAAATTCAATAATAAAGAATGGGCTGGACTATTGGGAAATGCTGCTGCTGCGAACTTAAATGGGGAGCTCTTATTGTGGCCATTGTAGATATGATTATGTCGGCTGCAGTTATTTTGGAAACAAAATGTAGGTATTACTACCAACTAATTAAAAAATATTGTTTGTAATGTATCTCACAGACCTCGCCTACTATCAAAGCTGGTTAAACTTTGTTAAACTTGAAGAACATGATCATATGGGGACGCTTGAAATCGATTACGACGCTCCCTCCTATTATGTGTGGATGGTCACCCTCGTTATCCACTTCGCCCATTTAGTCGCCTGCGTTCTTGTGATAGTTTCTGTTTGGATGGTAAGTGGCAGCTGCTCCCTATGTTCGATAAACTAACACTATATTTAACGTTATTTCAGCAAATCAAAAAATTTGTTCTTGCGTATCTTACAATCGGCATAGTTCGCATAACTTATGATCTCATGTTTTTTATTTATGTTTGTGTAGAAGTTGGGGCTATGGCTGTGACCCTGTTGCTTATCTTTGCTGGCTTCGGTAAGAGTTGTTAACTGAAAAATGAAGTCATTAGAATATTTGCTTGTAGTTATACAAATATTAATGTTACTTATTCCTTGAAATTAAGTATTGTATTTATTGTAACCCCCAGGTGTTGCGATCTTCTTCTGGTTCGTCGCCTACTCATGGTTCAAGATGCTTGGAAGTTCAACTCGAGTCGATTAGCAGACTAAGTACATGCTTTGAATGGCATTGTTAAATGCGACATACAAATTGGTAGCCAAAATCGCTGATATTGTAGCACTAATTTGAAAGCAAAATTTGACGTTTTCGAAATAAATTCCAAGTTAAAATGTAAAATATGTATATATTTATTTAAGTCGGTTTGTCGGGCACATTATCTGTCTGTATTGTCAGCGAGTGCTGGTCGTCGCCGTCGACAGCGACGCTTGACTCGCAATATGATCTCGCCTTTTATTTCCTCGTACTGGTAGTCGGTGTTGCCCAGAGAACAGCGCTTGATCACTGTTGAGGTATCGTCACCCAAGCTAGATCCCATCGTCTCGTTCATGCTGACGTCCTCGTCAGCCGTCGTCAAATTAAGTGTGGGTACAAGAGGTGCCTCCGTTGAACTATCCATGTTGATTTTTCTCTTTTTTAGCGGGGTTTTCTCAACGGATGGCTTTTCCGGTGTGCCCTTCGGTGATAGCTTCAATTTCGTCTTTGACTTTAACGGGCTGCCCTGAGTGGGGGACTGGGTGAGCATCGAAACAAGATTCTGTTTGGGCGTCTGCAAAGCTCTATTCGATGTCGAGGTCACTACGGTTTCGTCTGGTGACTGCTGATGCAACTGCTCCAATGCCATCTCAATGGCGTCTTCTTCGATACTCAGATTTGGATAGGTGGGATCGGCGACCCTGGGCGAATCTTGCTCGCTCGTCAGCATATTCATAGCAGCTTCCAGGATAACCTCGTCGTTTTCATCATTATGGTCTACTTTCGTTGAGTCTGGCTTAGCGTATAGGACAGTGGCGGACTTTGTGGGAGTATCGTCGGTAGAGCTGGAAGGTTCCTTCAACTCGCCTAAACGAAGGTTGTGATCATCCACACCTGGGTTCTGCTCATTTGACTCGGAGTTCGGGATTACTGTTGGGTCCGTGCAAGGCTTGTCGACTTTAACAGCAATATTTTCGATGTCCGCTATCTTAGGCAGTCTAATATCCTCGATGATCCTTATTCCGACATCGGGAGGTGTAACGCAATCTTCTGAAGCTTTCTCATTCAACTGAGAACACTTTTCAGTATGTACGCTGGCAGTATTTGTTTGTACTGCATTATCTATTTTATCCTCGATTATATCTGTTTGAACTTCAACAGGTTCATGCGAATTATTTATTTTGATGTCCATTTCAACTTGCGGTTCGTTTGAATGCTTTCCGCTTTTAAGTAAGTCCAGCTGGTGAACTTCAGGTTTGGAATGATTTGCTGGAAGGAGTTCACTGTCTCCATTATCTTTCGGCACATCTAAATTTAAGCCCAGAAGCTTTGTTTCCTTTAATTTACCATGGGCGGAGCCTTTTGAACGAGTCGGTAAAACATTAATCTTTTTTTGGAGAGACTTTGTCTCTTCTTCGTTCAGCTCGACTTTGTTGTGGACCAAATCTACGGTTTCTGGCTGAGAAATTATGTCCAAACCCGGAATTAACTCTTGTTGCAGTGTGCAGACTTCAGCGAAGAGACCAGCAGTAACATCTTTTGGTTGTTCCCTACTGGAGATCACATAAAGATCTGAAGCATGATCAATTTGCTTGGTAAGCACTTTCCTCGAAGGTTGCAATTCAGTGGCCATTTTGGCCAACTCAAGTGGCGGGCTCTCGCTCGGCTGGTCATTCGTTTCATCGCCGAATAGGGTCGTCATGGTATGGTGCTTTTCTACTGCCAACTGGATTCTGCAACAAAAGTCATATGCTGCTGTTAACAATGGTCACTAATGTCCTTTTGTCTCACTGACCTGGGCGACTGGGAACGGCTACGTCGTCTGTGATGCCGGGCACTGCTATCACGACTCCTGTGGTGATCCCGTCTGGTGCTATGTCTTGGACTCCGGCTGCGGCTGTGGCGCCGATCTCTGGATCTCTGGCGATCCTCTTCACGTCGAGTGTGCGTGCTTGATCTCCGTTCGTTGGTCTTGGATTGTACCAGCTTGGGAGATTTGCTTCGTCTGTGTGACTTCTTCGGATCTTCTCTTGTGCTCGTTTTCTTTAAATCATCTTTTACGACCAACTTCTTGACATCCTCTTTTGTGCCAGACTTCTTGGTCCCTTCTTTGGAAGCCGTCTTAAAGGGGTTTCTATCGGTTTCCAGATCCTTCTTGGCAACTGTTTTGGGCTGAGACTCCTTGGAGCGCTTACTTTCGGGGCATCTTTCGCCTGGCTCTTCGACCTCACGCCCTCGCTTTCGCCTGAAGCAAATGTCGTCTTTTCTGTAGAAAAAAAAATGAAGTGTTAGTTGGAAATTGCGGTCTGAAATTGGTGTATTTACTCCTTTCGCAGCTGTGCAATCAGAGACTCCTTTCTTTTCACCTCCGACTTGGCCGTATCCAGCAGATTCTGCAGGTTCACCTCCATGGCCTTTATCTTCTTCCCGAGCGCTTTGTTTTCAGCCTTTAGTGACTCGATTTCAATCAATGCTTTTGCGTGTTTGACCTCCCAAGCCAGCAGCTCCTTGGTTTTCTACAAGAGAGTAGAACTTCGATCAAACAACGTGGGAAGGATGCCATATGCATGACCTACGCGATCCTCCGCCTTCTGGAAGTCGTCCAAGTCGTCGTAGATGTCCAAATCCAAAGATTTATCCATTTCGTCGTGTTTGGTTCCCTCTTTGATCGCCACCTCATTTAAATCATCATAGATGTCCAAGTCAAGGGATTTGTCCAGTTCCTCAGGCTTTGTCCAACCTGTGCTCTTCATCCCGGCCATCCGCTGTTCCTTCAGAGCCAGCAATTCTTCCAGAGCTTCTGGAAGCACCAGTTCTTCTGCGGCTTTGCTGCTGACATAAACATTGTCCTCAGTAGTTTCCTCGTTGTCTTTCCCATATGCTTTTGCCCTTTGGGGACGGCCCTTAAATAGGAAGATTTTGAAAATTTAAAGATCGTTATGCAGTTTGTCCATTGACTCACCTCAATGTTTAATTGGTCCGCCATTTATTAAATAAATTATAAACACAACACCTACGGGCCACCAGTTGAAAAACACTTTTAGAGATGGACAAAGTATCCTAGGGATGGGCTATCGGTAATTCAATCCGAGTAACCGATAACATATGACTGTTGAATCGAATAATTTTTGTTTAGACGTCATTAAAAACGAGCATAAATAGTACGCCGCCTTTACTAAATTTATAACTTATAGCTTATAGCGATTATTATAAACAGATAGACAGGACAAAAACAAAACCAGATTTTTTGGCATTTTACAATAAAATTGATCATTGCTGGAAAAAACTTAAATACTTGCATAAACATCCGAACAGCCCAAACCTGCGATCATATTAAAATTTTTAGAATCCATGATTTTCTCGTAAAATATATGTATTTTGTTTATTTGCGCAAATCACGACGTTACCGAAACACATTTGAACGCTATGAGCAGATACTTTTCGATACATATTTCGATAAGCTGACCAAAAAGATTTATCTACTTTTAAAATAAAGATGACAAATAGTTCAACCGTTAACAGGACTTTCCAAAAGTTTTCATCTCAAGAGTCTGTAACAGAAAATGTATTTATTTATTTTCAATTTGCATCTTATCGAGCACTCTTTTGAAAGTCAATCTATTTTCTACTCAAATTAGATACAAGGATTTCCATTTGGAAAGGGGTTTTCCCCTTATTTACAAGGCACACAAATACCAATTACACGATTAACAACAACAATGGAAGATACGTTGGGAATAAAAGAATACTACAAAAGAGAGAGGAGGAAATTTGCTCTGATCACCTACCTTCTGACATTGATCTTTTTGGTTGTGGCCCTGGTGCAATGGTGTATTTTCTACTTTGTGTACGCATATTACGATTCCGTCTTTAAAATGTTAAATTTTTCTTAATTTTCAGAGACATTATTAACCATTTTTTTACATTTTACTATTGGGTGAGCTGTGTTTTCTTTGGTATAGGACTGGTACTTCTCGTAGTTTTCATTTTCTTTGAGTCATTGCGCTTTAAAAAGATTGTAAATTGGATTTTTGCAGTGCTAATTGTAAGTCGGTAAAGTAATCCATAGCCCTATTTTAAAACAGTGATTTTCTTTTTCAGTTCGAATGCATAGTGCTTGGGATGGCGCCATTGATTGTTCGCCACTATAAGTATCAATTTCTTTTTAGCTTCATCATATGGACCCTGGTTTTGGCCTGCTTTATAGTGTGCGGCTCCTATGTACCGGTAAGAGAATCCAAAAAAAAGTTTGACTCAAAAACATAATACTGTAATTTTGTGATTAGTGTTACATAAACAGTCTATTTTTATACCCTTGCAGAAGATATTATAATTTCAGTCAGTCTGCATTAAACTTTTCCAAAAGTTGACCTCATATTGCTGGTATAATCGGAAAAAGCCGGATCGCCCGACTATAGTATATAGACTAGATCGACTCTCCTAGTGATGCTGAGCAAGAATATATATGCTTTATAGGGTTGGAAATGTCAACCTGAAATTATAATACCCTCTGCAAAGGTATTATTACATAAGTTCTTATCGCTTACATTCTTTAAGCTTGATCTGACGTTGGATGTGGTATTGTTATTTGTCCTCGCTGTGGTGGCCATTATAGGCGCTATATATTTCGTGATGCTTTACATAGTGGCAAATGTCCCATATTCGTTTATCGTCGCTCGTGGTTTTATTATCATCAGCATCTTAATGGTTGGTACAAAACCAGTTAATAGATCAAGTAATCGAATGCCATTCAACACATCTCTTCACAGTTTGTCATGTATCACGCGCAGATTATAAACGGAGGAAGGTTTGCCGAGATGCGCACGAAGGACTATTTCCTGGGAGCCCTAATACTGTTCCTCGATTTCCTTCTTATGTATCTTTTCTCCTTTCAAGTGGCTCCAAAATGGTCGGACTTTTGTAACCGCGAACTTTCGAATAATTTGGTACTGTTAAGAGATACAACCACGGCGAATCCATATTGGAATACGTGGATGTGGACCAGAGAATGTAAGTCTTCGGTATTTTCTTTCGTATTGTTTAGTATTTGCTTGCTTCTGTAAAACTAAGTTCAGACTGAAAAAATATTTGTGCCCTAACTTTTATTTAGTTTAAGCTCATTTAAATGAATGTACTTTAACCCTTTCATTCCCGGACTAAATAAAAATACACATATGTTGCCTGTAGACAACGGGGGGTTTGAAAGGGCTAACGATTACTTATGAAAGTTTTTTAGTATTGCCAAGAATGCTATAGCTTTACCAGCAACAAAGGAAACACACAGTCAAAAAGGAGTATGGAGTATATTAAATAATTATCATAAATTTATCAACAAAGTTAAAGTGTATATGTTTGAAAATGCCGCCTTCGCAGATACCAGCACTACCCGCTAAAGCCGTTAACCAACACTGCCGCGCTGTTGGCGCCAAACACACAGCTGTCAGCTGTTTCCATTTCCATTTCGCGTTCTACCGGTGAACAAACTTAAATTGGCACACAACAGAGCTGAGCTAAGCTAAACAAGTAATTAAACGCAACCCGGCGACTCCACGACTCACAGACTCGACGCGACAACGAGGCGCGATGGATCCCACCATTTCCGTGTCCAAGGTGAGCTGGTGATTTATTTATTTCGGGCATCTTTTTTCTCACCCATAGTTATTTCTCAGGGTTGTTTTGTCTACAAAAATGGCGCTACGCGAGCCGGCAAAAAGGCGGCCGGCAAGCGAAAGCGTCCCGCTGCCGGATCCAGTAGCCTGCTGGGCCAGGAGGTGGTCGAACAGCCCTTCTACGTGGAATACCGAAGAGCCTGGAACCAGGTGAACCAACACATTGCCGACCTGCAGCAGCGCAGCTACGCCCGCACCCTGGACCAGCTGGTGGACTTCGTGGTGGGCCAGGGACAGCGGGAGGCCCGGGACGAGGTCCTGCCCACTGCCGCCCTGCTGACGGGCATCAATCAGCCCGATCATCTCAGCCAGTTCACGGCACTCACCCAGCGGCTCCACTCTCAGCGGGCTGCAAGGGTCTGCGTGCTGCAGTCGCGCGATTGCGCCACCCTGAAGGCCGCCGTGGAATCCTTGGTCTTTGGACTCATTGAAAACGAGGATGCGGATGAAGAGAACGCCGCCGGTGATGACGACGAGGAGGAGGACGTGGCCGACAGGGATCGGAAGCGGCTGCGTCGCTCACAGTGCACCATGAAGCAACTGAAGTCCTGGTACGCCAACAACTTTCACTCGGAACGAAAGCAGCGACCCCAGCTGGTGGTCATCCTGCCCGATTTCGAGTGCTTCGCCGCCAGCGTGCTGCAGGATCTCATCCTAATCCTGAGCGCCCACTGCGTCGCCCTGCCGTTTGTCCTGGTTCTGGGCGTGGCCACTGCCATGACGGCCGTGCATGGCACTCTGCCGTACCACGTCAGCAGCAAGATCCGTCTGCGGGTCTTCCAAACACAGGCCGCCCCCACGGGCCTAAACGAGGTAAGACTGTAGATCCCTTCAAGAATTAATTTTAAATACTGCGCTTCCTTTTCCGGCCGTACCAATTTTACATTCCTGATTCTTGGTTATCAGTTATTCGATCTAGTAACGTCCTTCTGTTCGTTCTTCAAAACTACTTAATTTTAATAGGTTTTTATTGAAAATATCATCATTCCTCTTAAATTGTTTGAATTTGAAACATTTTAAAACAGTTATTTTAGACAATGTTCAATTGAAGTTTAAAATTAAAAATAAATATTTAGCATTTAAAGCCAGGATCTCTAAATTCTTAACTTAAATAAGTATTTATTAGTCAAAAGGTATGAGTAAAAGGTTAATAATGTAACCTTTGTTTTTGTGATAAATCCTTTAAACAATAAAATGTAAAAATCCAAAACAGATTAGATGATCGTAAGAACTGTCAAAAAAAAAAGTGCATGGAAGAAAACATTTTTATTTGATTTTTAAACGCTTTTCACAAATTCAGATTTTTAAATTTTGCTATGATTTTGAAAATGCTCATAGATAGATATGATCTTTATATAGATGACCATATAAAAGATTAATAAGACATTTATTTTCCAAACCTTGTACCAAAATTGGTTGACCATTCTTAAAATTTTTTTAAAGTTAAAATACCACAAATAACATACCTGATAGACTATAGCTTATTAATAATAATTATATTATAAAAACATCTGTTGGCCTGTGTTGTCTCGCCTAAAACTTTGCCAAACTACTTAACTTTCTTCCAGAAAGATTGCCATTGTTATTTTATTGTACTTACCGATATGTATTAAACTCTTAGGTGCTGGATAAAGTTCTGCTGTCGCCCAAGTACGCCTTCCACCTTTCGGGCAAGACCTTCAAGTTCCTGACGCACATATTCCTGTACTACGACTTCTCCATCCATGGATTCATTCAGGGCTTCAAGTACTGCCTGATGGAACACTTCTTCGCTGGGAATGCGTTTGCACTGTGCACGGATTACAGCAAAGCGCTGGGACGGATCAAACAGTTGACCCACGAGGACATGGAGACCATCCGCAGGCTGCCCTCGTTTCGTCCCTATGTCGAGCAGATCAACGACTGCAAGCGCATCATAGCCGTGCTCACCGACGACGACTACCTGAAGAAGAAGCTGCCGCAGCTGCTGCGCGACTGCCTGCTCCACTTCCTTCTATTCCGCAGCTCGCTGGAGTTCCTCACGGAGCTGGTCGGCGATCTGCCTCGTTGTCCGCTGGGAAAGCTGCGCCGAGAGCTGTATGTGAACTGCCTTAACAAGGCGCTTGTCACGACGCCCGAGTACAAAGAGTGCGTACAGATGCTGAGCTTCCTGTCCAAGGACGAATTTGTGGCCAAGGTGAGCCGCTGCCTGGACAGAACCGAACAGTTCCTGGCCGACGAGATAGCTTCGCTGGAACTGGGTGAGGCCTGCACTGCAGTGCTGCAGCCTCAGCTGGAAACTATTCGCAAGTCAGTCGATGATGTGGTCAACGCTAGCATGGCAGCAGTAAAATCACCTATCGAAGAACGTGCGCCGACCGTCGAGCATCTTACTGCGGTGGCCTCACGCCAGGAACTTAAGGAGCAGCTACTGCAACGCAGCAAGGAGGACAAGAGTCGGCAGCAGCAAAACACACCCACCACTCAGTTCGCTCGGGCCCTGCAGAAGACACTGCAGCTCATCGAGTCGCTGCTCGTCCAGGACCATCTGCGCCCGCTGCCCAATGCACCGCCCATCCACGAGCTGTTCGTGTTCATCGACATTGCCACCGTGCGCCGGAACATAATCGGAGCACCGCGAGCGGCGCTGCACACGGCCCTCAACAATCCGCACTTCTACATGCAGTGCAAGTGCTGCGAGCTGCAAGATCAGGCCCAACTGGTCGGCAGCCTGCCCGATCTCTCCGTGGTCTACAAGCTGCACCTGGAGTGCGGCAGGATGATAAACCTGTTCGACTGGCTGCAGGCCTTTCGCTCTGTGGTGAGTGGCGGCGACCACGAGGATGGCAATCAAGAGCAGATCGATCCACAGATCCAGTGAGTATCTCATTTGGTTCCCTTCTGCAATATCCATTGATTCTTGCTTTCACTCCCATCCAGAGCCCGCTTCACACGCGCCGTAGCCGAGTTGCAGTTTCTGGGGTACATCAAGATGTCCAAGCGCAAGACGGATCATGCCACCCGATTAACCTGGTAGTTTCAGATATTGGGATATCAACAACGAAAATCCCTAGTCTAGCAAATGTTATTTCTTCTATTTATTGATCGCTATTGAGGAAAATAGCATGTGTGGGACGTTATAAATAAATAAAACACCTTTGAGTCATCTAATCTGTTTGAAATGCATAGACTGTTTTAGACAGTGAAGCGCCATAGCATATAAATATGTTTAAGTAAAGCCCAGCAGCTGGCGAGGCAAGCGTGCTAATAGCGTAAAATATCAATCACCACAGATCCCGACCAGCGGTCAACGTTCCCTGTTCACATCAGCTTGAGTGTCTCGATGGCGGCAGCAATGCGCTCGATCTCGGCCTGCGATTCGGAGAGCTTCGTGTCGTTGGCCTCCTGCACCTCGGCGGGCACTTTGGTGGCATAGTCGGCTGCCTGGATGGCCTGCGTCAGCTTGGCCACCGTCTGCACCAGCAGATCGCTCTTCTTCTGCAGCTTGGCGATCTCCTTGTCCGCCTCCACGAGGCCCTTGAGCAGCAGATGCACCTCGCACTGGCCAGTCACCGTCAGAATGGCGCATCCTGGTGGTGCCGGGCTGTCGAACTCCACCTTGGAGCAGTAGGCGATTGTGGCCAGGTCACCGACATAGCGCTTGAGTATTTCACTTGGCACCGAATCCGTGCACACGATATACACTTCGGTCTTGACCTTGTTGGGCAGATTGTAGTCTGATCGAGCGGAGCGGATGATGCGCGCAGCCTTCTGAACGAACTCCACGTCCGTCTCTATTTTAGTACTACGCCAAGATACGTTGCCTAGAGTAAGTAATGTATGTGGTTTAAGCAAAAGTAGATAAAAGGGAGGGAACTCTTGATTTCTTACTGGGATAACTGGCCACACAAATGCTGGGTGCCGGATTGGCTCGCGGCAGCCGCTGGTAGAGCTCCTCCGTGATGAACGGCATGAACGGCGAGAGCAGGCGCAGACCAAAGTCGAGGCAGACGTAAAGGGTGCGCCTGGCGGCGGCCTGCTGTTCCTCGCTGCCGCTCTGGAAGATCGGCTTCAGGCACTCCAAGTACACGTCGCACAGGTCGTAGAGCCAGAAGGCGTAGCAAGCGCTGGTGGCGGCCGCAAAGTCGTACGATTCGAAGCCGTTGTTGCATGCCTCGATGGCAGCCGCCAGTCGCGAGAGGATCCATGCGTCCATCTGGTTAATTGCATCAGCAGCACTGACCTCCGTGTCGAACTTCTCGGTGCCGGTGAAGTAGAGCAGGGCGAACTTGGTGGCGTTCCACAGTTTGTTGCAGAAGAAGCGATATCCCTGGACGCGATTAATGTCCAGGTTGATGTCGCGCGCCTGTGTGATGTAGGCGCACAGGGCGAAGCGCAGCGCATCCGAACCGCACTCGGGAATACCCTGTGGATAGTCCTGCTTTTGGCCCGCCTTGGCCTTTTCGATCTCGCGTGGATCCAGATTGGAGCCCACAAGTTGGGCATTGAGCCCCTCCAAACTGATGCCGCAGATCACGTCCATCGGGTCGATGACATTGCCCAGCGACTTGGACATTTTGCGGCCATGCGCATCCCTCACCATCGGATGCAGGTAGACCTCCTTGAAGGGCAGCTTGCCCAGCAGCTTTTGGCCGAAGAACACCATGCGTGCGACCCAGAAGAAGAGAATGTCGTGACCCGTCTCTAGCAGCGACGTGGGATAGAAGGTCTCCAGATCCTTGGTCTTCTCGGGCCAGCCAAACACGGAGAAGGGAAAGATGCCCGAGCTGAACCACGTGTCGAGCACATCCTCGTCTTGCTGCAGGACGATCTTGCTGGCGTCCACTCCGAATCGTTCAGCTGCCTTGTTGAGAGCCTCCGCCTCGCTGCGTGCCACAATCCAGTACTGCTCATCATCGCTCTGGGGAAGAAGGCGAGATCCGAGTTAAGATTTAACTTAATCGAAATTTTAATGCGAATCTAGTCTACTTGTTACCCACCACGTTTCCTTGTGCAGACTGGGAACAGTCGAACATTACACATTACACATTACCCACTGATAGGTGGAACCCAAAATCAATTCACTCACCGTTCCAGCTTGGATGGTGGGGTCGCTGAAGCTGACATGGTAGGCCGGGATACGGTGGCCCCACCACAACTGCCGCGACACGCACCAGTCGCGGATGCCGTCCATCCAGTGGTACCACGTCTTCGTGTGGTGCTCCGGGATGATCTTCAGGGCGCCGGAGCGCACGGCCTCGGTGGCGGAGGCGGCCATGTCCGAGCAGCTTACATACCACTGGGGCTTGATCAACGGTTCCACCACGTCCTTGGAGCGGCTGCAGATGGGCACCACCATGGGATTGTTAATCGTTTCACGATACAGATTCAGGGACTTGAGTTTTTCCAGGATCTTCTTGCGGCAGTCGAATCGCTTCATGCCCGTGAACTCGCCGTAGTCGCCGATAATAAAGCCATCGTCGTTGAAGATGGTGATGAAGGGCAGGTTGCAGCGCTTGCCAACCTCATAATCGTTCGGGTCGTGGGCCGGGGTGATCTTCACAGCTCCCGTGCCGAAGGCCATGTCCACAAACTCATCGCTCACAATGGGCAGGCGACGCGTGCAGAACGGATGGACGACGAACTTGCCAATCAAGTGCTTGTACCGCTCGTCCTGGGGATGCACGGCCACGGCCGTGTCGCCCAGCATCGTCTCGATACGAGTGGTGGCCACAATGATCTCCTCGTCGCTGCCGTCCACTTTGTAGGCAAACTTGATCAGCACGCCGAACTCCACCTTTTCCTCGTAGCCGGGAATGGCGAGGAATGTGCGACCGGCAATCTCTACCTTATCCACCTCGATGTCCGAAATGGCCGAGCGCAGTGAGCACGACCAGTTGACCAGCCGGGAGCTGCGATAGATGCTGCCCTCTTCGTGCAAACGGACGAAGGCCTCGGTGACGGCGCGGCAGAGCTTAGGGTCCATGGTGAAGGCCACCCGCGTCCAGTCGTAGGAGGAGCCCAGGCTCCTCAGCTGATCGTAGATGCGGCCGCCCTTCTCGCGGCGCCAGTCCCAGATGCGTTCGATGAACTTCTCGCGGCCAAGGTCGTGCCGGGAGAGTTTCTCGTCGCGCCACAGCAGCTTCTCCACCACCACCTGGGTGGCGATGCCGGCGTGATCGCAGCCAGGCACCCACAGCGTGGTTCGTCCCTTCATGCGGTGGTAGCGCGTAATGGCGTCCTCGATGGCATTGGTGAGGGCGTGGCCCAGATGCAGGGATCCCGTCACATTGGGCGGCGGAATGATCATTACGAATTTGCCATTCGGATTGGGGGCATCAATGGATGCGCGCTGGAGGTTCGCAATGGATTAGTTTGTTATTACATGGCCTTGACATTGACTTGACGGGACTCACTCCGTACTCGGGCGTGAAGAAGCCATCCTTCTCCCACCAGCTATACCATTGGGCCTCCACGTAGCGTGGACTGTAGGCATCCGGCAGGGGGCCACTCAGATCCTTCTTTTCCCCAGGCGCCGTTTGGGCCGAGTACACGGCAGCCTCTTTCACCTCCTTGGTGCGCTTCTGCAAAGGGTGGAGAAATGTAGTAATGGATCAAGGCATTAGCTTTCACCAGCAAACAATGGACTGCAATTAGTGCCTCTCACTTGGCCACATAACCTCGTTTCGAGGCCCCAATTAATGGTGCTATGGAAGCGTATTTACCCACCTCGGGCTTCTCCTTTTTGTCACCCGCCGCTGGAGCAGCCGCCGCCTTCTTGTCCAGCTTCGCCTGGAGCTTGGCCAGCTTCTCCGCCTTCAGGCGCTCCTTCTCCAGCTGCTTGGCCGTCTTGGGAGGATCACCTCCAGCACCGGCTGGTGCACTGGCATCGTTCTGCTGTTCAGCCTCGGGCATTTTCACAGGTGTTCGCAGGAATAAATCTGGCTGGTTCAACCGTGAGTCAAGTGATGAAATGGCCGGAGTACATTACTCACATGCAGTTGGACTGGAGTCGCAGAAAAAACAGATGAAAACGTGTGCAGTTTGGAGGCAGGGTTGCCAACATCTGTTTTTATTTGAAATTTGGCGAGTCTGCAGTTTTGTTGGTTTAATTATGAGCTAATTATTATGTTGTTCTAAATAATAAAAAATGTAAATGGAAATTTGTTTTATTCAAATTAACTAAAAAAATGTATTTTGTTTCCTGCATATTAGATTATTTGTGTCATTTAAGAGAGGTTATTTTTTAGGGAATACTCGAAATTGTATAAAAATTGCTTATCTAAAAATAAGAAAACTTTAAATAAACATTACAACAAGTTATTTTATTTTTAAAATAAAGGTGTTTGTCAACTTTACAATTGAAAAATAGCTTTTTACAGAGTAAAAGTAATTTCAATTTTAAAGCAAACTAATTCAATAGAAATTGTATTTAAAATCTATATTTCTTAATATAAAGTATATACAATTTTAATTATCTAGAGCATTTCATATAAATAATTATTTTATAGCTAACTTGGCTATTTTTAGGCCTTACCCAGCTTGGCAACACTATCACGATTTCTACAGCTCTGCATCGGTATTTATAATTGGTTTCCTGGATTAACCCGCATCTGGTCACACCTGCTGTCACAGTGTTTTTGCTGTTTTTGCATCATGGCTAGATTTTTTGCGAAAAGTATATAAACTACTGTAATTTTTGTTGTGCATTTGTGTGACGACAACTGGACACGGTCCCTAGCCAGAAATCGGGGGATATAATCTAATTCCCCCCTGTGCCAAGATATCGCACCAGTGTAAATGTTCCCCTTCAAGTGTGTGTGTCCCTCTAACTGGAGAAGAAGCGTCTGATAAGCAGCCATCTTATAAGAATGGCGAGTGAATCGCTGTCAAATCTATACAAAAGTTAAAACAATTACCGCGGAGGAGGGGCATTCAAAGTTTTTCCATCCACGAGATACAAGAACAATTGCAATAGTGACAACAACAACAACAACGCACGCAGACATGTGCAGCGCGCAGCTAATCTACTGTAAATAAACTGCGTCTGCGTCCATTGTGAACGTACACCTTTTCTCGGTCACGTACGCCGATTCCGATTCCTCGATTCCCGATTCCCCGATTCCGTTGCACCATCATTGCTTGGATTGCTTGGAATTCGCGAAAATACAGGTGCATGCCCCACATCCTCCAGCGCCGCCGAAGGGGATCAAAAAGGGAGGAGGAGCGGAGCAACTGAACTGCAGCAGCAATCGGGTAAGTTCCCATTGGCTTCCCATTTTTCCAATTGGCGATTCGCCGTAGCAAGTCCGTTGTGCAAAATCGATTTTTCAAATCGCCAAATGGGGCTACCGGCCTCCCTACCACCCACTGCCACCCTTTCTGTTACTGGAGCGGTTGGACCCGAATTAATGCCATTAACTTTACAAATTCGCTAGCCGAGCATTCTTTCTTTCTTTCCAACGACTGTGATGGACAGTCGGAGTCGTATAAATAGAACTGCAAACTGCACATACTAATTTTGATTGTTTGTTTTCAAAACAGCCAAGAGTATGTTTTTAAGCTGCACATTTTCAGATAATTTCTTTGTTTTATCTCTTAAACTTCAAAATTTGTTTTATTTATCAACCACTGAGCAAATTACATTGGCTTTTAACTCAAGTAAAGATTTCACTCCTTAATTTGAAACTTGCCACCAAAAAGTATTTTAATATGTAAAAATAATATATTTTACGATATATAATAATAAGCCTTGCCGATTGAAAATAAGAAAATAATTGTACAAATTTCAAGATTTTTTTTAAAAATTTAGGTTGGTTTTTAAATATAAGAAGATACAAATTTTTCAAAATGAAGCTGGTAATTGCACTTTTCACTTTGTTTTGAGTTGAACTTTAGCGAAGATGGAAACTTTTTCGAATTATCGGATCAGAAATAGTCAAAATGCAACTAGCGACATAATTTTCTTCTTGCTCTTATAAATTTTTTTTTCACATGACTTAAGATGCCTTTATCGAGTTGACCACTTTCGAAAAAAAATAATTTAAAATGTCAAAACGGCGTCGACTTGAAAACACAAAGTTTTTTAACCAACTTATTCGACATTTTCGAATATTTTAAAAATACTTATAATCGAGGCAGACGCGATAGAGAGTAGTATAAACAAGATATATAACAAATTGCAAAGAAATCGGTTTATAAGAACTTAAAGTATCGAGAAAAACGCGTTTAAAGTTTAGGAAGCATTTGTAATGGCTCGGGCGCAAAATCTACTGTAACTCCCAAAATAAATCGAATTTTGAAAAATCTTTTAAGGATCATATTTTTAAAAGACTTAACATTTAAAAAATGTAAAAAGAATCGATTTTTTCAATGTTCTAAACCAGAATACGCACTATCTTTTATAAATAATGTCTATGTTTTTTTTTAACTTTTTTTTTATCAAAAGAGGATGTATACATGCTATAGCTGTTTTTTATTTCCTACTGATTGTACATTTCCATGTCTTATGAATTAAAAAATCTTGCTATTTGATAATAATCTGGACTAATTCATTTTTCAGTTTTCGATATAACTAATATAAGCTTCGCTTTGTCGAATATAGCTTCCGTTTTGAGAATATAAACAAATTATGTAAAGCCGGAACAGTCGATTTATTTTATCATTACTTGCCATATATTACTCTTTGTGCCGCAATGAGTTGGCAATGATTTTTACGAACTAAATTTCGTACTTTTCTTTGTTCATGTTGTAACATTCCGAAAAGTACTCGTATTTTTTTCAAGTTAAGGATGCGGAAGACAACAAATTAATTTAGCAATAAATTGACAAGTGTCATTGAATTTTAAACGAGCTACCAATTCGATAAATTTAAGAGAGGTGAATAATATAATGAACTCTTATACATAAAGATGTATTATAATAAGAAGGTTTAAAGAATATATGTTGGGTTTTTTGTGTTATTTGTCTTAATCGCAGCTGCGGTTTTAAGGTCCCTTCCCACGACATTCGTGGCAATGACTTCTTCCAACCAAACAAAAGTAAACAAATGTTTGACAAGCCTTTGTCGTGCCCTCAAACACCGATAGGATAACGAAAATCAACTCTTCTAGAGGCAGCAACTGACCTGCGACAAAAAGGTCCCGTGAAGAACTCTTGAACATCTGCCGTTCTGTCTGCGTCTGCTTTTACCTGCCTCCGGCTTCAAAAGGAACAGGGTTCAATGTACGCCTGCGCAAACACGGTGGCAAAATGCAGCTGCCACCAGGACAGACAGACTGCGAAACGACTGCGACAGAGAAGCCGTGATTTTCAGCGACATTTTGCACTTCCTTTTTGACGAAAGCCAAAGGCGGAAGTCTCAAATGGTGTAACACTTCTAGCCGGCTTTTTTTTTCCCAGATCCTTCCTCGTAAATTACATGTAATCGCCTGCGATCGTGGTCGTGTCCTGGCTCCGTTCACAAACCGGTTTGGTTCCCTAAGCCAGTTGTTCGGAACGCAATTCGAAACTTTTCCCAGTTGGGGCAATCGTTCCCCTCTTCCTGTGCTCGACCTTATTCCAGTCTCCATGCCCATTCTTTTTCCTACGGGTTGCGGTGTCCAGTTACAGCTGGGAGAATTCAGTTTTGGAAAGCTGTATGGTTAGCGTTTGCTGCAAGTTTTTTTATGCTGGCTGCTCGAGCAGTGGAAGGGCATCCTGTGGGGTCGGGCAGCTGATGCCGATGCCGATACTAACGCTGGTGCTGGAGAAGCAGCTGCTGGCAAGGGAGCCATCCTATCAGTTCTGCTTACTTGATCAGGTACTCAATACGGTTTAATAAAAAACAATGTCTTGGGTAGCTTAAAAAATGAAAAATTTTGCATTATTAACTCATTTATATTTTAAAGTTTCAACTAAATATACCTGAGGTTCTTATCTTTATCGGAATTCTAGTGTAAGTAGTTATTAGACATTCTAACATTCTAGGAACAAAGTTTTCCCAAAAACGGTTTTTGTTAAATATGTAACTGGCTAACCACTGTGTCAATACAAAGGAAGACATTCATTACAAACAACTTAAAGTTGTCCCATAATTCTCGTTAAATTGGCTTTTTTACTCTTCTGCTCGCTAAAAAGGGGGCTGTATCGCACTGAAAAATAATAACTTTCTTACGTGGAAAAGCGGATAGAATCGTTCGTATTGGGGCCCTTTTGAGTAGCAGGCAGCTGGCAGATGTCCTTTGGTCCGTGGCACATGCCAAGCGAGGATCGATGAACGATGAGCAAGGGACGAGGGACCAGATGTGAACAACAGTCCTGTCCGTGAAGTAATCAATGCAACAGCAGGCTAGCCATGCCCGTTCTCGATCCCTTCTGCTTCGTTCTTTCAGCTCGGTTCTCCTCAATGTCTAAATGTCTAAATGCCTCAATGCCTCAAAGCCGGCTGCAATTCGTTGGACTGCTGCCCACGAACGGCCATTAACAGCCGACATCTGTCGGTTCCAAAGGGCCGGGACTGCTGCTGTGCCAGCCAGCTGTCCTGCCCGAGCTCTAGCTCTCCGATTAAGGACTCGGCATGCAGGTGATGCAGTACTTTCTGCCTGGAGCACACTTTGTCCTTGCGGAGTGACGAGTTTTGGGGTTGTGTGGAGCGGAATGCGGAATGCGGGACGCAGCTTATGGGGGATGGCCGAAAATCAGCTGTTTTGCGCAATGTTTATAAACAAAAACCGAACTGTGACAGTGGCGGTGGCGGTGGCAGTGGCAGTGGCAGTAACCCTTAGACATGTCTGGGCATATTTTTTGAATCACCACCAGGGCAAGAGCCAGAGCCAGAGCCAGCGTCAGAGCAACCACCGACCTACATTGGCGCACTTGCTCTGGGCCACATGGCGCATGGGGTGGTTCCGCTCACACGCACGCACCACATCGAACCGCACGGCCTTCTCGTAGGTGCAAGGACGTTGGGAAAACCCCCAAAATGTAAACAAACGAAAGCAACCCCAGCAGACACCGGCACCGACCGTATCCGCTCTTGCTCTGGCTCTGGCTCTGGCTCTGGCTCTTGGTCATGTTCATTTTCATTTTCATGTGCCTCTGAGTCTGAATCCACCACCTCGGGCACGGATACGGACACGGATATGGATTCGGTGGCATGGCGTGGCGTGGCGTGTGCCGGCATGTCATCCATCCACACAACGTCTTCGTCATATTTAGGGGTTTTCCCAAAAACAAAAAAAAAAAAAAAAAAAAAAAATTGAAACCAAAACAGAGCGAACCGGCAGTGGTAGTTAAAGCCGAACAAGGAGCATCCGCTCCCGCTTCCATTCATAAAGTATAACAAACATACCCCTGAACTAGGTGGTGCTTTTGGCACAGATCCCGTCCGAAGTCTGCAGGTCAGGTGTGGTGGTTCCGAGCCGTGCTCGAAGTGAACAAGTTGTCAACTCAACAGGTCGTCACCCCGCCGGGTAGTTGATGTGCAGTGGCCGCCGGTGGGTGGTGCGATCCCTTTGATTCCGACTAAGGCTATGCCAATAAATTTGGTTAGGAGTAAGGGGTTAAAACACATGGTGTTGTGCAAGGTTTAAGCTTATAATAACAGCATTGGCTAGAAAGCTATTGGACAGTTTTTCATACAATGGGGGCTTCATTGGGCAATTATTGCATACTTTGCAGAGCTCCCATGTTTTTTCAGTTTCAACATTCTCAAAAGTATTTCATTTAATTTGGCTTCGTTATTGCTTTTTCAGTCAAACGTTTTCTTTAGAACAAAATCCTAACAGTCTTTCTTTTCTATTATTCCACAACTTTTGTAATAAATTAATATTATTTGAAATTATTATAGTTTTTGTAATTTTTGTACATATGCAATGTTATTTCATTTAGAGAGACTGAATGTTTTTGGTTAGAAAATTGATGTGTTGGAAAATTTTAGAAAAATAGATAAAACATTTGTTAGTTCCTTTTTCTTGAATCCAAAGTTCAACCATAATCGGCTTATTTAGACAAAGGAATTCTTGTGCTTCATGGCCTTGTTATATATATCTAAATTTGGAGCACAAACAACTTCATATGTGTGTTGATACCAAGGTCCTCTGGCGCACATCCTGCTCCGATCGACTTTCCCCGGGATGGCAAAGTTGCTACTTGAGCACGGACTTGGCGTTTTAAAAAGTTTTCCCTTTTTATTTCTGCTTTCTGCTTTGTGCTCCACATGGCCGCCATTTTGTGGACCAATAAGTCATGGGATGCAAAAAGTGTCGAGCAATAGACGAACAATGGCGAGAAGGAGAATTAATTAGATTGCGACGGCAGCTGCTGGTTGTGCTGCAGCTGAGAGAAAGAGAAATAGAGAATCGAGCGGGGAGAACTATAGAGAAATAGAGAGATAGAGAGCAGCGAGTGTGCGCCGAAAGCCTGCAACGGGAAACTTGTCATGCGCCTCGCATTTCCCTCCTTCCCCAGCGCTTTTTATTCACTTAGTTTACAATAACAGGCAAAAGAATGGACGCCAGGACGACTGTGGCTGGGCGCCTGCTTAAAACAGGACTCGCAGGGATACTAGACACCGACACCGACACAGACACAGGCACAGACACACACGCACCAGAATCACAAATTGTAACAAACGAAAAGCATAAAAACAAAACAAAGGCCATCGGCAAAGGCAGCGCAACGAGCCAAAGCCAAACAGTTGTGCAATTGAGATAAAGGACAACAAAAGGGAAACTTCGAAAAGGGGACGCGTGCTTTGCTTTTCGGTCGATGCCTGTCGTCGCCGCACAGTGGCATTTCTCGTTCCGGAAACAAATAAAACATGTAAATTTAAAATGCCTCGGGTAAAAATTTAAAATTATAGATATAGTTGATTTTCAAAAATACTTTTTCGGTAATGGATTATTTTAACAAATTTAATTTACAAGAAACACTTTGTTAGTGGATTTTGACCATAAAGTTCTAGGCTCTACGTTTGTAAAAATTATTGCATATTTTTTGGAGACGATTGCGAATGTTAAACTTGCAATGAAAATTGAAATGGAAATTGATTTAATTAGTAAATGTTTATATTTTAAACTAGGGCTGTAAATTTTTTGTTTGTATTATTTTTAATATACATTTTTTAGTTAGTTTAGGTTCCGAAATCTTGAAGCTCACACTAAACAAAAAAAGACAAATATTAACTTTGCTGTAGATAAATTTATATATTTAGAAATGAGTAAATTCAAACTGAAGAAGTAGCAAATTTAAAATGTTACCTTTAAAATATTTTGAGCCCACCGTGCGGCTTCGACGCGCGTGCTTAGCGTCACAAAAGGATATAAAACAGGCAACTGGCAGCAGCGGCAGGAGCAACTACAACAAGCGGCAGGAACAAGGAAAAAAGCATAAATAATCTTGTAGTTGTTGTCGCAGCTGAGGCGAAGCGGAGCTCGAATTGAAATTTTATGAGAAATTGTATTAGAGAAATGCTTTGTGAAATCACACGAGACACAGGACGAAATTGTGTGTGTGTGTGTGTGTGTGTGTGTGGAATGGAATATAAAATTTCAAATGGAAGGGGGGAAGTGGGAATGTGGAAAAAGGGGACGCGCATTATGGCGGTTCTCCGGTTGTTCTGCGTCGACGACGTCATCGCCAGTTGTTGTTGTTGTCGCTGCTGCTGCTGCTGCTGCTGCTGTTGGTTCCTGTTTTCGCTTTTTACCGTTCAGTCAATGACCACATTGTGTACACAACTGCAGCACTAAACGTGTATGTGTATGTGTGTGTGTGTGGAAGTGAGTAATTCCTGCCGGAAGTCGAAGCCGCCGCCTGGTCATTCTCGCTGCTTTTCTGCAAGCTCTCTCTCTCTTTCGTCCTTTTTCGCCCGCTCTCTCTCTGTACGCTATGCCTGAGTTGTTCCTGAGAAACAAGTTTCCAGGATCCTTGGACACGACACCCCGCCACCTTTTTGTTTGTGCCCAAGTCTTGGCGAGCAGTGTGACCATTCTTTTGTGTTCTGGTCACGCTTTGATCCTGCCGTTTTCGTTCTCCGTTAACCGCTCCCCCAAGCTCCATTATCCGTAGGCGTTGCCCGACTAATGACATGTTGTAAATTATACTGCTCCGCGACATTGCATTCGCTGTTTTATGCTGCTGTTATTACTCAGCCCGGCATCATTTCCTTTTTGCCCATCTCCTTCTCCCCCGTTTTGTTTCGTTTTATAATTTTCTGTTGGTTTTTGTATGGGTTTTCCGCTCACAGGATGAGGGGAAGCTTGTTATCGAAACGCTATCACGTAATTACTTGCTGCAGTTATCCTGCGCTTTTGCAGATGTACTAATTTGTATTCCAGAAAAATTTATTCCATTAAAGTTGTCATTATATGGGATTTGCCAAACTCTATTTGATGCTTTGGGGACTTATAGTTCTTAGTAGTCCCTGTCATTATACATTATCTTCCAAATTAACCGAGGGGTATGCAATTTCGTTATTTTAATAATATGTGCATATTTCTATAATGTAATCCAGGTGCGATCCTAGACAAGACTAATTATTTTGTTGTATTATTTTTCTCAGTGAAGTAGCAAAAGAAATTGTCAATTAGCTGTTATAAAGCGAAAATTCTGAAAATGTATTATTCAGATTTATTCCTAGAACACAAATTACTTAAATATATATTTTTTATGATCGAGTGCTTTTTATTTATCATCTTTAAAGTAAAAGTTTCCGATATAGCCTGCCCTGCCGAATACATTTTACAAAGTGTTATAGCTTTTGTATTAATATTCCCAATGCCTAACTGTTCTTCAGGTAGCTTAAGTAGGAGCTGTGCTATTTTGAAGCTTACGGGTGCAAATTTGCTTGTTACGAACATATTTAATAATAAAAATAACCAAATAAATGTGTTATGCAGACCATAACTGTAAACCCATATCCTGTTTGTTGTTTCTGCAATGATTTTATAAACATTGAATTATTAATTACCCATACATAGCCGTCTTAAAAGTGAGTATCCTTGGTACCAGTCTCAAGTGGATCCTTAAAATCTACTGACGCTTACCTACGAACGATCGCTTGCGATCCTCGATCAGTAAGACCCAGATTAGATATTCGCAAAAATCCGAAAACCAGGCCAACACAATGCATAATGAGGATTAAGTCCTTTGCGATTCCTGTGACTGCTTAAAGAGATAGAGAGAGTTTGCGAAAGGAAGTCCCAACTGCGAGAGCAGAGCGTTTCGAATGGCGAATGCGTTTTTCATTTTGCAACATTTGCTTTTCGCAATGAAACGAAAGAGCAGGGGAAAAGGGATTGTTCGATGAACGGATGAATAGATGGCTGGTTGGCTGGTTGGCTGGAGGAAAATAGGAACGATAAAAACTGTCAGTTTTCCTTCGGGCTTGCCTTTTTCCTTTCCACAATTATCCTGTCAAACTTGTTTGCGCCGTCTCCCTCCTGCTCTACACCAATTTTCCTTTCGCATTATGCTTTGACCAGAGCATTCGCATTAAAAGGACAACGCTCTCATGCGTACGTGTTTCTGCGTCTGAGAGTGTGTGTGTGTGTGTGTGAGTGAGTGAGTGAGTGTTAGCGAGTTCGTTCGACGCCTGCGTCGCCATCGTCCTGGCATCGAACTGCCGTTCAGTCGACGCTTGCCGCTCAGACCGCTCAGACATGTCGCGCCCGTCGTGAGTGCTTTTCGTTAGCTAGTTCATTGCATATACACATATATATATATATATATATATACATCCTCGAAGAGAGAGCTGCCACCAAGTCAAAGACTGTAAAACGCAAAACAACGACGCCATCAGATGTTGCAGGATAACATAAAATAAACCAAAATAAAATAAATAAAGCATCCTCCCAAAACCAAAGCTAAATCATTCTTTAAGAATCGCAAAACAAAAGAGTGCTTCAAGTGTCGAATCAAACATCCAAATTGTGCAAATTAGTTACTGTTAGCAGAAGTTTTATATACAAACACACAATCAAATAATGTGCAATAAACTACTACCCAATACTAACAAAAGCAACGCATCATCAACAAGAACAACAAAAACAAGCAAGCGTTTCTCATAAAGTAACAAAATTACTTTTGCCATTTTGTTGGGACTTACGCACGACGAGCATCGAATAAACTAGAGAAGCAGAAAAAAACCATCGAAACACATCACAAGTGAGTTCTAAATTTCGTCCTTTCACAAACACACTCACACATTCGTAAACACACACACACACGCACATGAACTCGCTGCTTTGCGACTCGCTCATATTGAAACCCCCTCTGTAGCGAGTATATCCTGCCCGCTCCTTTGCATACAGTCCTCCCATTCGCTCTCTTTTTGTAACTAGCAAATAGTTTTGCGCACTCGTCATCGCCCCCCTCACCCCTCCCCTTCCCCATCATCGTCGGCTCTTCTCTCTCTCTCGCTCCTTTTGGTGTTCTCGCTCTCTGAAATCCTCGGGTGGTGGTACAGTTTTCTGCGTGGCCGAAAAATTGCGTAAATTTTCATCTAGTTTTCTGGGATGTCTCGCACAGCGTTGTCCTCGTTATCGTTATCCTCGCTGCTCCTCCGTCCTGCAGAGCTTGCAATCTGCTTGTGCGGAAAATAGAAAAAACAAACGGAAAACCATTGGTATTGACTGCGAAAAAGATGTCGCCGGATTTGTGTCATTTGCTTATTGGGCGTTTTCAATCCATATAAATGGCTTGCCGCGGGGAAAACGGTTCGTCCTGGCACTCAATAATTAATTATCCTCTTCAGTTTGATTTATTGTGATTTTTTGGGAGGCTTAACGTATACAGAAATACAGACAGCGAAATTTTTTAATCTCGCATGACTTATTAATTTGGTATTTTTATTTTTTTTTTTTGTGTTCATTTAAGACACACAATATTATCCAAAACTAAATTTACATGTACGTTTTATTAATAGTTGGGTAAAAATTGTTTCATTTGCTAATGAAATTTTAGGAAAATTTATTTGATGGAATATTAATTTATGATTTAATCATCATTCCTAGGCGTCTTAATATTTAAAATTAAACTTTTTTTCATCATTTAATCGTTATCTTTGAGTTTAAAAAAATGTTTAAATGTTTTAAAGTCAAATTAAATTTAAAACGCTTATATCATGTTTAATGTAATACGCTAAATTTTTGTTTTTAAGTTACTAACTAGTTTTTGTACCCATAATTTCAGGAGTTAAGTTCAAGCAAAAAAGGCATGTCCGTCCGTTCATTTGAATTATTAACGCTATAATATCCCTTTTTGACACACAGTTTTCTATAAGTCCCTCACATATCATGAATGTTGCCATAAATAATATAGCATCCAGATTTTAATTTAATTAAATGTTAATGGTAGATACATGTAGGTTTAATTTTTAGTTATATTTATGAATCTATATATTATGAAAGATAGTTATTTTTAATAAATAGCAATGCAAATCACTTTTATTTATGTTTTAAAAAAAAAGCTGTTAGTAAGTCAAGCCTCCCGACTAATTTAATTTGTTTATTGCTTAATTTTGCTAAATCTCTTCTATTGTTTTCATATATGTATAATACATTTTGTTCATTTAATTCTCTAGCTTTGTATCATTAAATAATTGTTGGTAAGAATATCAAATGAATTTAACATTTTCAGCTCATAACATTTTCATTAAAAAAGCGCTTTCTTAATCTCTCAAATTTTCAGCCAGTTCTGCATGAAATGTGATATTTTTATTCAATTTACATTTCTACATAGTTTGTAAGGTTATCAAATTAACGATCGTTGCACTTTTTATGGGTTCCTATGGGTTAATACGGGGCCTGCTAGCACAAGAGAAAACCACTCGAAGTACAGGGGCAGGGGCAGGGGCAGCGGCCACTGCATATCCTGCCAGCCTCTATTCTCCTGCCAGCCAGCCAGTCTGCCTGCCTGCTGTTGTTGCTGCCGCGCCCATTAAAAAAGAAAAAACCTCGAAAATTTGCAGCTGTTCCTTGCGCTCCTTCTCTGTTTTCTGACAGGCAACCGATCCCAAGCGATCTGATCGTTGAGCGCTTAGCGACGGGCCAGGCAGTCGGGCGGACTGGCGGACGGGCTAGGCATCTGCTCGAGATTAATGGGCCGCACGGAGTACGGAATTTTAATGCTGCTTCTATCACAGTTCCAGATCGAAGCATAGAACTCCGAGAGAAAGGTGTCTCGTAGAGTATTAAGAAGACTATATAGAATAAAACGAAAACGAAATCAAAACTGGCAGGAAAATGAAAATGTCAGAGGTGCCCCGCATAATGGTCTTTAGACCCACTTGGGAGGAGTTCAAGGACTTTCCCAAATATGTTGCCTACATGGAGTCCCAGGGTGCCCACAAAGCTGGTCTGGCAAAGGTGGTGCCTCCACCGGAATGGGTGCCACGTCGAAGTGGGTACGATGATCTCGATGCCCTGAACGTGACGATTCCGGCGCCCATTTGTCAGGTGGTCACCGGCAAACAGGGCTACTACCAACAGATTAATATCCAAAAGAAGCCACTGACGGTCAAGCAGTTCAGTGAACTGGCCAGCACCGAGCGTTACGCCACTCCCAAACACTTTGACTTTGAGGACTTGGAGCGAAAGTATTGGAAAAACATAACATATGTGGCGCCCATTTACGGTGCAGATGTCAGTGGGAGCATCACAGATCCCGACCAGGATGTAAGTTGATTAGGACTTGAGTTTCAGTTTCACTTTCCGTTCCCCGTTGACGATACGTTGCCTTTGCTATTGCCTTTGCCGTTGCAGAGCTGGAACATTAACCGGCTGGGCACCATCCTAGACTTTGTTAACAAGGACTACAACATCCAGATAGACGGCGTAAACACCGCATACTTGTACTTTGGCATGTGGAAGACGACCTTTGCATGGCACACGGAAGACATGGATCTGTACTCCATCAACTACCTGCATTTTGGGGCGCCCAAGACGTGGTACGTGGTACCGCCGGAGTGCGGCCGTAAGTTGGAAAAGGTTGCCAACCAGTACTTTCCGGCCAGCTATAAGAACTGCAATGCCTATCTGCGTCACAAGATGACGCTCATTTCACCGCAAATCCTCAAGCAGCACGATGTGCCCGTCAGCAAGGTGCGTTAATCAGTAGTTATCCACTTGGCTAGTGGCCGCTATATATATCCGGCTCTTGCAGATCACGCAGGAGGCGGGCGAGATCATGATCACGTTTCCGTTTGGCTATCATGCCGGCTTCAATCACGGCTTCAACTGTGCCGAGTCCACCAATTTTGCCATGGAGCGTTGGATCGAGTACGGCAAGCGGGCCGTGCAGTGCACCTGCAGCAACGACATGGTCAAAATATCGATGGACACCTTTGTCAAGCGCTTCCAGGGTGATCGCTATGACTTGTGGATGGAGGGTCGCGACGTGGGTCGTCATCCGGAGGATCCGACGAACGGGGTGGCCAGCGCAGCTCCACTGCCACCACACCTCGATGTCTTGCTGTGTGATAAAAAGTAGGTTTTTTTTTTTTTAGGCGTTCCCCTTGAACCTTTTGTCTTATTGTTGTTCTTGTATACCGCTTCCCCCCGCACCCCCAGAATGAAAAAGCAATGCAACCCCACCAAGGCCAAGAGCTTCAAGGAACGCAATCCCGATCTGGATCTGGATGAAATCCAACAGAATCCCAACGTGCCCGACGATGTCAAGGCCATGCTGAAGGAGAGCGTGCTGACACTGGACACCGGTGATCTGGGCGCCGAAGAGGGTGACTTTGCCAACGAGGACGCCATGAGCCTGCAGAGTCCGGCGAACCTGAAGACCAAGCAGGAGCTGCTGGAGTACATAGACGACGGCACAGGTGTGTGGGGGCCACCGGCAGGTGCCCTTGAGTAGTCAATCCCCCCCGAGCTGAACTTTAATCTCTTCCCTTTCTCGCTATTGTTCTCTGTCTCTTCCCCTTTAATTTGTTGCTTGTTGACAGAAGACGACGACGAGGAAGAAGACTTCAAGCGGCGCAAACAGAAGCGACGGTACGATGCCGACTACGATGACGACTGGCTGGCGTCCAAGCGCAGGACGCACTCACGAAATAGCAGTCGAGGTCGCAGTCCACGCACCAAAGATGACCGCTCCATATCGCCGGCATCGTCGACTTCGTCAACGTCACGGGGTGCGAGACGTGGCAAGGCCGGCAACACGCCCCGCAAGACGCCAACGAGACGGAAAAAGGACACCACGGTCACGTCTCCGGCGGCAGCAACTGTGGCGAAATCGCCACCAACAACAACTGCGGCAGTTACACCACCAACCACACTAACCACAGCGGCAGATGGCGGTGATGGAGGTGAGAGCAGCAGCTAAAGCAGCCACTGCACCACTGCATCCACATAATCACTGCTTCACCTGACCACCACCTCCAAGTCATCCCAAAACACACAGTTAACCCAATGCCGCATTTAAAAACATCCCCTCCTTTAGCTACATCATTCCACTTTTCACAGCTACTTCGTTGCCTTTCGGTTCTTTTTTTACAAAAATTTCCATGTGTTTAAAACCGTTTGACAAGCATTTCATCGTTTCGTTTTGCGTTTAATGTACAAATAAGTCGCCTAGTTTGTTTTAATTGTAAGAGTGCGTAAGAGAAATATACGATCACGCTTTTAAATCTATGCTAAAAACTAACCAAAAACCAAAACTGTTTTACTAAACCGAATCCAAGGTGTTCTTGTTGGTTGGTGCTGCCTGGGCCTGTTCTTCTTGTTTTGCCGCATCTGCCCCAAAATCTGCCCCAGAATCTGCTTCATTCGCTCCTTCGCTTTGGCTACTCACCTCCATAGTCCAACCCAATCGCAATACCTTAACCCCAGAACCCTCCCTATTCAGAGTCCATGTGTGTGCGTGTGCGTGTGTGTGTGTGTTTACACCAACAATAACAATAGCAAACGCATTTAATCACTATCACTGAAAAGCTTGTCCCGATCAAGCACTAAATTCTATCGATTGCCCTTTTTCAGATGCCAAAAAGGAGCAGCAGGCGTTGCAGTTTATGCAACAATCGCGTAAATTTGAGGGAAAAATACCAAAACTAAGTCAGCCGAGTGCCGGAGCAGCAGGAGCAGCGGTAGCAGCAGCAGCAGTTGGAGCATCCACATCCAAGTCTAGTCAAGAGCAGCAGCAACAGATTGTCTACGTCAACATGTTGCCAGCGGCCAATACCCTAAATGGCATTCCACAGCAGCAGCAGCAGCAGCAACAACAGTACGGCAGTACGGACGGCAACGTCTATCAACTGCAAAATGAAATACTCTGTGATGCAAACGGACATGCCGTAACTGCCGCCACGGCTTCATATCAAACAACGGCTAGCAGTCCACAGCAGCAGCAGCAGCAACAACAGAATGTTGCCGGTAAGTGTCCGCCTTAAAATTTGTTTGCTTTATGTTCATTTGTTTGTTGGTTGTAGTCTTTGTGTATGGTTTAACCCTCCTATGTACTCGTATTTGGTGTTTCAGTTAAAGCTATTACCACTAACCGCTCATTGTAAATACAAACTCACCCCTTTATGATTTTATCGTCATCCGAATTGGCCAAATTCGAATCCAAATCAAATTTGTTTTGTTTTGTAAGTGTCGCACAGAAATGTCATGTCATCCATTCCAATCCATTCCATTACATCTTTTGCCATCCGACATTCAATACTGATTTTATGATTTGTTAATGTTTTGTGCCAAAATTCAAGCGCGCCATTTAGAGAGAATGTTTTCGAGTAAGAACAATGAAATTGACTTCCATTTGCGGTGTTCTTGTCATACCTTTGCCCCTCAAAAACAAAAAAAATAAAGAGAGAAAATGAAAGAAAAGAAAAGAAAAGAAAAGAAAAGAAAAGGCAACTCTTCAATTAACCACCGACCTATCTGAAAATATGAAAATCCAATCGCATCGCCCAATTAATAACAACAATCGCTTTCGACTGCCTTACACACTATGATACATACTCGTCTAATTTACGACCACCCTTCCCCAGGTCTTTGTCTGTCTCTTCTCGAATTGTCATGATTATTGGAACTATCACATAAATAAATGCACAAATCATGCGAGGAAACTTCGTGCAAAGCGCGTCGAAAAAGGCTCAAAAATAGTTGATCACGTATTATTTTATTTTATTAGCTAGTTTAAGAATGTGCAATTGAAGTTTTGGCGCCTGAGGGTAAAAACCAAATTGGTCGCCAAATCTTAAATTGAGCTCATTATTTTTTAGATTTGCGTTTATGATTTAGTTATTTTTAGCAACGACACTATATCCTCTTCTATACGTCACTTATTGTTTACCACTTTCGACACAACACAACACGAAACACACTCCGTTTTCAGCTCCTCCTCCAAACCAAAAAAAAAAATAGGAGGAGTCTGACCAACGTTGGCCAACACTCCACCAGTTTCATCCTCTGCTCTGTCCTCCTGTAAATCCCCTCAGTTATTCAAGTCGATTATTTATTTAATTTTATTTAGTACGTATTGAGTTGCGAGTACTGTACCAGAGTTACGATTACGATTGCTGTAAAGTAGATCTAAGTAAAAACACAAATTCTACCGACAAACAAAAACCAATTCACTCACTTTCTATCCTTATTGCTACCTGTTGTATTGCTGCCAATATCCAATCGATTCGATTAAGAAGCGGCCCGTGTAAATGCCACAGATGCTTCCCATCTTGTGGCACTTGCACGCAAATGTTTAGCCGCAATTTGCTTTCATTTTGCACTACATTTGTTTTTCTATCGAACCTGATTTGAGTGAATTGTTGATTGATTTCGATTTCGATTTCGATTACGAATTGATTTATTGATTTATGCAAATATTACATTCAAACACATCTTTTATGAACCAAACCAAATATGTATTTTCCAAAAAAAAATATATAAACAAAAGACAATGTGGTCACAACTATTAGTTCGTCCTCCATCCTGCACACGAACGCCAACACCAACGGAGTGGACACGATCTCCCAGCAACAACAACAACAACAACAGCAGCAGCAACAGCCACAGCCACATTACCACTACATCACCACCACCGGCGAGGATGGACAAACACCGACCACCATAGTGTTTGAGAACTACAACGGCGGTATGCCGACGGCAGTGAGTGCCGCCGCTCCAACGCCCGTTCCAGTGACGGCACAGGGCAATGCCGCCGCGACCACCACCACCACCGCGCTGGTCAACACGGACGGAACGATCATCGAGTTCGACGGCAGCACGTACGAGGAGTACCATGTGCTCAAGAGCGAGCCGGGCAGCAGCGATTGCCTGAGCAACGGCAGCAGTGCCGTGGCCGCCGACATCATCAAGTACGAGCCGCAGCACGGCATCGTCGGCGACGAGGAGGATGACGAGGAGAACGGCCTGCTGCAGGTGAAGTACGAGGAGCAGAGCCTCGAGCACGATACGGAGAATGACCACGATCACGACCATGACCATGACCATGATCACGATCACGATCACGATGCAGAGCAGGAGCACGAGTATGAGGAGTATCAGGTGATCAAGGCCGAGGTGGAGGCCGAGGCGGCGGAACAGGCGGCCGGCACCACCAGCTATACGATCAGTCAGGACAATCAGACGGGCGGGGGTGCGGCCACGCCCACGACGACGGTGATGTCGTCGATGGTGCCGAAGTCGGGATCGGCGGCGGCGGCCAAGCAGAAGCGCAAGCGCAAGACGCGCGTCATCGCCGACGATGAGCAGGGCGAGTACCTGGAGAAGATGAGCGTGCGCGGGCTGGATATTGCTCGCTACGAGCACATCATCGACGGTGTGGCCTACTGCCTGGTCTGTGCCAAGAATGACATCTTCAAGACGTTCAAGAACAAGTACAGCTTCCAGCGGCATGCCTACCTCTTCCACGAGGGCCAGAACCGCAAGATATTCGCCTGCCCCATCTGCAACAAGGAGTTCTCGCGCCCCGACAAGATGAAGATGCACAAGAAGGACAAGCACGGCGATGTGCCCATGCCGCCGTCGGCCGCCACGACGCCGCTAAAGGCTGACGGTCCGCCAGCGAAGCGGGCGCGTACCGCTCGCACCCCACGCGTCCGCAAGTCCAAGGGCGGCGATGGCAGCACACCGACCAAGAAGCGTCTGGCCCAGATCGACAGTGTGCTGGACGACGTCCAGAACGGCGAATCCCCTGTCAATGTGAGTCACCCGCAGCAGCAGCAACAACAGCAACAACAGCACCAGCAGCAGCAGTTGCAGCACAGTCTGACCACCACGCTGGCTCCTTCGCAGACGACGGCGCAGCCACAGCACCAGCTGCAGACGCTGCCATCGCTGGAATTCAGCGGGATGATCCTGCCGGGCGGGGCACAGCTGGCGCTGGCCAATCCGGGGGCCACCAGCTCTGTGGGTCTGCAGCGCGGCCCGGGAACGCCCAATGGCGGTCAGCCGACGGCGCCCACCACCACGCTGATCTACTCGAACCAGCTGGAGCTGCAGCAGGCGCTGTTGCAGCAGCAGCTGCATGGCCAGAGCATCATGATCCAGGACCAGGCAGGCAACCTGGTGCCCCTTCAACTGGACCCCGGAACCCAGGCGATATACACAACGGCGCCGCAGGCTCAGCGCCAGCAGCCCACAACGACCTCATATCAGACGACCCAGCAGCAGCAACAGCAGCAGCAGCAACAGCCCGCCACCCAGTCGCAGCAACAGCAGCAGCAGCAACAGCAACAGCCGCACTACGAGCTGGACAACGTGACCTATCTGAGCTCCACGGCGGCGGCCACGCCGGCGACGGCCGAGCAGCAGCAGCAACAACACCAGCAACAGCACGTGATTGGCACGGTGCAGAGCTATCAAATCCTGACACCGGATGGCCTGCAGAGCTTCCAGCCCAAACTGGAACCGGCTGAGCTGGGCGACCTATGTCCCTACTCGCAGTACACCTTCACCACGCACGCCGGCGCACAGCCCACGCTGAATGCGAACGCGCTGGACGCGCAGACGCAGCAGCAACACCAGCACCAGCAGCAGCAGCAGCAACAACACCACCAGCAGCAGCAGCAACATCACCAGCAGACGCAATTGCTTCAGCAGCAGCATCCATTCGCCACGCACCACAATCCGCACCAGCAGTTTATGGAGCTGAAGAACGAGCTGCTGATCAAGGGCGGCGACGCCTACGCCCTGGACACCGCCTCCATGTACCACCTGCCCTTCTCGCCCACCTCGATGATAAACGCGGTGAACGATGTGAACACCTCGTCGCTGCTGGAAACCAAAGAAATTAGGTAAACGCTCTTTCCAACTAACCAAAAACCCACTACTACCACTACTACTACCCACTCCCTCCTCTGTCTGCCCCGACTTCTCTTAGTGTAACGCGCTCGCTCGATTAGATTGCCGCTCAGTATCTGTATCTGTATCTCTATCTGTATCTGTACTATATCTCTGTATCTTTATCTATAACTATAACTCTCTGCCTCCGTAACCCTTTTATTGCGCTGATCTTCCTTTCACGTATTTAGAGACGCGCAACGACGGTGTACTTGCCATTAAAAAAAAAAAAAAAAAACACTCTTGAAACACCCGATGGCCGCCTACAAAACACATAAACTGAACATTAGGGGAAATACTAAAGGGGATACTACATTAAGCATTAACTTGTTTAGTTTTAAACTAGGATTATGCATACTTTATTTATATTTTGTACTCATCCATTATGTAAATCTTTAGTTGTTACGTATGTGTATGATTTTGTAGCCCTTAACAGAGTTTTTCAGTTTGTATTCTAGTCGTATGAATTGATTTTTGTGCATTTATTTATTTACCAATCATGAAACCACACTGCAAAGGTACTGCACTCTATTTCGAATAGACTGCACCTTGTGTGGCTTGTTGTTGCTTCCTTGTAAAATGATATGCCAACGATTACCCCCAATTAATAACCCAAAATTAATCATAATAACCAACTCGTTTCCTTTTTGTTTCGAGAAAAAAAAACTTGTGTTCAAATACGTTTTATACTTCAATGCAATTTTGTTCTTTTTCTTTCTTTTTCTCTTGTTTTATTTTATGTACACACAACCAACCCACCAACCAACCAATCAATCAATCAATCAAATAATTAAAACAACAATGAAACACAATAAAACACTCGCCTAAATAAATAAATAAAAAAAAAAAAACACGCATTTTAACAATAGCTACGATATATCAGAGGCAGTGCTATTAGCTCTCTGAACAATCGACCGCCACAAAAAGCTGCAGCCAAAGTACCAAAAATTCTATATAATGAAATAATGAAAACTCATCGCTGAGTTCGCAATCAAAACGATCGCTTAAAAACGAGTTTGAAAAGAAAACCCCAACCCATAATTCCCAAGCAAAGCAACGCAAATGGAAGCCATTTTCAAATGTAAGCCCAGATCAGCGGGCAATCATAAATAATCCAGCAAATCCAACTAACTTATCGAATCATTTGTGTACTTACATCCGTCACATCATACTCGTAATGCTCAATTGCTTGAGGACACCTCGTCTTGTGTCATTTATTAATTCATTCCCCATTCATCGTCACTTGTTGTGCGAGTGTGCAAGAGCAGCACCGATCGAGAACAGAGATTCAATGACAACAAACAAATAACAAATCACCAACACAACCAAACAAAAGAAACAATAAATTAATATAAAAAAGAACATAACTAATAATATTGGACATTTAGTGAAAGGTATGTGTACTTTATTTTCTTGTTTTATTTTGTTTTGCATAAACCTTTTTTTCTGTTCTGTAACTAACGAATGTCCCTTGGGTTCCCGCATCCTAAAAACAATTGGTTTTGACCACCAAGGGAACTGCTTGCACCGATACTCATTCTATAAAATTGCACACACTTTTCGTTTGAGTCTCTGTGCAGACAGTTAACGACCACTAAACAGTACAAAATCGCCACACATCTACAAACATTCGATTAAGCTATCAGTCATAAGTGTCATCATTATCATTTACTAACCAAAATGAACTTTGATTTAAGCATATCTAACATCTAAATTAAACGAAAGAAGAGTCGAAACGAAAACTAACACAAATCAAAATAAGAATGAAGCAAATATGCTAATCAAATTGTTTTTATTTTTTCTTTTTTCACCCAACAACATTTTACGTTCGTTCGTCTGTTGTTTGTGTTTTTGTGTTATTCCCTATGATTTGCACACAAAAATTCATAATCATGCGACACAACAACCACATCAACTACAACAACAACAACAACAACAGGTTCTTCTAAACACGACAACAACGCGAAACAAATGTTCAAGCGGCCATACACACCCAGCCATCACACAACCCAGAACACCACCAACAATCAGTATCACAATCTGAATCAAAATCACAATCTGAATCAGAATCAAAACAAGAACATGAACATGAACATGAACACAACACGAGAAGATTCGCAGCGTCGCCAAGTGGAAGCGCATCGAATTTACTATGAAGAGATCACCGTGAAGCAGGCGAACGCTCGTGCTCGCCTCGCCGACAGCAACAAAAGTTGCTGTCGCAGCGGCGGCATCGGCAGCAGCAACACCATCATACACAGCAGCAGCAGCAGAAGCAGTGGCGGCAGCAGTTTCGTCGACAAGTTCGCCGACTTTGTCACCCACTCGAGCCGAACTACTCCCATGCCCAAGACCCATGTCCAGTCCCATGTGCCGCCACCCACAAGCAATGCGACTAATGCAATCCTTCCTCCTAAAACCAACAGCAGCAGCAGCACCAGCAGCAACAGCAACAACGCCAGCGCCGTGGTGAGCAGCAGCGGCGCCAGCAATGGCAGCCTCAAGCCAGCGGCCAAGAAGACTCCGGTCATCCTGTTGGCCGCTCGCGGTGCCACCAAGCAGCCCTCAGCCCTCAGCATACTCAATGGCAATGCCAAGGTTACAGCCGGAAACGGAAGCGGAAACGGAAACGGAGGCGTCACGTTGGTGCGAGTCAATGCCTCCAGTCGCAATCAGCGCCAAGTTATTGTCGCACCGGAAGCGGTTGCTGTGCAGCAACAGCCTGTGGCCGCCGAAGAGCTATTGGCCGACGACGAGGATCTCGACGAGGATGACCTGGACGACGATGCAGTGGCTCTAGATGCGCTGTCCTCTTCGACTGCCCAAATCCTGCGAAAGTTCCGCATACCCAAGGGTACGGCCGTGACGGCCAAATCGGGGGACCATTACCTGGCCATGCCCATGCCCACGCCAACGCCCTCGCCGCCGGGCGTCGTCAATTTGGTGGGCACCGACGTTCAGGAGGAGGAGGAGGCCACCGGGTATTTGGAGAACGAGGACGACATCATCGAGGAGCTGAACGAGGACGATCTGGTCGAGGAGATAATCGACGAGGAGCCCAGCGAGGAGCAGTCGGAGTTGCAGGAGGCGACGACCACCGATGGCCTGGATCTGAACAGCAGCACGAACGCTCACGGGGCGGCCACAACGGGCGCCACAATGCTGTTGGCTGCCCCCCAGCCGCCACCCCTGCAGCTCCAGACAGTGTCCCCCAATGGAACGGTTACCTGTTTCAATCTCCCGCCCAACACCATCCTGCTGCAGTCGGCCGATGGCAGCATAATCGCTGCCACCCAGGTGCCGCATCCCAGCAAGGCGGGCCAGCACCAGCTGATAGCGTTGCCGGGTAACGTGGCCATGGCCACCACCACCACCACCACCACCGCCACCGATGCGACGTCCTCCCAAGTCCAGGCTACAGCGACGCCCCAGGCCACGCAGACCCTGCTCCTCACTGCCGACGGTACGGCCATTCCCATCCTGGCGACCACTCCCCATCAGCAACAGCAGCAACAACACCAGCAACAGCAACAACAGCAGCAGCAACAACAGCAGCAGCAGCAGCAGCAACAACAGCAACAGGCTGCCGCGGCTGCTGCTGCTCAGTTGTTCGCCGCGTAGGGGCTAATGGGTGGCCAAATGGGTCGATTTTTAAACAGTGCCACCATAATGCCGACCACTTACTTTTTCTAAAACTCTCCAAAAATATTCAGCCGTGATTCGGTTGCTCATGGGACAAAGCTAAAGCAAAGCTTTGTTCTGTCGGCAACGTTTAATTGTTTAGATTAAAAAAAAAAACCCTAAGAACACGTTAAAAATCGTCACATTTGGCCACCACCGCATCAACTGAAAGGGATTGCAAGAAATGGGAAAACTGAAGCGTGTATAGACGTCACACAATGAATAATAACTCAAACCATAAGCCAAGCTAAACAAACTGATATTACCACACTGTTGGATGTGCATACGAAATTTATTTTTTTATTCAAAAACCAAATGCCTACAAGACTACAAATCAAATGTTGTTCAACACACAGTCACACACACACACACACACACGCGAATGGTGTTGCAGAAGAATCAAATATGTACGTTTCAAGGCATACTTAAGAGCATCGTAAGTTTAAATTATTTCTACGCCTAAGCTAAATTAAATTTAAAGGAAAGAAAGGAAAAGACGAGACGAGACACACACCCCCAACCAGTTGTAACTATTTTTTCCTGCCTAGAGAGCGGGTCAAAATGTGTTTAGCCTAATTTAGTTTTGTGAGAACTGTTCCGTTTTATGAAAAGATGATAACTGACTTTTGAAACTCCACGCGAGCGTTCTCTACAAGTACTTATAAATATAATTTGTTCCTTGCATAAGAGAGATAGACAGGCAACTATGCAACGTAATTCATGTAGTATTTACTCAATAAGTTCTCAGTATATTTATTTATTTTTGTTAACCAATCTTACTTGTGCACCCCCACACCCACCACCGCCCCCTTGTCCTCATTATTTCTTTTAACGTGTTGTATATTCTTTACATACCTATATATATATATATTATATATTTTATTTGCAATTTTGTTATGCCATTCATAAACAAATAGGAATTCAAGCATAGCACTGACCTAAAATTACTCTAAGTTGTAGGCTCGATACTTTAGACTAAAGTATTTTTTTAAAAGATTCTTGCGAAAACAACAACAGCCCGAGAATACAACAACAACAACACACTAAGCTAAGCGAAGTAGGTTAAGCCTAAAATAACTTTAACCGATGGAAGACAATGATTCAAAATATATATATAAAAATATGTAATCTAAGACAAATAAGCAAAAATGAGTTGCACTTCTGTAAGATATACTTTAAATTATAACGAAGCGAAAAAGCAAAAAAATTAAGCAACTCAAGTAGCCTACATTATGTATGATACAAATTATAAAGCTAATATTACTTTACGTACACATATATATATATATATTTATTATAAACAATAAAATACAATTTTAAAAATTTAAAGCAATAAATAACGTATTTGTTACTTATCGGTATATTTGTTGGAAGCAGTGTAAAAAGGTGCCAAATACAACCGCAGAATTAATTTATTACAGAATGAACTTCTGATTTGTAAAAATACCATATCCCTTGTGTTCCCGATTTTTCCCATGTGAGCTATATGCTATAGTCGTCCGATTAGGCATGTGCTACTGAGAGATTAGCTTGGGTAGAAACGAACAGACGGAGAGAAATACGGATATGGCTAAATCAAGAATATATATACATATCTCAATCACTTCGCTTTTAAACTTTTGACTGACTCTGCAAGGTTAAAAAGCAATAAATCTTACGCTCGGCTTACCTTTTTTATGTTTTTAATGCAACTTTATGGCTATGGAATTTTCCATTGCCTTTTTTATTTTCCTTTCTCTGTACAAATACACGATTATTAAATTTGATGGTATTTCTGAAAGGTAAGTATCTAATAACTAGCCGGCTGTTATATTCACAGTTTTCTTAGTCTTGACTGGCTCCATAGCCTGGAAATACCACACGATACCCCCAACGTGTGCACTTGGCGGCCTTACGTAGTTTTCCATTATGGTAATGTTTATTTTGTAGATGCCCAATGGAAAAAAGTTTGGAAAAACCGATTCGTGGAGGTATGCGTCGCGGGCTATTAAGTGGCCGGCATATGGGCAGCTATGATTAAAATTTGAAAAACGCTTTGTTACTTTGAGAATAATTAAGCCGTAAGGCATAAAGCTTCGCTTTGATAACAAATCGCATATGTTTAAGTGTACATCTACAAGAAAAGGCTGGAACCTGTTGCTGTAGTCCTTTTTGAAGAGCTGGAGTTGGACCTAAGCGTAGGTGGCTTTATAAATTTGCAAAGAAAAACGGGGCACACTTCAACTAAACTCACAGAGATATTATGCAAAGTCCTAACGAGGTCCACATCCATTTGGGCCACAGCTTTGTTCCAGTTAAGGGCCTTTATATAGCACCTAGCGTTCGCTGAGTACCCGGGCACGGTCGAGCACTCGATGTTCTTCATTTTGTATATAACAGAGGGTTCACATAGCTAATAAATAAATTAATAAAAAACAAAATAAAAAACAAGATGATGATATACTTACCACCCTCCAGGATAGGTAACTTACCAATATGGCAAGAACTATGGAATGCATGTTTCTCGGTAGTGCGATATGTCTGCTATTTACAGCCCACATATCTACGTCTAATGTGTTTTTAATTGGACCGTTTTACAAATAATTTTATGAAATCTAATTTATATCTGTTTATTGGGAAACATTTGTTCAACATGAGTGATTAGATGACAAATCGTTTTTTTACCTATTTACACACAAGCAAAAAAGATCGTTATAGTCGTCATACAAATATTTACGCTCAAGTGCTCTTACATAATTCTGCTTTATAGATGCTTTTATTTTAACAAAGTATTGATTTTATTATCTTGAAAAAAAGAAAGAAAATAAAGTAAAAATTGTACTTTAATTATAATTAAATTAAACTCAATTATTTTACAAGAGATTTATCTTAGCATTGTAGTTTTGGGTTCTATCGTAAGTTTTTTGTGATATCGAGGTTCGAATAAATGAACAACATATAATGTTTTGTGTTAAGATACCTTAAAAAGTGGTACTCGATTTCTTTGTGATGCAACCCTTTTGGATTAAAATTTTCATCATATTTTAGGTAAAACTAATGTCTAATCTAGTCTATCTCTAGTCATTTTATGCAGTGAAAAGGCTCTAAAAATACAACAAAATGTAAGCATTTAAATATATTATTGCTATCGTGGGATTTTATTAATTTCAGATATGCATACAACAATTTTTATATACGGATAGCCTGCACCTTTTACAAAGCCTTACTTTTATTGTCCTGTGTGATCAAAACAGTAAATAAATGTTAAATTCTAAGCGGAGAACTGTAAGACGACAGTTCGTGCGAATTTCCAAAATGTGTCACTTCACCTAATTCATAGGAATCTTACTTTTTGGGTCAACGGTTATCGGATGTGGGAAACTCCTTATAATTTCGGCTGTTAAAGGCCATTATCGCAATGACGTTTATTTAAGTCTGCCTATATATACTGTCCAAAGACTCTTTCTTGAGTTCAGTTTAAAATCCACGGTGCCCAACACTTGACATAATGAAGTCGGGGTTTTTGGTTTTTTTCCTGCATATTTTGCTACCTCTCACCAGTGCAAACCAAATAACTCCAAGTAAAGATTTTATTCGCTATGAAGATTGTAAGGCGACAATCAACGACGTTGTCAATCAAACAGTACAGTGGAAGATAACAAAAATTACTAAAAGCTGGCAGATTAAATGAAATTTAAAAAATAACATAATAAGAACCCAAACTAAACAGCTTGAGGACAAAAACGACTTATTGAATAGGATGGAGCAGACTAACAAGAACTTGGAAAGTCGGTTATTGAATGCTGAAAGACAAAGCAAATCGATGTATGAGACTCTAACTGACAACATCATTAGCCAAGCTAAACAGCTTAGGGACAAAGAGGACTTCTTAAATACCATGGAGCAGACTAACAAGAATTTGGAAAGTCGTTTAGTGAGTGCTGAAAGACAAAGCAAATCGATTTATGAGAAGCTAACTGACCAGATCAATACCCAAGCTAAACAGCTCAAGGAAAATGATGACTTACTGAGTTCAATGGCGCAAACTATTAAGGACTTAAAAAGTCGGTTAGAAACTGCTGAAGGTCAAAGCAAATCGTTTATTGAGGAGCGAACTGAATGTCCCATTGGCAGTCCAAGTGGCATTTACAAAATACAAATACCCGAAATAGAATACTTTGAAGCTCCATGCGATGGAGATGGCTGGTTAACAATACAAAGGCGTATGGATGGATCCGAGGACTTCAATCGAACGTGGGAGGATTATAAGAATGGATTCGGAGATGTAAGGAAAGAGTTTTTCCTGGGGCTTGAAAAACTTTATCGAATAACTGATGCAGGTCAATATGAACTATACATTGTGCTTGGCGATGTTAATGGAACATCCAAATACGCCCATTACGGTAGTTTTGGGATTGATAGCGAAGCAGAATCGTACAGAATTAAAGACGTATATAACCATTTCCTAGGAGGTCCAGCCGGACACTCCCTAATATATAATGCGTGGGACAAGTTTAGCACTTATGATCGCGACAACGACTTATCCAATGAGAATTGCGCAGTAAAGCACGGTGGCGGTTGGTGGTACGATAGGTGTGGAATCAGGTAAACTTATATCAAATTGGAAACTAATAACAAATTAAATTTAAAGACTTGAAATTACAGTACCCTCAATGGATTGTACCTTAAAGATGGCGTTGTAAGAAACAAAGTGTTTGGCATTCATTGGGGTACCTGGTCCCCAAAAGCCTTTGAATTCTCACTTACCTTTGTTGAGATGAAAATTCGTCGTATTAACCCTGATCTTTAACTTGGCCAAAGGAGTCCAATGCTGACTCGGAAAAATATAACTATATATCCATCAGTTAACCAACATTTAGTAATTGTAATTCATTTTTCCTAGAAGAACCATAAAATAAAGCAATTAATTTTAGAAAACTATACCTCAATGAGCGTATATTTCAATGATGGCTTCCCGATTCGTAACATTAACAAACACTATGACTATATGTGAAATTCGTTTTAGGCATTAACAATTTTGGGGTCCCGATCCGGAGTCGAGCTCGTCCAGAAGCTAATCGCTGACGCGGGCATAGACCACGGCCGTGCGCGATGGCGTGTAGACCTCGATGAAGTTGGTGCGACCGGCATAGCCCTCCGGATTGGAGGGATGCTTGCAGTTGGCATCGATTCGGTTGTGTCCGCCAAAGAGTGGATCGTCCGAGGAGAGCACGGCCTGGTATGTGCCGGCCCAGTTGGTGCCCACGCGATAGCCGGTGAAACTCCGTTGGGGATGGAAGTTGAAGACGAAGACCAGGCCGGCACGCTCGAAGGCAATGATCTTGTCGCCTTCATGCTTCCAGCTGACGTAGGCGGGTCCGGAATGCAGCCATCCATAGCGCTCCTCGGCCTCGTTCATCGCCCGATCGAACTCGTTGAGGTACTTGTACTTCAGCAGATCGTCGTCCACCAGATTCCACTGGCGGCGGGCATAGTGATACGAGTCGTTGTTGCCGACGCGCGGAAAGTCCAGCCATTCGGGATGGCCGAACTCGTTGCCCATGAAGTTGAGGTACGCCTCGCCACCCAGGGCGTGCGTGATCAGGCGTATCATCTTGTGCAGCGCTATTCCTCGATCGATAATCAACGAGGAGTCAGATATCGTCGACATGTGCGTGTACATCTCTTTGTCCATCAGCCAGAAGGCGACCGTCTTGTCACCCACAAGTGCCTGGTCGTGGGACTCTGCGTACGCCACGGTGCTCTCCATCCACCGTCGGTTGGTCAGCGTATGCACCAAGTTGCCCATGTCCCACTCATCGTCGCTCTGCTCCTTTAGAAGCTCAATCCACTTGTCTGGAATGGCCATTCCCAAACGGTAGTCGAATCCAATGCCGCCCTCTGAAACAGGACGACACAAGGTGGGCATTCCGGACACGTCCTAAGTTGAATAAAACAAAGTTTTATTATCTTGTTTTACATATTTAACCAAAACAAAATGCCATAAACTCTTAATTTACTTAACTTTCCCTACAAAATTAAAATTAATTTTTGGAAATGGCAGTTAGTAGTTATAGGAAAACAAACTTATCATTTAAATGCCTATAATTTTGGAGTACAACAAAAGTTTTTGAAAAGCATCCGGATTAAAAGCAGACCCATAAAAATCTTAAATTCATATGAAAAGATATAGAAGCTCTCAAATCACTTACCTCCGCAATGGTGATGATCTTGGGGTCAAGGGTGTGCAGCATATGATTGGCCAGTCCCAGATAATTGAGGGCATCCGTGTCGACGTTCAGGCCGAAGTACTCATTGTAGTCTCCGCTGAAGCCCTCGCCGATTCCTCGAGAGTGATATAGCATAGAGGTGACGCCGTCGAAGCGATAGCCGTCGAAGTTGTACTCGTCGTGCCACCAACGGAGGTTGGATATCAGAAACCGCAGCACCTCGTACTCAACGTAGTTGAAGAGACGACTGTCCCACAGCGAGTGCTCACCGCGGGCTCCGTCGTGGAAGAAGCAACTGTTGGTGCCGTCGAACTGGTTCAGACCGTCCTGAACGTTCTTGGAGGCGTGCGAATGCACGACATCCAGGAGAACGAAGAGTCCGTGCGAGTGAGCCACATCGATCATGCGCTTGAGCTGTTCCGGATTGCCAAATCGACTGGATGCCGCATAGAAACTGGTCACCTGGTAGCCGAAACTGGCATAGTAGGCGTGCTCCATGATGGCCATCACCTGGATGCAGTTGTAGCCCTGCCGCTTGATGCGCGGCACGATGCGGTCGGCGAACTCGTCGTAGCTGCCGACCCTCGGCTCCTGGGAGGCAATGCCCACGTGGCACTCGTAGATCCTCAACGACTTTGGTCTGGCTGGACGCGGATGCTGGCGCTGGTAGCGCTCGTAGGATGGCGGCTCCCACACGTACTGCTTGTAGTTGACCCCCTGGTTGGCCGACTTGGGCGGCTGCACCACATACTTGGCCCAGGGCGACAGGCGGTCGAGCAGCTGACCGGAATGGTTACGAATGATCACCTTGATTTCGCTCATGTGCTTGATGGCCGGACTACCGTCCTCGTTGGGCGGCAGGTGGAGCTCCCATTTGCCAAAGTCGAGCTTCTTGAACGGATGCGACTCCCAGTGCCAGTTGTCTGTGTGGTTTTGGGTCAATCGATTAGACTTTGTATTCCATATATAGCCGGTTTTAGCCAATATGACTTACTGAAATCACCCGTGAGATAAACATCTCTGGCTCCAGGTGCCCACTCGCGGGCAATCACCGAATTGTCCGGCTGGAAATGGAGGCCGTAGTGTTTGTAGGCCTGCGAGAACTCCTCCATTCCGCCCTCGCTCTGGTTTATCTTGGTCAGCCAATCCTGGAGCACGCCATGACTGCAACGGGAATGATTAGATTAGTTAGATAGCACCAAAATGTTATTAAACTATGTATATTATTTAAAATATCAATTTCCTAAAAAGGGATTTAAGGTGATCCTTCCAATTCCATTTTCACTTTTTTCAAGAGGTGAAACTTTTAATGGCAACATACTTCATTCTTTTTAAGCGTTTGTTTGTTTTGTTTTTAGCTCTTCTCGAAAAATACTACTTATATCGACTCTGCTGTTTCAGTGATCAAGTATGTATATTCTTTTATGGGGTCACATCGAGATAGATTTTATATATATTCTAATAAGATGACATGATAAGCTAGAGCGTAGATCATATGCAAATAATTGGAAAGTTTCGATCTCAAATCTGATCATTTAAATAAAAATTTAAAAATATAAAAAAACAAAATTAGTGATGAGATTAAAATAGTATTCTTTGTGTTAAAAAATGTTAGCATAAACTCTGTTTACCAACTTACAGAATAGAAAACAAAACATCTTCTCATCTCAAAGTTTTGCGCTCAGCAAAAAAAGAAATCAAAACAAAATTCGTAAATGCGGAAGAGTAGCCGAAACGTTAAGATTTGCGGCGATGCAAAAATAGAAATGGCGCTGACACAATTTGGCCAACCCGGAAAGTGGCATCAAGGCCAGGTGATCCATGCTCCAAACACGACGGCATCACGCTGCGAACACTTCCCCAAAGAAATGTTTTTTAGCAAACACACACACACACAAACACAGGCCACAGACACGCACACACACACACACACAGAGGGCAGCAAACACCGGCGACCTTCATTCGACATTGCGAACGCAGTTTTCCAACTGCATGTCACCGGGTGGCGAGGTGGGGCCACTCGGGCCAAGAAGCTGATACGGCTCTTTGCAGCATGGGTTATACGCCGTAGTCGCTTATCAGCATGGGGAGCGCATAAAGCCGGCGCCAACCTTGGGTTGGGTTACATGATGATGTGCTGGTTATGGTGTCACCTGGCAAGCGGATCTCTACTCACCGGCGCCGGATCTCGTGCTCGTGCGGCCTCAAATAGCCGTCCAGCTCAAACAACTTCTCGATGTCCTTAACCTCGACCATGGCGGATTAGGAATAGCCCGAGAAGATTCTCGGTGGGAACAGAACAGAGGAAAAATAAACGGAGGCAACGGCGCTGTTCGTTTGCCTGTTGGCCGACAACTGTGCTCGTTTATCAGCTGCAGTCCAACACAAAAGCTCGCCGGGTAACGGGAGCTTTCCAGCGCAACAGCTGTTTTTGCAGCTTTGCCTTTGCGCCTTCCATTCGCGTATGTAAACAACACAACGAACGAACGGAATGCCAGGCGCTGCAATTGCATGTTTTTGTCGCCAAATGTTGCGTACCCGCACTGATAGCACCTGGGTGCATAGTACGTATACGCCCAATTGTCGCTGATTACCGATCGGCGATCGCTTTTAGCGGCTGAAGCGTTATGTACAAAGCATCATGATTTGGGGTCGTCGCTGTCAAGTTCATTGGAGGATCGAGTACATCATTTTGAAAGTCAAAGGGTTATTATTGGTACAGATTATTTGGGACACGGTTGCTCGGGAGACTGCTTTACTCTTGTTCGTTTCCCTAAGCCAATTCTTTTCAAATTTATCTGTGAGAAACAACAGATTGCTATAAGTCTGGTATATAGATTCTACATTTAAAACAGTTTGTTAGTCTAAATAATTTACACTTTGTTAGTATTGGGTCTATTTAAAAAACAAAATTTAATGGACTTTACCAAAGGCAACTTGTTAAAGTACTAAAACTACTCCGTTCCCAAATGCAGATAAGAAAAACTACCACCCCTTCGAGCAATGCCTTTATGTTAGATAATAGATTTCACATTAATTGGATCTTATAAAAAAAATCATAAAGGTTAAATCACATTGTGCTTCCATTATCAGAATATATAATGGCGTGCGTGATTCCGAAGGCGATAGAAAACACCTAAAAAATTAATGGATGCCAAGTAACCTTAAGTTTTATTTAACCAGCTCTTATCAGAAAAGTTTGTATCTTTGGAATTTTTCCTAGATTTAATGTGTTTATTTAAAGGCAATGCAGCTAAAAACAAAATAGTAGTGCAATAGTTTAGCTTAAATAAAGCATACTGATCTGGGTGTTAATAAATGATAGGAAAAATGTTGGAGCCGGCAGACAATTAATTATAACAGTTAAGGCTCTTGTCTTAGATCATATTTCTTTGTAAAGGAAGAACCTAAAGGACGGCGTTGGAAACACTTTCGATGACCTCGAACGCAGTGGCTATGTCCGCATCCTCCAGCAGCCGGTTGACGGCGATGCGAATACTTGGACGCACCGGTTGGCGTTCCCTGTTTTGCAGGTAGGCAGCCTGCACAATGGCCACTCCTCGAGCAATGCACTGTGAAAAATAGAGAAAGTTAGCAATTAAGCTGCTATGAAAAGAGCAACCCATACCTTATCGGCCACCTCTGTGAGCAGCTTTAGTTCCTTGTCAAAGTTGTCGGCGGCCTGGGCCAAATACAAGTGCTTCACTGGCGACAACTCATTTCCGCGCAGGGTCAGTTTGGTGAAACGCGAAAACTTCTGATGCAGCGACTTGGCTTTGGACTGCAGCTGGCCAAAGATCTTTGGCTCTCGCTCAAAGCGATCCAATGCGGAAATGGCCGCTTGGGTGAGCATTGGCGGCAGGGAGGCCGAAAAGATGTAGCCCAAACCTGAGAGACGCTGGTGTTCGGCTATAAAGTGGGAGCCCACGCAGAAGCCGCCAATGGTGGCCATGGATCCCTCCATTCCTGCCGATATCAGATCGATCTCGTCGCGCTGCAGGATAGGCAATTTAAATTATATTGTTAAATGACTCTAAAGTTATTCACCTACATCGACATTAAAGTGCTCCGTAACTCCGCGACCGCCTTGTCCCATTGTGCCAAAGGATATGCTCTCGTCGAGGAAGAGACGCAGCTTGTACTTCTGGCGCAGGGCCACCAGCTCGGGCAGTGGACAAATCTCGCCGGTGTTCATATAGATGCCCTCGGCGACGAGGAAGCGACGTGTCTTGAGCGCCTTCTTGGGGTTCTTCTGGTCCCGCTTCTGCATTTCGATCAGCAGACGCTCCAGATCCTCGACATCGTTGTGCTTGAAGAAGACAATGGTGCTGCGCGAAGCATCCAGGCCCTTCTGAATGGCAAAGTTGACGGCCTCGTCCCTACGAAAAGTGCGTCTTTAGGGGGCCACAATTGAGGGCGGTTAACAAAAGTGCCTTACACAAAGATAATGTCGCCACGTTTGGCGTACGCCGGAATGGCACTGGCCACCGTCGAGAAGCCGTAGGAGTAGACAATGGCCTCCTCCAGGCCCATGAACTTGGCAATCCGGTCTTCGAGGTCCAGGTGCACGTCCATGGTGCCATAGAAACCTCGCGGTCCGCACGATCCTACGCCGTACTTGCGCAGCGACTTGCAGGCCTCGTCCAGTATCTCCTGATCCTCGAGAAAGCCCAGGTAGTTGTGGGAGCCCAGGTTGAGGCAGTCGTGTCCATCGACCCGGATGTGCTTGCCCACCTTGGACTGGACGATGCGGGTGCGCAGCAACGGATGCTCGGGATCGGTGTCCGCCACCAAGGGCTCCGGTTCGTAGTCGGCGATGATGCGGTCCTCCTCCTCCTTGGTAAGCTGACGGCGACGACCGCCGCCACGCCTGTGAAGCAGCAGCCAGATCACGGTTATGACCAGCAGTGTCTCCAAAACGAGGGCAAATGTGGGCGTCTGTCGCAAGAACACCAAATTCAACCACCGGTTAGGGCAAAGTGCGGAACCAAAAACACCAAATTCTGACTCACGTTTCGGAAAATGCTGCCGATTTCGTTAAACAATTGTATGGCCACCATTTTGGGATCGTGTTCCGTGCCCTTTCTGTGGAAAAATCAATTGAAACCACCTTTAATTCTTTTAAACTTTAAAGTTTAATGTATGTGTCATGCAGGCGACGCTTTCTTATCGCCCATGTACTAAAAAGCAATTACACATAGGCAACCATACAGTGCCATTTTTTTTGGAAATGGGCGTGTATTCTGACATAAACCATTTATACGCAAGTAGAAGAATTCAAACCTATCCCATAACTGGTATTTTCTTGCATTTCAATTTTATTCAGAGTGAGTACTTACCACAAAGTTGGGTTTACTTTTTAAAAGGCGGAGTACATATGTATGTACATATATCCGACACAACAGCTGATGCATATAATTCACTAAGAAATACCAAACGCAAAAGCAAACAAAATGTTATGAAAATTTTATTAACACGCGAGCTTTAAGCTCACCCACACACAAAATAAAGTTATCCCTATTTTCTTTTTTTCAAAAATCTCACCACTAAAAAATAACAACAACAGATAACAAACCTTTTTTTATTTGTCAGGATCCACAACTAGCCTGATTTCTTAAATAGAGTATTTTTTTTATCATTAGCATCCTAATTAATTTTAAAAAAAGTTATATATGTAGTAGGTGCAACAAACATATTAATTTTTCTTATATTCTTGCAGAGCATTATAATTTCAGTTTAAAGTTTGCAAATCAGTGAAGTGTTTTGAATATCTATCGTATTCATAAACCTTTTTTTCCACACATTTGATTAATAAGATACACATTAATCCAAATTTGCCTTAATCCTCCTCCCACACTTTCCAATCAAACTCCATTTGTTTGACTTTTTTCAATGTATAGATTTATTTGTTAATGTTTCTTCTCTAATGCTTTCCATTCAAGTGTTTGCGTTGATTGTAAAAAACAAAACAATAATCATAATAAAACGTTAAAACAAGTTGTACTGCCTAGATACGTAGAGGAGTCAGATTAAAGAGCGATTTTTTTTTTATTTGCTTTGCCACCGTCAAAAGGGGAAATGCTTTATGGAAAATGAAAAACAAAACATTAGTGCAGGTTCAATTTATATCGAAAATAGCTCGTCTTCATGGTACACAATGCTTCTGTGGGTTAGGTAAGAATTTTGCTTGAGGATTATTCCTCGTTGTGGTTGTGTTTGGACTAGCCCAAACGGCCAATACGCCTAAAACTGGCTAAACTAAGTTAATTTTCGTTTTTACTGTTTGTTAATCTTTTAAAACTATTTTATAAAGTTTAGTTCAGATTTGTGGTTTACTCCTTGCGCAATAATGTAGAGGGTTCTGGGCAGAAGGAACGGGGCTGCAGAATGCTTTCTACTTCTTGTCGGCGCCCGCATTGGACTGTGTGGAGTACGAATATTGAGACCAATAATGATTGGTGGCGCCGCCATCATTGTTCCCAGCGGCGCCTCCCACATTGACGCTCGCCCCGCCAATGGCATTTCCGGCCGCTGCTCCGCCCGAGCCCTGTTGCTGCTGCTGGAGGGGAATAGAGACCTTTAGTTTTCATCATTCTTTCCTCCAGAGAGGAGACGCTTTGCTTACCTGCCACCAGGACATCCATTGCTGTTGCTGCTGCGGATCGGCGCTCTGCCAGGCCTGTTGGTTGCCATAACCTGTGGGCAGGTAAACCACCAAATTATTCAGTTGTTGTCATCCCAGGACAGCACACACACACGTTGCTTTACTTACCCTGCATTTGATTATAGCCCCAGTATGGTTGCTGGCCCGCCGCAGTTTGCTGCGTCTGCTGGTACTGTTGTGACTGCTGCTGAGTCTGCCAGACGCCCGTTTGCTGATGCTGCGTCGTCTGCTGCTGCTGCTGATGGTGTTGGGGGTAGGTGCTCCACTTGCCGCTGAGAGAGGCCTGCACAAAATGGGGGTTAGATAACTATCGAATAACGAAGAGGAAGTCGTGAACTACTTACCTTGCCTCCGCCGGGTGCTCCACCCGGCTGCTGCTTGTACTGATCGTAGCCTCCGCCGGCAGCAGAGTTATTGCCGTACTTGGGCAGCGATTGTCCAGCCGACCGCTCATAGCCACCGCGACTATCTTCTTTGGTGTCGCGGTGGCCAGGCCGAAAATCCCGTTGTTGATGAGTGCCGCCTCCCGAGCGATAGCTGCTCTGGCTACTGCCCCTGTTGCGGTCGTTGCTACCCATTCGACTGCGGTCATTGCCGCGATCTCGATCGCGATAGTCTCGCGAGCTTCCGTACCCGCGATCGTCATACCCGCTTCTGCGGTTGTTCTGCATCCAGTTTTGTTGACCAC